AGCCTCAAACCATGCTCATTGTTGACAGCTGGGCGACGATGACGAATGCGGATATCCTCACGAATACGGCAGTTGACAAGTGACACATCCCTTGCGGGGATGGATGGTGGGGCGAAAGGAATGGACGGTGCAGTGAAGGGAGAGGAGGTGGGGGGAGGGGGGGGGGGGTGTTGTGTTGGTAGGGTGTAACTGTTCTTGTTGTTATGATGCGTACTACGGTGTTGTCCCCAGGGCTTGAGTGGTGTGCAATGCTGTGGAAAATGCTCGTGAAAAAATCGCCCTGTCTTACCCACAAACTCCTCACTGCACACGGACCAAACGTTGTTCATTGTTCTTATTGGTTTCTATTGCAGCTTGTACTGGTGCTGTATACCAGTGCATCATCCATCCGTGCTCCACAACTAAATGCCCAATGCACCCTACTGCTACATGTATTGGAAACTTTTGCAATGGCTGCAATGCCCACTTTTATCTCAATGGGAATAACGTGACGTCGACATGTCAGCCAAAGACTACGACTGTTGCGGTGGCAAGTAAGAACAAACATGTGTGTGTGTGTGTGTGTGTGTGTGTGTGTGTGCGCGCGCGCGCACGCGCACTATAGTTCAGTCTAGCCTTAGCGACCACCCGAGAGTGCAGAAAATGGTCTTTCTACACGTAGGTGGTCTTTGTGGACCGAGTCAAAATAAAATGTATGTGGAAACATGATCTGGTTTGTGAGATGCCTGGTCTCAAAAGACAGGTGGCCTCTAAACACAGGTAGTCTTTAATGCACATGGTCTCTAAAAGACTGGTGGTCTCTGTGGACAGGTGGTCTCAAGAGACAGTTCATACTGTATCATCACGTCATGCAGAGGACATGATTCCTGAGGCTTGTTGATCGGCCAATGTTAAGTTAGGCCAGTATGCTTGACTTGGCTGTGGTGTGTTGCACTTGCCCACATGTACATGTACATGTACAATCGTCCCTCTCTAATCCGGCACTTGTTTATCCAGCACCCTTGCAAACCAGCACACTTTCTGGCAAAGCGGATTTTTTCAGTTCCTTTTCTACGCTTTAATCCGGCACTTGAATTCCGCCTCCAGCAGCGATTTTCTGCAACAAATCACTCAAACTGTACATATTTCGATTTTCTAATCCAGCAGTTGTACATCGCATACTGTCAGGGAGCATTGTAACATACATGACACATGTAACATACACTTGGGAATATCCTATGCCAGTGCATAGGATATTCCCAAGGTAGGCCAGGTTGGAGGGCAGGATTTGATAATCCAGCACCATTGCCAACGGTTTATTCAGCAGAAAATGCCGTTGCAAAATGTGCCGGATTAGAGAGGGACGACTGTACATGTACATATCCAGAGATCTGTTCACTGTGTTACATTGGATGAATGCATTATAATGGGTGACAGCTTGCAGAGTAAATTTGCAATTCATATGCTCTGTACCAGAACCTTTGGAGGGGGGGGGGGGGGGAGGTTTGGTAAAGTGTTCACTTGAACAGGGTTTGAACTTTCCTTGACCCGGCTGCTGTTTTTCTTTTTACCCAAAGAGAATGGTCTAGAGCTTCACCGCTACTACTTGTAGGCTGTACTCCTCCATGTTGAAACACACACATCTTACATATCCCACACGACCACACAACCACAGTGGCCGAAACATTTGTGTGGACTGATAATTGTCATGACCCTCCTGGCAGCAGCTTTACTCCATTGCTGTAAAGCTCATATTAGCAGGTTGCTCAATGTATATACAGGTGTTGTATAAACTTTGGCCAACCAAGTATCCGTTTCTTGTGTAGGTAGTCTCAATCAGGTTACACTTGTCCCTGTACTGTTTTCTACCTGTAGCAACTCAACTGCAGTGTGGACCAGTGTGTGGTATATTCTGCATGTACGGCAATGTACCGGACTCTCGAGGCTGTCCCACATGTGCATGCCGCACTGGGCCTGCCCCCGCTACAACAAAGCCCACAAAACCTGCTGTGACAACTCCAGTTCCAACAAAACCTGCTGCAACTAGTAAGTAAATTGTAGATGTTTACCCCACCCAGGCTTGAGGCTTGAGGACAATACTACAGCACTCTAAGCACTATAGGCAACATGTCCCTCACAACCCTCAGTAGCTGAATAGTCAGGTCATGGGACATTAGACACCCTTAGCAAACAATGGTAACGCTGTGTTTTACGGTACTCGTACCTTGATCACTCAAATAGCGTTGAAGCTGCAGCGTAAAAACGTTATGGGGGCTGATTTATCGTTCTGACAAACGGTACGTTTTTTGGCCAAATATTGTATAGTCCGTACGCATTTCACCTTGTACCGCGTATATGGTGTCATAAATGGTTGTACCACGTGAAATAAAAGCTAGCTACTCTCGCGAGCTCGTGGCAACAACGTACTAAAAATAGCGTGCATCTCGCTAAAGGTCGAACCAAAATCACGGTATTTTCCCCCTTACGGTAATACCGTTACAACATAACGTTTTTTGCTAAGGGTGTCTATTGTGTCCAAATTTCAGATGGTAGAAATCTCTATTCCAGGTCTTTGAATGTCAGATTCACTGTCCGTGCTGTGCCAAGTTGACTGTTGTTCACACTGTTATCATATAGTGTAGCAATGTCACAGTATACACTGACAGCATCAACATACCAGGCACGTAATTTTGATAAGGTATACCTTAAAATCAAATTTTCACCAGTTGTAGTATTCGGGGTGCTGAGTCGAATGGTCTTGGTCCGAGGAAGCTGAGACGCTCCATTCCTCCTTTGTTCCCAATCGAACTCACCACTTCCACCGAAACTGGGTGACTGCGCCCTACTAGACGGGGATTTGTATGCAAACTGTCACTAAAAGCGCCATTTTGTTCTTACACATGTAAAAGCACAGATGACCGCGATTGGCCCATATTTTGTAGTCTTTTGGATGCTGAGTCAACTGGTTTTGGTCCGAAAAGGATGCCATGCAGCGTTTGGCCCTTATTCACCGTACCTGCAGCTACAACTTTCACACCAAGGTTTAACTCAAGTTCAACTCGAGTGACAGAAACGCACCCAAACAGGCTGTAAGTTGTATCCTGCAGGCACAGTGACCAGGTGACTTGTGCACGCATGAGCACGTGACCGCTTATTCAACTATGTTTGATTGGGTGTACGGGCCGAACGCTGCATCGCAGCTTTCTCGGACCAAAACCAGTCGACTCAGCGTCCGAAAGACTACAACATATGGGCCAATCGCAGTCAACCGTGCTTTTATAAGGACGGAATGGCATTTTTAGTGACATTTTGCATACAAATCCCCATTTACTGTAAGTCAATAAATATTCGGCGCATATTAATTTTTGGCTACTTTCGGCCTGATCATATTTGGGCGAAAATTTGTTGCAGCCGAAATTTTGCTTTGCAAGGTTCAATGTGACAGTGTATATATGCAGCAGCAGTACAGGCCTAAAATTTGTTGTAGCCAAAATGTGTTGTAGCCAAAATGTGTTGTAGCCAAAATGTGTTGTAGCCCTGGGAGGCCGAAAATTTGTCCACTTACAGTAGTAGGGAGCAATCACCCAGTTTTGGTGGAAGTGCGCAATCACCCAGTTTTGGTGGAAGTGCGCAATCACCCAGTTTTGGTGGAAGTGCGCAATCACCCAGTTTTGGTGGAAGTGCGCAATCACCCAGTTTTGGTGGAAGTGCGCAATCACCCAGTTTTGGTGGAAGTGCGCAATCACCCAGTTTTGGTGGAAGTGCGCGAGTTCGATTGGGAATAAAGGAGGAACGGAGTGTCTCAGCTTCCTCGGACCAAGACCAATCGACTCGGCACCCCGAAGACTACAACTGGTGAAAACTGATTTTAAGTTAGGCCAGTACGCTTGACTTGGCTGTGGTGTGTTGCACTTGCCCACATGTACATGTACATGTACATGTTCAGAGATCTGTTCACTGTGTTACATTGGATGAATGCACTACAATGGGTGACAGCTTGCAGAGTAAATTTTTCAATTCATGTGCTCTGTGCCAGAACCTTGGGGGGGGGGGGGGTTGTAAAGTGTTTACTTGAACAGGGTTTCTTTGAGCCGGCTACTGTTTTTCTTTTTACCCAAAGAGAATGATCTAGAGCTTCACCGCTACTAGGCTGCACTCCTCCATGTTGAAATGCACACATCTTACATATCCCACACGACCACACAACCACAGTGGCCGAAACACTTGTATTGACTGATAATTGTCATGACCCTCCTGGCAGCAGCTTTACTCCATTGCTGTAGAGCTCATATTAGCAGGTTGCTCAATGTATATACAGGTGTTGTATAAACTTTGGCCAACCAAGTATCCGTTTCTTGTGTAGGTAGTCTCAATCAGGTTACACTTGTCCCTGCGCTGTTTTCTACCTGTAGCAACTCGACTGCAGTGTGGACCAGTGTGTGGTATATTCTGCATGTACGGCAATGTACTGGACTCTCGAGGCTGTCCCACATGTGCATGCCGCACTGGGCCTGCCCCCGCTACAACAAAGCCCACAAAACCTGCTGTGACAACTCCAACTCCAACAACACCTGCTGCAACTAGTGAGTAATGTGTAGATGTTTACCCCGCCCAGGCTTAATTAAGTCTTGAGGGCAGTACCACAGCACTCTAGGCACTATAGGCAGCATGTCTCTCGCAACCCTCAGTAGCTGAATAGTCAGGTCATGGGACATTGTGTCCGAATTTCAGATGGTGGAAATCTCTATTCCAGGTCTTTGAATGTCAGATTCACTGTCCGTGCTGTGCCAAGTTGACTGTTGTTCACACTGTTATCATATAGTGTAGCAATGTCACAGTAGACACTGACAGCATCAACATACCAGGCACGTAATTTTGATGATTTATTTATATGGAAACCAAGTTTTGGATGCCCCTCCGAAATCACAAATGCAATCAATGCAAGGTGTGGTTTACCACTCTGTTTTGCCTATGCCGAACACATGGCGGGCGTGTAGGCACTAAAGAAGAGATCGCTGTGCTGGTTCATGGCTGTGCGTCACAGTGGGTAAAACATGGTGATAGGGCCCTACATGACCATGCTATATTCCATATGGAGAGTCGCAAAACGTGTAGAATATGTACATGTAGTGTCGAAAGTCTGCAGACCTAAAACACGTGTAGAGTATCATATTGGCTGGAGTATAAGACACACGGGAATACCAGTATAAGCCCCACCCAGATTTGTTGTCATGAAATGATACAGTGGCATCTACCCTGTATTTCATGGCTCATTTGACCGCCATAGTATAAGCTGTGGCGACTTTTTGTGTGTATTACAAGTGTTGAAAGTGCGGCTTATACTCCGGAAAATACGGTATGTATGTGTAGAGTCAATTGTGCGTCCAGGTACCGAACAAGCCGTTCGTGCAACTGCCGTCGCAAGGACCAGTGCCCTCTCAACGGAGCGTGCCAAGCAACCAGCATAGTGTACGCGGCGGAGGTGTCGAGTGATGGCCATCGCGATGGGCCCAAGACCTACATTGGCAGTACGGAGCCTCCATTCAAGCTTCGATACGGGAATCACAAGACATCCATCAAGCTTCCTGGATACCGCAAATCCACGGGCCTCTCAAAGCATGTGTGGGAATTGAAAGATAATGGCAAGACGCACAACATCAAGCGGCGAGTGGTTCAGAAGGCCAAGGCCTACAGCAACATAACGAAAAGATGCAGCCTGTGCCTCGAGGAGAAGGCGAGAATAATCACTGCCGACAGGAGATCGAGCCTCAACAGGCGGTCGGAGTTGATATCTAAATGTCGACATCAAAATAAATTCATGCTATCAACACCAATAACATGATCTTCTCGGCACCCTGCTTCCAGGCAGTAGGGCCAGTTGATAGCTCTCTGCCGCCTTGTCACCATCATCATCTTTGCACCGCGCATCTCGCTAGCTGTGCCAGCTCAGTTGTACCGTTTTATCACCTTTATCACCTTTCTTAGTACCGCGATCCTTACTGGCTATGGCACTGAATCGGATATGAGTTGATAGCGCCCCTAGCGCTTTCGTTTATCCTTGTTCCGCCATACTGGGCTTTAAATAGTGGGTTATTTTTCTTGATGTTCATATTACCTGATGAGTGCCTGAGATGGCATGACACTTTAAGTTGTGACTGATCAAGCCATCTGTTGTTCTGACTAGTGTGTCACGGCTCTACCGTCCCGGTATCGAGCTCTCTTGGATTTCTGCTGGAATTCACAACAGTATGTGTAGAGGATGTATGTATGTGTAGAGTATGTATGTGTAGAGTATGTATGTGTAGAGTATGTATGTGTAGAGTATGTATGTATGTGTAGTCCGTATGTGTAGAGTATGTATGTGTAGAGTATGTATGTGTAGAGTATGTATGTGTAGAGTATGTATGTGTAGAGTATGTATGTGTAGAGTATGTATGTGTAGAGTATGTATGTGTAGAGTATGTATGTGTAGAGTATGTATGTGTAGAGTATGTATGTGTAGAGTATGTATGTGTAGAGTATGTATGTGTAGAGTATGTATGTGTAGAGTATGTATGTGTAGAGTATGTATGTGTAGAGTATGTATGTGTAGAGTATGTATGTGTAGAGTATGTATGTGTAGAGTATGTATGTGTAGAGTATGTATGTGTAGTATGTCTGTGTAGAGTATGTATGTGTAGAGTATGTCTGTGTAGAGTATGTATGTGTAGAGGATGTATGTGTAGAGTATGTATGTGTAGAGTATGTATGTGTAGAGTATGTATGTGTAGAGTATGTATGTGTAGTCCGTATGTGTAGAGTATGTATGTGTAGTCCTACAGATTTCAATGGTACCACTAGTATGCATAAGCTTTGCCAGTCACACCTCTTTGCTTTCAAACTGGTTACACTGCAGTTGCTTTCGTGTGTTTTGTTGTTCTCCTCAGAACCAGTGACCGTGCAGTGCCCGCCTCTCTGCCGCAAATTGTGTCCGTATGGTTATGTTGTGGATTCTAATGGATGCCAGCTTTGCCAATGCTTGCCTCCTCCAATGACTACGACCTCGGGTGTTGTTCGAACGACTCCTCACGCTCGAACCTCCCCTCGTGTTCGAACGACTCCTCACGCTCGCACCTCCCCTCGTGTTCGAACTACTCCTCAGGGTAAAACCTCTCCTCGCGTTCAAAGCACTCGCCCAGTTCGAACCACACCTGGTGAGTAGCCCATCAGTACATAATTATACCATTGCATCAAGGATCATGTTGCCATGGGTACCATTGATTTGTTGTTGTATTATTATTATTATTATTATTATTATTATTATTATTGTTGTTGTATGTGATGTACGTGTGTTTCTATTATTTATTGCAGTGGCTGCCACAACACCGGCCCAAAATCCGTGTTCGGTAAGTTGCCCTCGGGAAACTTCACTCTGCTGCTTCTAGTGTTGTTTTATATACTGTGCTTGGCTTGACATTATTACATTTCTAGTTTTAGAAAAAGCCGACGAGGAGACAATAACTTTATTAATGCGATTAATAGTATAAGTGAAGCGGACATTACAAAATGATGAATGAGAATACATGTATCTAAAATGGTTGTTCCTAATCGATTTTCTTGAGACTATCATCAGGGAAAATCGTCTCACAATAGAGGCTATACGGAGAAACAAACTACTTATAGGTTATAGGATAGTGGGGAGTCTACAAGGTGAGGTGTGAAGAAAAAAAAACTAAAGTGGGAAAGAACTGACTGATGATAGTCTCAAGTAAATCAATTAGGAACAACCATTTTAGATACATGTATTCTCATTCATCATTTTGTAATGTCCGCTTCACTTATACTATTAATCGCATTAATTTCTAGTTTTTTTTTTGTTTTTGTTTTTTACTAAGGCCACAGCTTCCAATCATGACATGCAAAGCAGCGGTGCAGCATCGCAGGCATGAATCGTGGACGTGGTGACGGGGTCTGATGTGCTCCACCGACCTAGGGTCTTGGCTTCACTGCACAGCAAACGCGTCGAAAGAAAACGGGGAGCTTATAATTATCGGGAGATTGGGGGGGGGGGGGAGACGAAGAGAAGAAGGAGAGAGATTGAGAGAGAGAGAGAGAGAGAGAGTAAGTTACATTTATAAAGACAGGTAAGTCTAACAAATGAGGACTGAGACCTCTACAACAGGGTTTTTACGCCTGAAAGCAGGTGCATGATTTAACAAGCAGGTTGTCAGTCTAGATTTTATGCGCAGATGGAGAAAAAATGCGCAGAATTTTTGTAATGAGATGAAAAGCAGAAATAATAAGAAATAATAAGAAAAGATGAAATGAAAGCCTGCTCACAACCCCGCCCAGCCTTGCGAACTGGGTATGGTGGATTAAGAACCCGGTTCAACGCTCGAGCAAGCGCTCTCCACTCAAGGTGTTCACAGCAACTGATAGGAACTCATATGGGGAAATTATAGAAAAGAAATAATAAGATAAAGAGAATAAATTTCAACGCACCTCAATAAACGGAGCCCCACATACAGTACCTCAGAAAAGTGGATCTTCCGACCAGTGTTTTTGTTGACGTCGCAACCAGATGATGTAGCTGCTTCGCAGAGACGTCTTACTGCACAAATTACAAATAAATTTTATTCTTCGATTAGAAAACCCAAGCGCTTTCAGAGCCCTCCGAAGAGAGTCCGGGATGAAACCACGCACACCTACCTCAACCGAAAAAGAAACGACCTGCCACCCGTTTGCTCGGCATTGATCGGCCAGATCCGCATACCGCCTGTCCTTCTGCGAGTTACTGACACTGAATCTGTCCTCAGCACAAACTGTCAACTCCATCCAGAATACAATCCTACGACTCGTAGAGTACAGAACTATATCTGGTGGGAGAGAGAGAGAGAGAGAGAGAGAGAGAGAGAGAGAGAGAGAGAGAGAGAGAGAGAGAGAGAGAGAGAGAGAGAGAGAGAGAGAGAGAGAGAGAGAGAGAGAGAGAGAGAGAGAGAGAGAGAGAGAGAGAGAGAGAGAGAGAGAGAGAGAGAGAGAGAGAGAGAGGGAGAGAGGGAGAGAGAGAGAGAGAGAGAAAGAGAGATAGAGAGATAGAGAGAGAGAGAGAGCTGGGAGATAGAAGAGCACAGTGCTCTTGGTGATGGGGACTGCGAAGGATAGCAGGTTCTGGGACATGTGCATGAGAATTAGAATATTCGTGATGATGGCAGGGTTATAAGGTAAGCAGCTGAACACTACAAGAACAGGGAAAGCGTTGGCGAGCAGATCTAAAGTGCATCAGTAGCAGAGAGCCAGTCCTGAGCAAGAAGGTGACGGTACACCTTTTTCTTTAAGCTCTGCATGTGGAGCTGGGCGGGAGGGTGGTGGAACAGGTCTGGTGGCAGGGCATTCCACGTTGCAATGGTGCAAGCAGGGAATCCTTGGAGGCAGCTATTCCGGGTGTTGGCAGGCAGGCCAGTTGTCATCTGGTATGGATGGGAATCCTGCAGCTGGAGAGACTGACAGGTAGGTCTTGTCTCGGGGGCACAGTGAGTGGCTGGTTTGGGCAGCATCTGCTTCAGAGGGCTGGATGCATCCAGATAGCAGAGCTTGTAGGTATAGGCAAGTGCAGCCACCAGGCGACGGAGTGCCAGGCTAGGGAGCCAAGTACCTGCTCCGATGATGTGGAGGGCCCTTCGCTGGATCTGGTCCAGCTTCTTAAGATGGGACGAGGGTGATCCCAACCACACTAAGGGGCAATACTCGAGTGCGGGTCGCACAAAGCCGTTGTAGACACGTTGGCGGCTCTCGGCGTCCAGAATGGGAGACGCTCGCTTCAGGAAGCCAATCCGCTGGTTAGCACGGGAAGCTAGGAAGCGGAGGTGGAAGGGGTAGCTCAGGGTGTCGTCGAAGGTGATTCCCAGGAGTTTCAGCCGCTCTCTTCACTGACCGGTGTGCCGTCAAATGTTGCTCGAGGGAGCTCCCAGGGGTGGCGATGGTGGCCTATAGACATTGCCTGCGTCTTGGAGGGCTCAAATTTGATTCTCCACTTATGTCCCCAGCGGGAAAACGCATCAATGCCCTGCTGGAGGAGCTCGGAGCCACAATCGATGTCAGCTCTTGATTTGAGGCAGTGGAAGAGAGTGGTGTCGTCAGCGTAGGCTGCTAGCTCCATACCTGGTGGGAGGTGGTCCTCGCCATCATTGGTGTAGAGGATGAACAGGGTGGGACCAAGGATACTGCCCTGCGGCACGCCAGCTTTGGTCGGGTACGGACTGGAAAGTTCACCTCCAACTGCAACCCTCAAGTGACGATCAGTCAGGTAATCCCTCAGCCAAGCGAGAAGTGGACCAGTTACACCATAGCATTGTGCCTTGTGCATAGTGTTGTGCATTGTGCATAGCATTGTGCATAGCATTGTGCCTTGTGCATAGTGTTGTGTTTTGTATACTGTGCTTGGCTTTCCTTGGCTTTCCTTGGCAAGTTGACATTATTACACTCTGCTCTGGGTTACATGAGAATACTTTACTAGTAGCAATGACGCAGTAATCATCCAATGAGTGTTGACTTGTGATGTTACACACTGAGCACTCCCTAAGCTGTGTTGTATTTGCCGGTGGGCCCCTGTCACTTTGCTGTGTTGTCAGACCGTACGCTGTGCAAGTGGACCCTGCATCAATGTTGCTGGTTATCCTGTATGCACTTCAGGTAAGCTCTCATGTCACTACTGCCCTGTCACAATAATCAGTACAGCACAGGGAGTACTAAAATCCGTTTTTAGTGCTCCCTGGTACAGCAGCAGTACATCTGCAGCATCAACTTCAATTTACTTCCAGTGTGTCAAAGTAGCTGACCAGTATTACAAATACAGGCACGGTAGATGTGCATGTGGACCAATGAGGTTTGTTTCTTTCTTTTAACCTCCAGTTCCTGCTAAGAACGAATATAATATTATGAGAGAAGGAAATATTAAAAAGAATCATAACATGATAATTCCAAAGCACGAAGTATGTATATAATTCAAATGTGTGTGTGTATGTGTAAGCATGCAGTGAAGAACACACAGAGAAAACATGCAGTAATGTGTAGGGATGCCGAGCAAGGAAGGAGCGCGATTAACACTGGTTACAAATTACAATAATTAATTCTGTTCAGAGCCAGTTTAAAGGCAAAAGCCGCACTGTGGAGGCGAATATCGCTGGGAAGAGCATTCCAAAGAGTGCTTCCCACAAATGTCAATGACTGACGACCGGAAGGTCCAGGAAGGAAAGGCATTTGCAGTAGCCGCTGTTCCTGTCCTCGAGTAATTCGGCAATCATCCCGGGATGCTTGGCCTGTATTAGCCGTCAACTGAAAGTAGGTGCAGAAAAGAGGACTTGCAAGATCATGTAGGCAACGGAAAACAAAAAACAAAACCTTGTAGTGAAAAATGTGAGTTAGGGATCGAATAGATAAGCCCACGAGGAGGGGGGGCTGTGGATGCACGGCTAGAGAGTCGGAAAATTGCACTAATTCCGGATTTGCTGGATTTGATTAAACGACTCTGCAGCTGCTGTGTCAGCGACGGGAAGAATGCATTGGATGCGTACGTTAGTAGTGCTTGCACAATGCCAATGTACCAACGTCTGCGGGCTCTTATGGGCAGAGATCGCCCATGGCGCCATAGCTGGCTGATGGCGACTGACGCCTTCTGCACAACACTGGAGACATGTGGCTGCCAGGATAGCTGGTCATCAATGGTTACGCCAAGGTATTTGGCAGTGGAGGTAACAGTTAAGGCTTGATCCTTACATTTCACGACTGGTATGTTGCCAGTGAGTCCCCGAGGTTGAATTGCCATGACTTGGGTTTTGCCGGTATTCAGCAGAAGCCCAATTTCGGAGAGCCAGTCAGACAGACGTGTCACAGCCGTAGTCAAAGTCTTGCAAACGGTGTCCAGATCTGAATCAGAATAATCTAGGATGATGTCGTCCGCAAACTCCTGATGAACAACAATGCAAGGTATGACGTCGGAAATGTCACTCGTGTAAAGGACAAAGAGAAGCGGCCCAAGAACACTGCCTTGGGGCATGGGACTGCATCAGAGAGAGCCTCACACACCTTGACACGCTGAGAACGACCAGACAGATAGCTAGCCAACCATAAGTTGCATAACAATACTCTGCCATTGACTCCCAGGGTGAATAATTTATCAATCAGACGTTGATGTTGGACACGGTCAAACGCGTTTGACATGTCAACCATCATAATACCCGTGTATTTACGCTCTTGTTTGTCCAACAGCCAACGGTTGGCGGCTAGAACTAATGCATCTTCGGTAGAGTGCATTTTCCTGTAGGCAAACTGACTGCTCGGTAATATGCTATGTTGTGTGAGGTATGCTGTGAGTTGCTTCTTTACAAAGAACTCCAAAATCCAGGACAGAATAGGGAGCAATGACAATGGTCTATAGTTCGTAGGGGATGTTGCATCGCCACTCTTGAACAGTGGACTAATGTGTGATGTTTTAAAACACACTGGCACAGTACCTGATGTCAAGGATGCATTGACTAGGGTGGTAAATGGAGGTGCCAGGACGTCTGAACACTGCTGCAGTACAATTCCAGGAATGTTGTCACTCCCAGATGCTTTGTGAGGACTCACAATTTGCAAGCATTGTGCAACATCAGACACGCTTACCGGCTGAAATGTTGAGAAGCTAGATGCAGAGGCTGGACCATGTGGTATATGCAGCTCAGGTGGCCGCATAGGGTCATGCACAATGTCTCCAAACAATTTACTGAGTGACTCAAGCGGCGCTTCAGGTTCTTTCCGTGTCTTCTGTCGGCCTGTGACATCGTTCATGACAGCCCAAAGTTGCCGTTGATCTGATGTATCACATCTCTTAGTGAAGTACAAGTTGCGCAGACTCCTGTCCAACTTCCGTGCTTTGGAATGAGCTGATCGGTGCGCTTCTTTAAGGTTCTGATCGGTTTTGTCTCGGAGCCAGAGACGATGCGCCCGGTTCCGTTAACGAACACTTGCCACTAACTCATCTGTAATCCAGGGGCAAGGACGTCGAGATTTGCGGCGCCGTTCCCGAAGTGGAGCATGTTTGTCTAGAGTGGTCTGGATTCCCGCAGTGAGTGACGACGCAAGCACATCCACACAGACAGAGTCACAGGTAGTTAGTGTCTTCTCCAGGTCACATGTAAACATATTCCAATCCACTTTGTGCGAACAACTTTGTGCGAACAACGAGTCTTGCGCAGACGCTGTCCCTTCAAGTGGTGACTTGCTGAAATAGGCAGCCTGGCAAGTATTGCAGAGTGGTCACTGATATCCAAATGTATAATCTCGCAAACACCTGGATCAGGGTGGTAGACAAGAATAGATCCAGTAGTGTGGCAGTACTGCTGGTCATTCGGGTAGGAGATGTGACGTGGTTGCGAAGGTTAAACTGGAGTACATGATGCAAAGGAGTCACAGCATGGGCATCATTAAAGTTTACGTTGAAGTCTCCTACTAGCACAGTTGTGGTCTGCGGTCCACTGCAGGCAGTCTCTAGGTTTGACTCCAGCCCATCCCAGTAGCTCGCAGATTCAATAGGTGGTCGATAGCAGCAGCCCAGTAAGACCGTCTCATTGTCTGGTCGACCTGGGGCTAGAATCTCCAACCACAGCATCTCCAGCTCACACTCGAGGTCACCTCTTCGATGGACTTGCAAAGACGGGAGAGGTGTGCTCAGTCATACTCCAGCTAAAGATACCACAGTCAGTGGCGGATCCAGGGGGGGGCCCAGGGGGCCTGGGCCCCCCCTTTGACAATTTCGACCTTGGTCTACATGTAGGATTACAGTAGACCAGGTAGACTGTAGAATGAGCGCTCGAAATGACTTGGCGTGTCAAGTGGGTCACGCGTGCTGGGTACTTATCCGTCCGGTGTCACGCACTAGCCAGCACGCTGTGTACAACTACAGTACGCACTGCGACCTGAGTACACGGCCGCACTTCAAACATGTGAAAAACGTGCCAAAAATGCAGGGCCTGGTACATGGTACAAAGTGCAGCTAGTGCAGCGATCGCGTTGGGCTGAAGTCCTGTAAGTGTACGGTGTACCGTGCTGTCGGCTTCGTCCTTCCTTTTTCTTTTTCACTTGTCAGAAACTAAACGCTCTCTCTACTTCGCTTGTAGACAAGGGGTTACCTTCAGATATGCGATGAAGAGGAAAGGGTATGACATCAGGTCGTTCTTCAGTGGACCGGTAGATAAGAGAGCTCGCGTTGAAGAGCCGTCCAAAGGTCCGTCGCAGCCGCTGCCGAGTGGAAATGTTCCTGCACTTGCGACATTACCCGAACCTGCTCCTGAATGTGAAGTCATTTCAAGTCATTCCTCCAGTGACAGTTCTCTGCCTGGATCTCCGGTTTCGCACGCCAAGCCCACTGAGAGTATTAGCACTGTTCCAGCGACGGAATATTACATGTATATTTGTGGTAACTTTGTAACATACAAATACCTGCTAGTAGAGTAGTGTCGCCCTAATGCCTGAGTTACACCACACCTTGACAACACTTCCAGTCCAGTTTGAAAATGTCGTGAGAATGGAATACAGCAGCTCTTCACAACTTCGGGACTTAGTCGTTGTTGTTTTGTTTTGTTTGTTTGGGGGGGGGGGGGGGGGGGGCGTATACCTTGGGCCCCCTCTTCGGCGAAATCCTGGATCCGCCACTGCACAGTGAACATGTACCATGCTGTTGTTGTTGTTGTTGTTGTTGTTGTTGTTGTTGTTGTTGTTGTTGTTGTTGTTGTTGTTGTTGTTGTTGTTGTTGTTGTTGTTGTTGTTGTTGTTGTTGTTGTTGTTGTTTCTTGGCATCTGAGTGCACCACAGCAGTACCCAGCCTCACGGTATGATGTTCAGTCTTGAGTGGAGCGATTTTGGGTGGAGTGTGCGCACTTGCCTTCTTCTGTTGACATTTCTGTGTGACATTCCTTTCACTGATGGCATATTCTGTGTGTGTGTGTTCTGCATGACATGTGCTTGTGCTCACCGTGTCATGCACACCACTGTATGTGTAGCATGCAGTGGACCAGCTAAAGTGTGCGCTGCACCTCCCTGTCAGAATGCAAGCTGCCCTGCACACCCAGCGGCGGTGTGTGTTAACAACTACTGTGCCGGCTGCCATGCATACTTCTATGTCAAGGTGGTAGAGGTCACATCGACATGCACACCTCCAGGTACGGTATGTTACAGTTGTACACTACAACAAGTATTACTAGTCTCACAGTCTCACAGTTGAGTTGTAGCTGCATTCATTCACTTGTGTTGTGTGACTTGTTGGACTAGTACTATGAGTACAGCAAGTACTGCATGTGCAACTACCGTACTCATACTTGAACTGAGTCACATCTGTCACCTTGGTTAAGAGCTGCATGTGTATGTGCATGTGCATGTACACCTGGACTTTGAGCCGGGTGATAGCGTTCCTACACTGTATAGATGTGGGACAAACCCCGGGAAGACTCACTCCCATGCCAGTGGTTGACTTTCGAATCAAAGGACATGAGCAGAGTCTCCCACCGAACACAGAGTGCTCAACACCATGAGGTGGAGCCGTACACTCGTATCAGGAGGGAGAGAGCTGGTCACCTGAATATTGCCCAGGGTGTGAACATCGGACTTGTAACTTTTTAAATTTCCTCTCTCTCTCTCTCTACTTATTTGAATTGTCCACCTCTCCACACCATGTGAATTAAAAACAGTACAAGTAATGATGCAAGCACCGATGGTTTGGTTCCTGCATGTTGGAGTTATTTCGAATTTAGGTTGCAAGTACTTCTACGCAAGTAACACATTCAAGCTGAAATACTTCTGTAGTCGGGTGAGAGCTTTTACATCCTTCTGAAGTAGAGTTCAAGTACCTACATGCACCGGGAACAGATCTTCATCAGCAGTGTACGAGCACCTGGAGAGAGTACTTCATGTCGCTTCCTCTCCGTTTTGTTGCTTTCCAGTTGGGCAAGTGGAAATAAACTGTGTGAAGAATGTGTGCTGTGGACAGCTGTTATGGCCTCATCAAGTATTTGTACCTGCGTACACACACCTCTACAAAGTGCCAGTGCCATTGTGCTCGTAACATGATTTATGTCTTTGCTTGTATTTGTTTGTAGCTACCGTGTGCCCTAAGTCATCATCAGTGTCACCGGTTTGTCAGCTGCAATGTTCTTCAGACAGTGATTGCTCACAGGATGGTGATGGCTGCTGCAGTGTGGGTTGTAGTAAGATGTGTGTAAAGAAGTGCACTAAACCTACCTGTCAGTCTGCGTTTGATCCTTCGAAATGCCAATATGGCCAAGCCAGCGACTCGACTAGTGGCTGTCCAATCTGTCGATGCAGTGAGTAGTATTTTGTACTTGTCGTTGATACTCGCTTTGCTCGGACTGATACACTTCATGCACTTCTTGAATTCTTTCCATCTTTCCACATTTGATTTGCCTCTCATCTTGCTATCTGAACACTGTTCCCTTCAGCTGCTCACTCAGGCTATACATCAGTGGTCATAGCTGCACATCACTGTTCACTGCTATACATTGGTGTCCAGTCATAGTGGTTGACTATGACTGTGAAAGGGAGTAGCCATAGCAACACCATTGGCATTGTCCATCACACGACTACGAGTCTACATAACACAGTGCTTGCTGGCAACCCCGAGTGGGCTCGATATTATATTCATGCTTTCGCTTGTGCATAAATTATGTATAAGTGTATATTTTGTGTATATGTTTTTTTGAATTCTCAGTTTATTCTCGCGATGGCACCATCGCCAATAAGAGATAAGCTGTTGTTGTTGTTGTTGTTGTTGTTGTTGTTGTTGTTGTTGTTGTTGTTGTTGTTGTTGTTGTTGTTGTTGTTGTTGTTGTTGTTGTTGTTGTTGTTGTTGCTGCTGCTGCTGCTGCTGCTGTTGCTGTTGCTGTTGCTGTTGCTGTTGCTGTTGCTGTTGCTGTTGCTGTTGCTGTTGCTGTTGCTGTTGCTGTTGCTGTTGCTGTTGCTGTTGCTGTTGCTGTTGCTGTTGCTGTTGCTGTTGTTGTTGTTGTTGTTGTTGTTGTTGTTGTTGTTGTTGTTGTTGTTGTGTGTGTATGTGTATGTGTATGTGTATGTGTACAGCATCATTGTGCGAGTCACAGCGCCAGAAGGCAATCTCTTCTGGTCCTCAGCCGATAGGGCGCCGTCGTCGTCAAGCTCCCGGGTCCTACATTCCCGGCTGCGAGGCCGATGGCTCGTTCACCGTCCTGCAATGCCGTGACTCTAGCGGTTATTGCTGGTGTGTGAACCCAACGACCGGTGTCAATACCACCCAGCATGTACCACCGGCTCTGCATAAAACACTGCCCTGTGTGCCTTCAGGTACCACTAGACACATGTAACATGCACGGCAGTACTAATAACGTGTTTGGTTAAGTTTATCACAGTGCTATCTGCCTACAGTGTCATGAGTCGCTACGGCTAGGCACTTCACCTAATGGTGAAAAACATCTTGTCTCGGTGGCTATATGCAGTATGTTGTGGCTGGACAGATGGTCGCTTTGTTTGAGCAATGTGGGCAATGTGTGGTAGTGTGGTAGTGTGTATGTTTGGAACAAATTCCTTCCATCGGTGGGAGTTGTGGTTTGTTTGTTGGCTTGTTTTGGTATATGTACCGGGCAAGTACCCAGAGTCAGCCCATACTATACACTATTGGTTGAGAACTACCATTGCTTAATTATGAAGTCGAATATCTTATCACCGATTCTGCCCGGGTCGAAAACTGTATTCCGTACTGTGACTTGGCAGTGGTTGGCGATTGCGATTGTTTGGGCAACCTCCTGCCGCCGGTCATACTGTTATATCTGTGTGTGTTCCTTTCCCAGTAGCCACCACTAGAGACAGTACCTCCACACCAACCTGCGCGCCTTGCACTCAAAAATGTGTTCACGGAGTGTTGTCGGACACGAACGCCAACGGCTGTTCCCTGTGTTTGTGCAAGCCTCCACCTGACGTGTAAGTGTCTCTAGGGTACACAGCCGCATCAGAGTCTTTCAGAGTATATGTACACGTAGTACATATAATGTAACCTTTAGAAATGTGTAGTATTGTGTGTTTACAGTATGCAGGGTACTGGAGCACGGTGTAAATCTGGTAACCAATTGAGAAATGTAATGCTTATACTTCAAAGTACAATCATACACCTTACTCATGTAGTCACTGCTTTGTCTTTGCTACTGGTATTTGCAAGCTAACTGGAACCGTGCGGGAAAGAAGTTTTTTTACATTCCTTGTAATGGCAGTGTTGCCCTTTTGCAGGGACTCCTCAAACACCTGTTTTGGTCCAAATGAAATTCGGCTTCTGTTCATGGTTGGCAGCAAGCAGGGGGAGAACCTCCCAAGCATCAGTGCCTAATGTAGAAAATGGTGCAGAGGCGGATAAAGTGAATATCAGGACTTGTGCTTAGTGCAATGCTGTGGCCTTGTAGAATGCAAGAGGTGAGTCTTCGACGATCCGTTCCAGAATCTCACTGGAAATTAGCGACACCTTTATTACTAGTCTGAGCCTCACTCTGCAACATGGAACTTGATAAGTGGTCTAGCAAGAGCATTCTGGAAAACGCCTGACTTATACCATATGCTTTTAAACAATATTGTTTAGAAGTTATCTGCTGTGCTTCCTTTGATGTACTCTCTCTCTCTGTCTGTCTGTCTCTCTCTTTCTCTCTCTCTCTCTCTCTCTCTCTCTCTCTCTCTCTCTCTCTCTCTCTCTCTCTCTCTCTCTCTTTCTCTGTAGGAAAATCATTCGCCTCACGCTGACATTGCAGAGCAACAAGGCACTGTACGATGCCCTGAATGCTGACGAAGAGCAGACACAGCTGAAACTGCTTGCCCTGTATGTTGCTAATAGTAACCGAGATGTAGTGTAGAGCGTTACAGTATTGGCCTGATCTGCACCAACTGCATGATAGCTTTTATTATAGGTATTGTGATGACTGGTGACGTCATCGATTACATCATTGTTTGAGGTGATTTGTGTTGAATGCGGCTTGCAAGCACTAATTTGCCACACAATACAGAGCATATGCGCGAGTTGCATTATTTGGGATGCCATTCGCACATCCTTTGTACTATCTAGTAGTGATGTAGCACAACTGTGCAATGCCCATTTCTGTAGACTAGATACTCTATTTGCTTCCAGTCAACCAATAGATACCATCTGATGAGTTTTGCTCGTTCGATTTGCACCATCTTCTTCTGGTGTATGCAGGCAAATTAGAACACAGCTGATGACTCGCTTCAGCATCCCATCACAGCAACTTGCCAAATTCACCGCAACCAGCAAGGTATGGGTCGCGATACAAAATCATCACAACAAGCTCATTCAGTGTGTCGCAAACGACAATTACTTTGTGTTTGTTGTATTTTATTTTCGCAATAATATTTATGAATTAGTTCCATCTCCACCATATGTGCTCTCTGGCCAGCCTCATTCACACCAGCAACGCCGGTGACTCCAAGTTGTAGATATTGCTGAAGAGGCGCGAAGGGCTACCGTGTTTTCCGGAGTATAAGCCGCACCCCCATTTTTTTGCCACGAAATACAGACATCTGTCCTATTTATCACAGCCGCGCCCCTTTTTCGAGTGAATTTTGAGTGTTCAAAGTGTTATACTCCGGAAAATACGGAACATGAGTGTACTTGTTTTTCTTCTTGTGCAGTATGCCTGCGCACCCTGCATTTCATTGTGTGTGGATTGGTGGAGTGGTACCAGGGGCAAATATATCTAGACAAAGAACACCTATTCACAGTACGGACATTTGGTTGGAAGTGTAGTTTCTAATACTAAGAACGAGAAGAAAAACGGAAAACAGCAACAATGGGATATATGGGTACTACCAATCAGTGCTAAAACAACGTGAACAGCTGACTACCCGTAACTAAGAAATACGTGGAGAACAGCATTGCAACTGTAAAAGTTTTTTTTTAGTTCATAGCTGGTTAGATGTTCACCTGACTATTTTGGCACTGATTGTTAGTACCCACATATCCAATTGTTGCTGGGGTTTTCCCTTTCTCCCTCTCAGTGTTAGAAATTGCCCATTTCACAAGCAATGATGCATTGTGATGTGAAGTGGGGATTGTATGAGGAGCGGAGAGCAGAGATATAACAGATATAACCTTTTTTCTTTGCTATCTCGAGCAAAGGAAAACCCGATTTCAGGTTGGCATACACTGTTATATCGAAGCTCGAAGCTCCGATATGCAATCACACTTCTATATGCCAGTACTGTGATTAGGTGTTATTTCTCAAATTCCGAGTGATTCCTCTAGGAGTCATTCTTGTGTGCTCCAGTTGTTCATCAGTAAAACAAAGATTCCTGAGGAGTGTTGTATGAATACTTGTTTGAATCTTTCTCCTCTTTTTTATGTACTTTGGTGTTGTTTGGTGGGTGTATGCATGCGTGTGCGTGACTGACTTTGCAGGTTAGTGAAGGAGGAGAGTACATGACGTACGTATCATTCAATGTTCAAGGCAACACACTCAATCCAGATCCTGAGGCTGTTGTGCAGAAAATCCAAGAATCAGTAAGTGAGGCGTGAGGCAAGGGATTTTGTGCCGAGATGTAACGAATATTCGAGTATTTAAACGTTTTAATTTGACCTTTTGATGCTCTAAGAATATTTGAATAGCAAATTTCAAATTTGAAGGTTCAAATTATCACGACAGACATGCTACGACATACATGTGGTCAGACGGCAACAATGACAATGGTTAGCTCTGAGATGAGATTAATCCGCTTGAGTCAGCAGTATCTGGGCAATCGTAGAGGAAAGCGATGAACTTGGAGAACAAGGACAGCTTTACAGGGCACACACTCGTGTGCATTGCTGATGTGTGCATGCGTGTGCGGAAATGTGGAAATGTGTGTGTTTGTGTGCTTGTCTACAAGTCTACATTGCTGTGCTTATTGTTCCAGGCTGCTAGCAAATCCCTGGTTCTAACGTTCAGCAGTTCCAGCGGACAGACGTATGACATGGCCGTGGCTGATTCATCCGCAGTGGCGCAGACCAATGAATCCACTGACAGCAAACAATCAATGTATATTGCTATTGGAGTTGCTGTGCCCGCTGGTATCATTCTGATAGCTATTCTCGTTCTCGTAGTCTACAAGGTGAGTACGGCGGTGCTGTCTGTGTTTCGCCGTGACCATGAACTTGTACCCCAACGTGATGATTTAACTCATTGTGGTGCTTACACATACATGAGTAACAATATGCATGCTGAGTTTGGGGGTTGTTTCAGAAGACCAACGGTCAATGCCTGTACGCCCACCTCCTGTATTACCGTAGGCTGTATTAAAGCCTCATTTTACATATACCGGTGAACTCCCACCATAGGCACATTCCCTCTGCTCTGAGTGCAGAGTCATCACACAACTCACACAGAAGGGAAGAGTTTGTACTCCAGATATTGTTTCTCGCATTTCCTTCTGCATGAGTTTTGTGGGGATTCAAACGGAATTTGGCCCAAATGGGGGGGGGGGGGGGACGTTATTCCGTATGGATGCCAAATACTTTGTGCATGTGCATTTCATTCCTTCAAGAAAAAGAAAAAAGAAAAAAATCACAGTTCGCGTGAGACTCGGTTTCTCTATATAGAGGCCGAGTTTTCCAAGAAAAAGCAGTTTTAATTAAATGCTCTCTGTCAGCAGCTTGTGAGCCAGCCACCACCATGATATCTCAGAGCCTATACATGTACAGTAAAACCTGGCATTTTTCCATGCACGGACAATTCTACACAGAAATTGTGGGACCTGGTTCTAAAGACCGCCTGGCTTTAACGGCCGCTTTTGCTTGCACCGTGGGTTGGTCGCTTAAACCAGGTTTTACTGTAATTATATGCTCGTATAGGACTCAGGACACCGGTATAACACCATGGTGATTTACAAAATAATGAAGTGGTTTTCAGTGATATATTGTATTTGTTTTTGTTTGCATGTGCTTGACATGCTTGTTTCCATGTGTGTGTTGTGTGTTCAAATGTCTCCAGGTCAAAGTCCAGAAGGTAAGCAGTCCTGTGTTGATTATTGTGTAGAGTATGATAGCTGTTTGGAATTTGATGGCATCAGCTCTTGTTCGCGAGAGTCTCTTTGCTCTTACAGACGATGTTTACCTGGAGCTGATGGGCACACCAGGTGTTAGAAATCGAATAGTCCTCTTTTCAGCTTGAAATATTACGTGTCGCACACCCCTTGCAGGGTTGGAACTTTCAACGCATGCCCCTAGAGGTTTGATCAAAACACAAACTTTAGTCAAATACGCAATCAGCCTTACCAGCTGGATCGACATGTCACGAGTGCCTTATTGAATGAAGAACAACAAGATGACAAATCTTGGATTCTTTCTGTTATTCATTCAATAAAGCAGTCATGATCAGTCGATCCAGCTGGTACTGTTGATTGTGATTTTGAAACTACTGTCGCCTCGCCGCTTATAACTTAGCCATTCTCGGCATCCTGGATACCTGGCTCAACAGAAGTGGAGTAGACTCATTGGACAATGGCAACGTCACAGGCCCTCTATTGTTGTGGGTGGAGCCTCGTTTTGACCGGGTGTTGGAATTATCGTCGAAAACCACTTATCAAAAATATCATCATATTCACTGATTTGAGGGAAAAACGCAAACGGGAAAAGTCTGAAGAAAAATTGACTGTCACCACCAGGCCACGTGCTTAGCACAGACCGATCCTCCTCTGAACGAATCGTAACTGTGAGACTGCTGTCTTCGCTCAAGCCTGGATCAAAGTGTATCACCGTCATCTGTTGCTTTGCTCCTGTGCTCTAAAGTGCAACGTCTTGTCCAACCGAAACAGACAATTTCTACTCCCAACTCGAAAATAATGGAAGTTTCCGAAGGAGGAAACTGTAGTTTTCATCAACCCTCACCGCGACCAGCTCACGCCGCTGTCGCGTGCGACCTGAGCTGGACCCCCTGCCGCGTGGCATGGGGCTGTCCTCAGGCCAGTTGTGTATTTGGCAGCCCAGTGTGCTGTCTACAGGATCACAGTTACTAGAGTTACTAGAAGCACTTAAGAAAGCATGAACGGACACATGTAAATGTATTATAACACACACTTGAGAGGAATCAAATGCGTTTCTGCTGTAAATATTTTTTGTATTCTTCTGTGCAGAGTTGTTCTTCTTCTCGCTCTCATTCTTGTCCTTGTCGTCGTCGTGGACGGTGCATGATATGAGTAGCTTTGTGTCCGCTTTGATCATTCCCTATACACATGCAGGATGGCGGTCGAGCTTCCACAGTCAAGTATGAGAAGCGGCTCAGTAGCGCACACCTTACAGGCTCAGAGAACGAGTACGTGAACAACCCGGCTGCAATCTAATAACTTGTTATTGGTTGGGACTTGCGTCTCAGTCTTTCAAAGTCGCCTTTTTACTACCAATGAATCTGCCCATTTACAAGCTTGATATTTTTCTTTCCCTTATAGAAGGTGTTGTAGCAGTAGGTCTACAAATTCTCTACCTTATTTGTCATGTGATGCCACTACAAAAGGTTAGGGTAGGTAGGTAAGGTACAGCATGTTTTAGAGTTTTCTCTCTTTTTTATTTTTATAGTCGGCACTAGTCTAGCTTAGGTCGCCAGACTGGGTGCGGCACCCGGCCAGCCTTTGTCAATGTTTTGCCTCTCAACTAACTAACTAAGCTTGTCTAGCAACATTCACAACAAGGTTATGAATCCTATGAATCCTATACATGACTAGTAACTATTGACTACAAGTAATATAATTATTTCAAGTAACTGCTCTTTTTGAAAGCAGTTTTACATCATGCTGCCACCAGTACAAGCCATGCAGGACATTGCTGTCACAGAAGTTTCGTTTAGACTTGAATTCCTCCAGACGGATCACCGGTGTTAAAAGCCACCGCTTTTCTAAGTAAGTTTGCAATTTGCATTCCTGCACGTGCACATTGATAGTTTGCATAATATTATGTTTTACTCCCTGCTACATCATGCTGCATACTGTCAGTGACATGTATATATTCCAAGCCCTTGAGGACTTCTGATTCAGTACGTGTATATTGTACAGCCGGTTGTAACGTGGACAAGACATAGTGAACTATAATACAAGTACATCATGTGTACATGTAAGTGCAAGCGTATACATGTTTAACCTGGTGCCTCCTCCCAGTCCCAGGCCCTGGCGTCCACGTAGATCACTGTGAGTCCAATCAATGGGCACAGGATTCGACCCCATCGCAGTCCGGTGCTTCCGCAGCTTTGCATTGACGGATGGCATCAGCAATACAATCCTGTACATCTGGTGCCCACTGTGACTGTGTCTCAGTGACTCCGATTCAGCATCACTCTAGCCTACCAGTGCAGTACTCTTACTCGAAATAGTGTCAATTATCATACAGTGTGTGGTGCACGTGGTGGATCTGAGTTCTGACCATATTGGGAGCGGCATACAGAATATCCATGCAGGTGCATTCAAGACGCCATCTCTGATCCGTAACTGCCGCCGAAAAGATACCGGTAGTTTCAGCACGGCATGCCGGCAGACAACCGTAATCATGGGCGCTGCTGCAGGTCGAATGGTTGCACTAGCGAGTAGCATGGCACATTGCACATCGGTTCTAACTTCTATCGCCCCATGTAATGCAGGTGGCACATGGCTGTAGGTCTACACGACAAACGTATAATGGACCACTGATGCGCGCCTCCACAATGACTTATATTAAGTAACACAGACGTTATAAGCTTATTTCTATGTTGCTCTTTCCATCGCGCAGATTCCGCTTTGGCTTCAGTTCGACAATCCCACTGCTGACAGCATGTAGATCTACCGGTACATCATGTTAGTCTACACTATCACTACACTCTATAGACAGTCATGTAGATCTAGTATGCAACCGGAGTGTCGTGAAAACCAGGGTTTCACGACTCCCTGCTGGCTGCAGTCACGATTCGTCCGATTCCATCTTGTAAACTGGTTTGTGGTCGGTGTAGTCGACGGGAAAGAGTCATCAGTTCCGTAGTCTAGATGATCTCCCTGTCGACGTCGATGCATTCCCGGGATCCTGGGTGGCCTCAAATCAGCCTACCACAGCCCTGTCGCACAGACGCACACGCAGCAGAGTCCACACAATACACTGCACGCACGTGATCGTTACCCGAGCGACACAACCTACCGTCCGAGTCGAGTGACTACGACTCGGAGTCGTAGTCGTAGTTTGGTAGTGGCAAGTATCAAGTCGTCCAGCCCTACTTGTCTCCGCCAAGCCACAGATCCAAGACTTCACGTCTTCAGTCAGACCAGGCCTAGGGGGTGTGAAACACATGAGATCCATTTCACGATCACGTCCTTCTGTTCTGGCACTGATCTGAGTCGAGCACTTCTTTCCGGCGAGGCGTTCCGTCGACTTGGCCGGGAACAGTTGCAATATTTTAATCCTCCACACTATTAGCTTTTCACAAGAGGCGTGCAAAGCGTCCGTCATTCCGTTCGCCAAGGCATCGTGGAAAGCTAGAGACGAGTACAGCATGGTGGCGTGTAGCCGCAGCTCTGCACAGCTCTGCACAGCTCAGGTACCTAGCCAGCAAAGAAGCCCGAGCAACGATTGACTGATTACATCTTGGACCAGGAGCGGCCACTTCGACTGGCGAGGTCACTCTAGTTCGAGGTGTGGGACGTGGAGCCGAAAAATATTCGGATCTCACCACTGCCAATTTGGACCGGCATAGCACACACGTACCTTGCTGAGTCCATGTTTGTGTGGGAGTAAGTGGCGGATATCAATCAGTCTAGCGTCGCTCCAGGAGTCGTCAGTGAGCTCATTTCGAGGAGACGTGCACACAGTGCATACAAATCTAGCCTGCAATAACGGCTACGTAACGTTTAGCTACATACTGTAACATAGCGACGCAGTAATACAAATCTATACAGGAATGGCGGACGAAGCTAACTCCAGTAGTGCCAGCGCCATCAGCTCTACGTCGAGTTTCATGAGTGTTGGAAGCACCCGGGATTCTGTGGAGCTGTCCAGAGAGATACGAGAGTCATTCCGCGAGGACATCGTAAGTCATTCATAGCGTTCACGTTCAAGTGTTTCATGTTGAAAATAGGATGAGTACCGGTATACTAATAGAGTGCGGTTCGCCATGTTTACTTCTGGCTGGCATACCGACACATGACGTTGTGTACGACTCCCTGCATGCTAGTAGTAACTGGGGCACCACTACCAGTGTACTAGTACCGTCCTGCTGTTACTACAGACAGTGTGCAGTGCAGTGTTGCTCAATGAAATCCAGTCCCGTCACTCAAGTACACGCCGGGCGTTGCGCAGCCCTAGACCTGCCAACACTGGGCTGCAGAATGATGCAAGGTGCAAGCTTGAGTGACGCGACTGGATTTCATTAAGGACTGCAGTATCCTCAGAGAGTCAAACACGACATACTTCCGTGTACAGTATAGTATGCATGCAGAGCACAGCTGACCTATAACGTATAATGCTACGCGTAACATTTCATGTACGTGTAGCGGTTATGCCATTGCATCATCGGTTGAGATGCTTTGGCAAAGTCGCGACGCAGCGCTGCATTAGTGACCCACTAACGTCAGTAGCGATGTCCATAAGCCGTTCCGTTGACCCGTGCTGTACACGTAGCGCCTATACATGTACATAGCGGTTCCACTGACCCACCACCATGACATCATTCGCTTAGTATCTGGGATTGTGCAGGCTTGATTAGTGATTGTAGTGAACGGGGCCTGGACCGTTAATCATGATATCGCATATAATAGTCACCTCTTGATCCACTCTTGATCGTTCACGCGTTGGTAACTTTCTAGGGTAATATTATGGTTTTGAAACATCACTGCCGTGAATGTTGCTCCCATTGTCCTCGTGATACACCGCACCAAACTTGGTGTTGTGATCCAAACTTGGCGTTGTGATTCGCGAGGAATATTATAATTATACTAATTATTGTGACTCAATGATGACTACTCATACACGATAAAGTGTCTTTTGTTGAGCTTGAAAACAAACTCAACAAAAGGTACTTCATCATTCCCCTACCCCAAGTGGGTCGAGCTTGGTGTCGTACTTTTGCCTTCTCGAATTCAATATTCCTCCTTGTGGACTCGTGGAAAACGAACTGCCGCGAGAAGGGGACTGGTCGCATTGTAAAAGGCGAAATGCAAGTGCACAAGAACTCAAGAAGTAATTTCATGTTCATGCTTTCAGCAGAGCAGTAACAGCTGCAGAGACGAAGAATGAAGATTGTTTCTCTCTGATGATTTTTTTCCGGAAGCAGAAGGATCTGGTTTGAAAGCGATGGTGATGCATTGATGGCCCTTGTACGAGCTCGTACATATCCAAATACGCGTGTTGAAGGGAGGGGGGGGGGAGGTGCACTGAGTCTGTGTGGTCATTCTAATTCCATGGGGGGGGGGGGGAGGGGGAATCCCATAGCACTCTGATGAGCAGCTGCACGCAACGCTAGCCTGGCCGGGAAATGTACTTGAGGTCAGGTGCCAGACTACATACTGTAACCTACAGTACGTAGTCTTTAGAAAAGATTACAGCTGTACAGCAAATGATCATAAAAGATTACAGCTGTACAGCCAATGATCATAAAATGCTTGAGCTAAGGTGCTGCCAATGTTAGCTCCCGGCTAAACAAAGTTCCCAAACACTTCCAGAACACAGGGGTGCATGATTTAGTCATGCAGTCAATGAGCATTGGGGCAGGGTGTGGGGTATGCAGTGTGCCATGCACCGCCGGGAAGTGTCCGTCTGAACCCAGGCTATGGCATCACTGCATCCTTTGTGACAAGCAACGATAGTGATAACAACAGTCTAATGGGGGAGCTACCTATCAGCTACTCGAAAGATCTTGTGTATCATGTCCTTACTCCTCCACGTGTTTGTGTATTCTGTGCTTCTTGCCAGGCGAATGCACGAGCAAAGGAAGACGAACTTGCCCAGGAACTGGCGGAGCTAGATGCTGCTGTATCCCGACTTAAACGTCTAGACAGTGGCCCACACCGCTCAATGTCATTGACAGGATTTCAGCTCAGCAGTCCAACGAGTGACGTCACTCGCTTGACCTCTACACCACTCTCCAGCGACAGGAAGGGCAGTCTCTTCGTTGGCAGCCAAGAGTCATCCGCGTACATGGACTTTTTGACCAGCAAAAGGTGTGCATCGTTCCTTGCTCCAATCAGTGGTATTGGTGGAATACCTGAGGAAACCGACCCAACCAGCTTAGAGCCGCATGTCTGTGAGAATGCCAGTCAAGCTGAAGATCAAAGTGGCAGTGAAAGAGGTGTGTGCATAGACACACCCGAAGAAAACAACAAGAAGGTAGAAGTATGTGCTACTGCAGAAGAAAAGCATGAAGCTACCACAGTTACCGATGGAAGGACACGAGATGCAGCCATGAAATCAGACATGTTTCACTCGCAGCTGTCCGATGACGTCCATATACGGAAAGGAAAGGGACGATTCATCCGTGTTGAGACTATAGAAAGAGAGAACCCCAGCAAGAATCCTCACTTTCGACCTACGAACATTGGCATGGCAGCTTTTGAGCATGGGCTTGTTAGCGATGCAATTCATGAAGGAACAGATGTGATGACACCTGACCGAACTCAAGCCGCAGAACCGTCAACATCATCACCTGCAGCAGTGCGGGTTCTCAGTCCAATCAATGATAAAAGCTCTCCTCAGCTGATCAAGTCAGTAAAGGTGCACTCAAGAAGATCCGGGGGAGATGGTAGGGAAGCTAACAGTAGCCCTGTTCTGAGAACTCACCGTCAAGATGTGTCACGCCGCCGCTCTAGCCCTGTCCGATCAGCTAGGGAAAAAGAGGCTGATACAAGGCGACCGTACCGATTGACTGAACTTTAATAGCAACAATGACGGCATACTATTTGCCTCCAAACACAGGCCCAGGCCTGATGGTATGTGCACGTATGCTCGCTTGTAGCGTAGTGTCCTTGACTGTGAACCTTCGAATCCATGCCTTGCCTGTTTGGGGCGATGATCCACATGCATGACGGGTATGGTTTAGCCATGACTTGTGAGCAACTAACAGGTGTGAGTCTTGATCAAACCATAAGGACATGACGTTATGTACAATTGACATGGATAGACTGTTGAGGGAAATGAGTGATGGCATATACGTTATGCTAGATATAACTGATAACAAACAAGGCCGGTCTAGGCAGCTCGAGGTAGAGTGCCCAATGCACACGTGTGCAGAGCAGTATCCACACGCAACAGAGGCGAAAGGCTGTGTAGCTGTAACTTTAAGTTTCATGCATTTCAGCCATCATCAGACAGCAGCATTTACCAGCAACATTTTGCATTTTGTAAATGCTGCTGTCTGATGATGGCTGAAATGCATGAAACTTAAAGTTACAGCTACACAGCCTTTCGCCTCTGTTGCGTGTGGATATAACTGATACATATCTTGCCTTCAGATGATTTTCCCATGAAATTTGTCGATTGTCCACCACAGTCTGGGGCATGTAGCATTTAGTATCTTCGTTACATCTTTGAAAAGACCTTTCAAACTGTAATTTCATTCTCTTGATTTTGCCAGCTGCCCAGTCGCATCGCAATTTTTTAATTATTTCCCTACTGTATGTCAAGTTTGAAGTTGAAGCTAGACTTTCTCGATCTGATGGACCTGGGACACCTGGGACACTTACTAATGTGAAAATTGACTTTTAAATTAAAAGGATGTTTTTTTGTACAGAAAGGTAACGTACAACTCTCACACAAAAGATAGTGTTTCATATTTTGCACATACAAGCCTCTTCTCGTACACGTAGAAGAGGTTTGTACTGTATCACAAAAGGCATCAGGTGCATTGTAACCCCGGAAGCCAACGGCCGTGCTCAATGAAATCCGCTCCCTTTACTTGGAATAATAGTGCACACTAAATGTATGTCCATTTATAGCCAGTCACTGCCTAACGTGTGCAAGTCTGGGCTTGTCCAGCTGACTCACGTCGTGACCTGGATTTCGTTGAGCAGCACTCGACAATGCTGGTACTAGTAGTACTGGTACAGCAGTAGAGTGGTGTTATTAATTCTGATGAGTGCCATCGCAGCATAATCCAAATCAGCAAAATCCAAATCTAGCTCAAAAGTGAAACCGTTATAGGAAATAGTACCACTGTCTGGTAGTGGGTGTGGGAGACAAGAATGTTTTGATCATTGACGACGTTGTGGCAAACATAGCTCCAGTCCACATACAGCAGAGCAGGCAGCATTGATAGCAAATGGATGCGGGGGTAAACAAGTGAGGTGCTGTGAATCAAGGCTGCCACGCTGAATAATCGGAACACCCTCTAAATGGAGGAAGGAACACACATCGGGAAGTGAAGATCATCAGAACTGTGTCCTTTCCATGCCATTACTTCAAGCCATCACAAACCAGGAGATGATGGTAAAAAATAGAGAAAAGTTGTGAAACAAAACATTGATAGAACATTTCAAAAATATGACTTGGAAAATGTGTGTCAAATCAGGTACCTCGAAGAGCAAAAACGCAGATCCCATAACCGCATTGAACTGACGGATTTTTATCTGAGAAAAGGAATAAATTACACCAAGAGCATGTATGCACCCTTGGTTACACCATGCCACACCCTGATGAAGGGCTTGTGAGTGGGAGTGTGGAGAATGGAGAGTACGTGGGAGTGTGGAGAATAGAGAGTATGTCCGGCTGCTACTTGTTTCGCTTTGCTAGCCATGATCGTTGGTTCATTGGCTGGTGCTGTCCAGGCATAGCTTGAGCACCGTTCCCTACTGTGCTCATCGCAGGAGGCTCCTTCGGTGGAGAAAAATGTTCAAAGTTGAACTCGAGCTGTGGCAGTGATGAATCACTCTGCTGCCGGGCCAATGGCGATGTGTCCATGCTGGGCATACCTGCAGCTGCGGCTGCTATGGCTGCAGTCTGGTTTGATAAGTCCATGTCAAGTTTCGTGTTGGCCAGTGCTGCCATGTTCATGAACCTGTCCATGTCGGCTTCTGTCAGTCCACTGTTAGCCAGTAGGTCTTGACCGGTTGCCGCATCTTGGTAGAGCGAAGACATCTCGTTGGGCATGACAACACTGGTCATATAGGGCATTAGTGTCTCGCTGCCGCCATCACCTCCGCCGCCACCACTAGTTGTAGCAGACTGTTGCTGCAGCATGCCAGGAGGAAAGCTTTGACCTGCTTGACTACCTGCAGCCATAAGGAGTGCTGCCTGCGTGCTGGCCAAGTACGAATTGTCGTTGATGATTTGATGGTGGGCTGCAGTGTAGCTAGGTGGCTGTCCCGTGGCAAGGCTTAGCGCTGCGCTTGCAGTTGACATCTGTGCATACAAAGTCTGCTGTTGCTGCTGTTGCTGCTGCTGAGCCAGGATATTGGTTGGGAACATGCTGGCCATGGCAGCACCTTGCATTGCCTGTTGCATCGCCTGCTGCTGCTGTGCGTGTTGCTGTTGCTGCTGCTGCTGCTGCTGTTGGGATTGGTGTTGGTGCTGGTGTTGGTGTTGTGGTGCAATGGGTTGCAGAGGAGGAGGCATATTTGTACACATTGAATGAAGCTGCTCATCACTACCCGGATGGAAACCGGGAGGTGCAGAAAAATAGTTGCCGAAATGTGTGGGCTCACTGATTGATCGTTGTCGACTGCCGAGACCTGTCACAGAACGTGACTCATGGATGGATGATGCTGAGCTGCGCTGACTGGAAAGTGGACTTTTCTGATCAGACTTTGGAGCTGGCTTGCTACCAGTCTGTGCTCTCTGTTGCTGCTGCTGCTGCTGCTGCTGCTGCTCATAGTAGGGATCAAGAAAGCCTGGGGCTGACGTAGATGTTGCTGACATGTTGAGATATGCATGCGCATGTCTTGCATGTGGCGGAGGCGTGTGGTGCGGGGTGCCTTGTATGCTGGCTAGCGGTGTGTCAAACGGTGTCCCAGCAACAGGTGTCAAGGTAGGTTGGAACGGAGGACGATAGGTGGATGGCACGGCATCCGCCTGTGGTTGAATGGACAGGGACGAGATAGCAGTGCCAAGATTCTCATCGGTCGGTAGTGCCAAAGTAGGTATATTACCAACCACCATGCCCTGTTCGTTCAGTGAGTCCCCGGGCATGATATCAGATGGTGACAGGAAGCTGTCATCATAACTTGAGCCTTCACTTCCACTTAGGTACATGGCAGCATGTGGCAATGGATCTATATCAAACTGGCCGGCAGGCTGGCCAAACGAACCAACCACACTATTTGCATCAAGAAGATACGGACCGGGTGAGTTGGGCGATGGAGATGTGAATAGAGCTGAGGGACTGTTTGCGTCAAAGTCATCCTGAAGCAATGGTGATTCACACACACCTAGACTGGGAGATTGTGCAGCAGCAAGAGATAGGGCATTGTCTAGGAGCGGTGAGGACAAATGAGTCGGTGAGAATGCTGGACTTGAATGGTCAGAAGTCAAGCTAGATGCATCTTCAGTTTTAAGTGGTTTCCCACTCTTTGCACCTCGTTTCGTCTTTGCAGCTGCTTGCTGACGCCTGGATCGAATGGGCGATGACGCAGACACATCAGTTGGCATTGAGAAAGCACGACGTCTGTTACTGCGCTTAGCATCAGGGTTAATCATCCACCAGTTGCTTTTGCCTGTCTGCTCGTTCTGGACCTTGATGAAGCGAGGGTGAAGTGACAAATTGTGACGGACAGAGTTCTGCACAGCAGTATAAGAGCATCCACGGAGACAATAGACATACACATGTGCGCGTACACACACATACATACATACACACAGACACACACACACACACATGCACACACACACACACACATACACACACACACACACACACACACACACACACACACACACACACACACATGCTCATAGACACACACGTGCATAAACACATATGCATACACCTTAGACTCCCATCCACAGGACTACGGTGGCAAACTATGTAGCAGTACAGGCCTTAGCAAGCGAGCCAGAGGGTGGGGGGATGTTCGCGGGGGCAGACCATTTGCTGGTGTAAATTAAAAAAATACCAGCTGCTGCGCAGCCGGATGCCAAATGTGTAGTACAGTGGTCCCTCTATAATCCGGCACCATTTGTGCCACGAAAATCTGCTGGATTAGGGAGGGTGCTGGATTAACAAATCTGATTTACTGCTGCAATGTGCATGAAGAGGACATTTTGGCTACTGAAAATTGTGCTGGGTTATCGAGGGTGCTGGATTATAAAGTGCCGGATTAGAGAGGGACGGCTGTACTAATAGGACAAGGTAACTTAGGTAATAGCCCAGGGCACTGTGACTGACTGAATCATTGCCATGTGGAATGACGTTCAGCCTACAGTCGACTCCTGATACAATGTATACATGTCATGTATAACGAACACCATTGTGCAGGAGAATTAGTTCTTTATAGCCGAAGTTCGTTATAACAGAAATGCACTCACACCATACAAGCAGGCTGAGCAAGTCATGACTGGCAAGTGGCCCATGACAGTGTGAGTGCACTTGGTTTACATGCGGCCTACAAGATTTGGTTTGTTATAAACGAAAACTGTTCGTTATAAAGGGTCAATTTTGTATGGGTTCAAATAGGGACATGGACAAGGTCAAGGGGGGTTAAGGGTTCCTACATCACGAAATTATGCGAGTTCGTTATAAATGGAGTCGACTGTACTTGAGTCTCAAAGACTCAAGACAGTTCAAAGTCCACGACCGAAGTACTCGACTGTGGTCCATAGCTGCTAGCTGAAGCGCGATATGTACAATGTTATCTGTATATAGGCTAGTGATTTGTAGGGTGGCGCAGGAAGGTCACTGGGTTCAACAAGGAGGAACATGCATGCTGGGGGCATTCCTTCAAAAACTAAATGCACGGTGGGATGGTGACGAAGAAAACCGTCTCCTTCTAAAGTTAGTTTGCATACCAGTGCTACCAGTGCTTGAGTAAATACTCTACAGTAGGCCTACATGTAGTTGTGGCAGTAGTTGTAGTAGCGTGACCTGTCGTGAAAAACGTTACAAGACGAGCTCCACAGACACATTACACGCCTTACTTCACTAACGTTACAATTACAAGCAAGTAAGAATCCACACGTGGTAAGGATACTTGAAACAAGGCCCTTCAAGGGTCTAGCCTCCAGGCCACACAATGGCAGGATGGGGGGACCAGGTGCATGCGGAATAACTCAATGCAAATCTTCCACTGTGCACATACCTTCCAACCGGCTGCAGAATTCGTTTCTCCTTTGTCTCTGAAATAGGGAACATTCGCCACCATCCACTCGTAAATCTGATTCAGGGTCATGCGCTTGTCTTTCGTCGAAAGAATAGCTTTTGAGATTAGATCCGAATATGAATCGGGGCCCCAGGCGTTTCTGCGTGGCGACTTTTTCTCCTTGCCTCCTCCGGCTGGCTGCTGGCTTGCTACTGGAGTTGCAGGTGTGGAGGGGGACATCGACGAAACGCCAGCACCATGGGTGGTTGCCAATGCTAATGTCGTGTCTGAGACAACGGACGGTTGTTGGAGTTGCTGTTGAGGATTCATAGCAAAACTAGCTGCTGTTCCTCCGGCCTCCATGAGCGCATTTGGATGCATAGGCCACGAACTGGACCGACCTCGACTGTTGTCCTGGACTGCAGGGTCAGACGCAGATGGCGGCGGTGGCTCTGGTGCTAATGCTAATGAGAATGGCCCAGGTTGGCTATCCACCATTCCGCTTTGCTGGTGCTGGCGTGGAACTCTGTTACACAAAGGCTGTGCTGCTGCTAGTGCTGGATGCTCACAAGTATCCATTTGCTCTTCTTTCACCACTCTCGTCGCGTTGCCCGTCGCTAGATGGCTGGCCATCTCCTTTGCACAGTTGTGTCGCGCTAACACCCTGTGTAGATCTACATGTATTTGCACGTTTATTTGTAATTCACACCCAACTCATATGTAGCGGTAGATATGCAGGGGTGGGTTTTCCGGCGAGGCGCTGGGCGTAAAAACCACGGTTGGCGGGCCTCGATCACACCGATTCTCAAGAGCCAAGGGTTTGAAACCCTGTGCCAGCCCCACGCCTCACTTCACCAGAGATCAGTTCAGACTGGGACGAGGAATGAGTGTAGTGGAGCAGTTGAGATCCTCAGCGCAGCTCAGCTCTGGTAAGCTGCCAGGCCAGGAGACAGGAACATAGACGAAATACCTAAAATATACACTTGGGACTCAGGCGCCATCGCGCGTTCGTAAACTCTAGATCTACCTGCTGCTGCACCCCGCATTGGAGGCAGATGCACTTCTTTACTTGGAGTGGAAGGAAAGGTAAGATTATAGAGTGGTAGAATTCTGGCCACGGATGGATGGTGCATAGCAGGGAGTAGTACTAGTAGTATTAGGTATTGCACTATTCCCTGGTGCGGAGCGAGCTGAGTGCTCACGAGTGGGTTGTCCAGTCGCTGAGCTCTCGGACCGTGACACATAGGCGTAGATCTATCGATGGCTGTGCGTTTTGTCGCGGGAAGAACTCCACCGACGGACTCAGTACGGTCATAGTGAGCCACATGTGCATGTGTGTACAGCCCCCATTTTGCGTGCATGTCAAACGTTACCATGTACCAACTTGTCCTATCCGAAAATCAGCAGCCAACTACAGTAGCTAGCTCCACAACACATGTGTGGCAGTGATTTCGTAGACTAGGAAACCAAATTCGAATGTGTCAGATAGATTCGGAGTACATGCATGATATTGGGTATCCAATGGGAGGAGGAGATGGCACACGTCAGTCAGTAGGTTACTAGTACTGAGTAGTACTGAGACGGTCCATGGCATGGAGGCTACCCAGCCTGCAAAAGGGCTCTCTGCCAGAACTGTCTTACCATGTCAGCATTGGCAGATGTATGACGTCCAGCCTGAATGGCGAGTGTGAACGATCAAGAAAGACATGGCTGGTCGCCATGCCGTGACCGTGACTGGGATAGCCTAGACGGCTGCTCACATGCAGCAGGCATTGGCACCAGGCACTGCTTCACGATCTCAACGTGTTTGACAGGAGTCCGGAGGGCTCTGACACTCCGCATGGGAATCTGTCGAAAAAAATTTGTTGTTATTTGTTTTGATCACAAAGATGTGTGCCAAGTCTCTCGCGTCGTTGCCTGCAATGAGCAGTCCATTCAAAGTAGCATGGTGAAATGCAGCTCGCACCTTGGAGCCTCGGGGTGCATTTCAATCATAAGATCTGATCCACGTGCGCATCATTATGCTTGCACCTCCAAGCTAGTTGCAGCCTCATTCAAGCGATTCTACCTTTTATTGTCATGTTCCAATGTCAACATGACGAGAACTGAGTGTTTCACTGAAGAACATACTACTAATAGGTAGTTTATCATGCATGATCTATACTCCATACATGATGTACAAGCTAGTGGCTGGACTACTTGCACTACACCTCCCCAGTGCAAAGTGCTACGCGTTGCTTTACAGAACCTCCTTTGTGGAAGTGAAATCTCTTCTTTGGCAGAGCAAATAATTGTGTGGGTGCAAATTGTCCCGGGCCACTACTTTGCTACACTTGGCGCACTATAGTACTATAGAGGCTATGCGAATGGCATTGTCGCACATGATTTGTATGGAGTTGTGAACCAGTCATGCATGTGCAGCTGCGGTGCTGCATCTTCTCTGCTCCATACAAAGCATATCAAATGATGACATCGATCATCGCATCCTTCTAGTAACCTCTCACTAGACATCACGGATCGGATGGTTGAACAATGAACATTGGTAAATTCCAAACTGCACGTCTCCAGGTGTGCATGTGATTGCTCAGTCTCAACTGCTTTCACTGTACCACCTTTCAATTCAGTAAAGTCCACCGCCAGGCACAGTGTCCTTTATCGCCTGCCGTGTGCCTGTAACCATGTAGACAGCCAATCAATGGAGTTTCTGAGCATGCCAACAATAGATACTACTAGCACACTTGGCAAGGAGGTTAAAGGTCAATGAAACGGAGCAACAAAGCTAACAAGTGATAAATAGAAAACTGAACTTGTGCATGGCTGGCACTGTTCATCCAGATTTCTGCCTGTGTACAGCATTGTACCATCCTAGATCTCGTGAAATACTTTTAACGCATACATACATACGTACATACATACATACATACATACATACATACATACATACATACATACATACATACATACATACTATCACCTGATGAGTGCCTGAGATGGCATGAAACTTTTTAAAAGTTGTGACTGATCAAGCCATCTGTTGTTCTGACTAGTGTGTCACGGCTCTACCTTCCCCGTATCGAGCTCTCTTGGATTTCTGCTGGAATTCACAACAGTGTACATACATACATACATACATACATACATACATACATACATACGTAACACACATACATACATACATACATACATACATACACATACGTGTAGATCTACTTCAGTGCAACTCACTTACCGGTAGTAAGTTATGTACTCTGATAAGACAAACACTTCCTTTGTACAGACATTGTCAGGGGTATGGGTGTGTTGATCCACACTGAAGTATTTTGAGACAATAAGTACCTTGGATACTCAGTACACGTTCCTGCAGTCCATGGGGATACGTCTTATCGGAGTTCCACGGTATAAATCTTGAGAAAAAAGAACATTTCTAACGTCATATCTACAAGTCATAATAGTTTTGCTGTACCTCACTTCATACATGACGTACAACCTAGTGTCTGGGCTACTTGCATTACACCTCCCCAGTGCATGGATGTTACCCCCAAGTACCATAGTACTGCATGCTCGGCTGGCACTGTTTATATAATTATTTATGCTGACCTTTCATACAAACTTCCAGTCAACTTGCCCATCATGCTGGCGGCTTATACTGGGCATATAAACCTCATACAAACCCCATACAAACCCCATATAGACCGCCACCATAGAAACAGGAAGAAGTTGACTGTCAGTTTGTATGAAGGTCAGCATAAGTATAATACATCCCACTAGTACGCTTGTACGTGAAATATAAACCATCATACAAACCTCGGGTTCGCCTCGGTTTGCATGTCGGTTTATATTTCACGTACAAGCGTACTGTTGGGTTGTATTATATACATATAAATCACCCACATCTTCCCGTTTTGGCTGCCATCGGAAGCCATAAGATGTTGAATAAATAAATAAATAAATAAATATAGATTTCTGCCCAATGTACCATTGCAGATTTCGTGAAATAATACCATTGTCCTGAGTACGGGTGTATTGATCCATACTGAAGTGTTTTGAGATAAGAAGTACCTCGGACACCAAGTACACGTTCCTGCTGCCCATGGGGTACTAGTACGTCTCATCAGAGTAACTACGAGTCGTACTAGTTCTACTGTAGATCTATCTCACTTCATAGGAATCAGAACGTGGTGGAGGTTTTAGATGCAACTCGAGTTTTGCGGCAATTTTATGCAATCCTTCAGAAAACTTCTAAAAATATCTCACTAATCCGCATACAATTGGACAGAGCCCCTCGGGAAGAGAAAGCCAAGTTGTTTGGATAATTCCCATACCGGTATATAGAAGAAAAAAACATAGAAAACACTTGGCAAACTGCCTGAGGAGTGCTCGATACGCAGGGCGCAGAGCTTTTCAGATATGAAAGAGAGAGAGAGGATCCAAGTGGAAAATGCTGTGACACAAAGTTTCATGCCAAAGCAATCGCCAGACAACTCCTGTCTGATTGCCTGGTTGTCTGATGATTGCTTTGGCATGAAACTTTGAGTCAGCATCTTTCCACTTGGATCCTCTCCGGCCACTTCCATAATTATGACCATATTCGTATTGTAATGTACACATACTTATAAATAACATGACATTGTACAGTAGCATGCTACCATAGTGTACTGTGCACAGTGTACAGTGAGCTTCCATGCATCCTACACAGCTGTGTGTCTGCAGCTGTCCTGAGCGTGCAGCTGCACCAGTCCAGGGTTGCAGGCTGAGTTACAGGTACAGGTACTCTGCGTAGGTCTCCTGATCAAATAGAACACACCCGTCGGCCTACCTGGTACATGTCTACATGTCTACTGAAGAATAGCCCGGCCCCGCCACAGTCCTGGACTGACCTCACAAACCCTGTCGAATGTCTCCTCCAATAAACTGTGTTGCCTAGCGGGCTTCAGTGTCATTTCAACTCATTTGAGTGTGCTGATAAAACTCGAACAAACAAAGAAAACAGAGAAAAAAGCAGAACAGCTAATAGTCTACTAAAGATGCACCTAGTGCTAGGGCTAAACAAAGAGAGAGAGAGAGAGAGAGAGAGAGAGAGAGAGAGAGAGAGAGAGAGAGAGAGAGAGAGAGAGAGAGAGAGAGAGAAGACAGTGAGGAGAGAGGACATGAGCAAGCAATACAAAGAAACCAGCCTTTGAAAGATGCCAGCTCAGATCGCAGTAACCTGTTCACAAACAAAATGGGACAAAGTCAAAGTGAGGAGCCTTGAGAAAATATCAGTGCGGTAATGACTGCACTGGCAGCACCAATGACAGCTGCATAAAATTGAAAGAAAGTGTGATAAAATGACGGGCACTGTGATTGCACAGTCCCGACTGATGATATTGTCTGTCCTGCAGACTAGAAAAGGTAAAACGAAGGAAAGACTACGCTCCGCAGCTTTCTGTAAAAGTGCCAAATGTAGACAAATAGGGATTTACTAACGGCAAAGCACAACTGCTGCTCACTCATACGTAGTAATTGACAACAGCTTCACAGTGCTCTTGACGGCCTGACAGAAGGGTAGGTTCACCCTTGGAGTGGATGAAGTCCTGCAAAGACGGTGCAGTGTATGACGTGCAGAGAACAGAACACATGATATCAGTGCCAGCCAGCTAGAGGTCAGGTTTCCATGTAGCGTAATACTAATCCCTGGCGTTAGGAACATGGTTATGTCATAGTGAAGTTTGTGATAATGTAGTGAGTCCGGCAGGTCAATATACAAGACATGCATGATAAAATGATGCTTTGGAGTACTGAGTAGCACTGCTCTTACGAAACAGCGTAATCTTACCTCACATTCTTCCAGGCTGGCTGTACCGGCCTCAATGCGTGCCCCAAGGCCAGAGTCAAAACTGCTGTAGCGTTCCTACATGGTACACAGCAGTAAATTCATCATGCCTTCATTGGTTAAGCATTCCAAACTATTTCATCCAACCTTGCCATCTCCATTGGTAAGTTGATTTCCAATCATGACCTAGGGCTTGCCCTCTGCCCTGATTCCTTGCCCAAGCGACAGCGCAACAGACACACTGCCAGTGTAAGTCAACGCTTCGACCATTGACCATCATGAGTGGGCTATCGGAACGAAATGGACCTGCTTTCAATGTTGCTATAAACCCAGCGAAGACATTAGGCACATGCCTACACATGGAAAATGTCACATCAACGAACACTGAGGTGACTGAGCATTGTATACTGCACATACGCTATACAACACAGCTGGAACAGAACTGCAGGTGTGGTGTGGCTGGTAAAGGAGAAAATCTAGACGGAACTTACCTTGACCAATGTGGAAAGATGGCCCTCGTCGATCATTCGGGTTGCATTCCTCAAGCCCCGAGCAAAGGCATCCATGGCACCTGTGTATCATTATGAAGCACAATAAAAAGACTTTCTAACTTCCACAACTGTCATGAACAAACTCAGATTATTGGTCACCAGCATAGAGCCTGAGCCAGAATGCTTGTGCGCTGACTTGTCATTACAGTCTCCGCTCTACATCTATTGGAGAGTATCCTGATTGCTGAGTTCTGTGCTATGCCATGTTTACCACTATCATGAACCCCAAGGATATGGGGGGGGGGGGGGGGGGGGGGAGGAGCCATGAACACGAGTGCAAGGTATCACTCCACTTTCCAAGGCGTAGTATAAACTGTCATATTTTGCAAAGTCAGACCAAGAAAACATCAGCAGTAAAATTGCTTGCATCCAGTTGCCGGATCTTGCAGACAACAGTTGAAAAGTCACAGACGTATTCAGGACTCGGCCTTTATTCAGCATCGATTTTTAATGTTGGCCATGCCAGCTCCATGGGCACTTTGATTTTCACATGGCAGCAACGTACAGTTATAAGCAGACACGCAAACTTACCAATGTGTGAGACGAACATATCAGTGAGGTCAATGGATTCACGGCGTACTTTACAGTCAAAGTTCAGGCCACCAGGAGTAAGACCACCTTGGTCAATGACAACCTGGGCAGGAAAAAAGAGAGCACATAATGCGTGTGTTGGACACCAGGTTAGAAAGGCAATAATACCCAAATCTGTCAACCGGTATCGGTAGCCCTGTTACCAGGTCCTGGTATGAGCTTAAACTGGACCCACACGCACGCCCCCCCCCCCCCCCCCCCCCCCACCAGTTATTCCACAGTAAATAGTGGCGATGGCAGGGCATTCATGTTCGTCTCACCTTCATGATAGCAGTAGTGTTCTTGACATCCATTGGGAATTGATCTGTATCCCATCCCAGGTCAGGTGACCCAGTGTTGCTATCAACTGATCCAAGAAGCTTGTTTCTAAGAAAAACAACAACCACAACCACAACAACACCAACAAAGACGACAAGGACAAGAACAAGAACGGAAGAATATAATACATGGTTCTGAACGGGTTTGTTCATGCTTCCAAAACAAAATGCTGACTATATCAACTGGTCTCCAAACATAAGGCAGAAGGTCTTGATCCCTTAATGTGTACATTGCATCCTTCTGATTTCCTACTTTCCCAAACACAAACCCTTGTTTCATTGATGTAAGTCCTTGCTCCCGGCACTTGCCTCTCTCTCTCTCTCTCTCTCTCTCTCTCTCTCTCTCTCTCTCTCTCTCTCTCTCTCTCTCTCTCTCTCTCTCTCTCTCTCTCTCTCTCTCTCTCTCGTCTTAGCTTCTTCTTCTGATTTATCTACAAGGTGTATCCTTGGAAACGAAACTCTTGGCGACGGTCCTAAAGTGTTGGCTGCAACACAAACTTATACCACCCTTCTTGCTCGGGTCATGACACCTGTCTATTATAATTTTGGACCGGATTGTCTCCTGTTGGCAGCTTCAGCATGAAATAAACTCGAGTAGAGACAGAGACACCATTATGTTCTTCACTGGACCTACATGTATGTAATCCAGCTCTATCACGTCCACTGAGCGCTTTGACCTGCACTCAAGACGCGGCTGTGATCTCGGACATTTCTGATTTAGGGATTGGTACAATACTCCACACACGGCACCACATAACGTCTCTGTGTATGCAGTAGGGCAGCGGTGGTGGTGTTTACTTACGCAGAGGCAACTACAATGTCGTGCTCATGGCAATGGCCGGCAAGAGTGGTGTGATTCGGTTCAATGTTGAGCTATAGCAACAACACAACAAAGCACCAAGGCTAGCAATTAGCAAAATCATGTGAATTAGCTGAGATACTGCCGTTACAACACTATATTGTGTGACGAACAACAGAACCTCAGCAAAACACTGGCAAACACTGGCATTGTATATTATACTGCTCTAACTGCTACACAGCATGTCATCATTGTCATCTACAGTTGTACATATTTCGTATAACGCGCGGGCGCGCACGTGTGTGTGTGTGTGTGTGTGTGTGTGTGTGTGTGTATGTGTGTGTGTGTGTTCAGCTATCCGGTGCCCTCACATATCTAGATATGTTTTCATGGAAAGCGAATGCGTGTGGTTAATTAAATTTAAGGAAGATCAGACTGTACCTTGAAATCATTCTGCAGCCCATACTTGAACAAGAAGCTCATCACAGTCTGTGCATCTGACAAGGCATAGTAGAAACACATACAACATTACACAGCAGTACGGGATAGTCTCAGGTAGTGCATCACACGGGCACAAAAACTCGCCTCTTGTTCCCCACTACGTCATCCTCTCTCAAGAGTGCAGCCGCAGCTGCCTAAATACAATGGGTCTATAGAAGGGAGAGTAGCAGGATGACAAAAGAAAGAAGCACTCGACTTCACACGGGCTATACTTTCACCTGACGCAGAACAGCAACGCCAGAGCTGCACAATCCTGAACATAGTGCTACAAGTACATTGCACTTTCACCAGCTCAGCTCAGCTCAGCTTAGTGCAGTCCGGCCCAGCAAGCACAACCTTGAAGTATGTGTACGTACTACGTACCATAGTCATACTGGTGCTTGGACGGCTCCTTTGGCTTGGGCTCGATCAACAGCTGGCCAGTGAATCCAATCTTGTTCTTGTACTCTGCATATCATAAGATTGTAGGCAGTACACAGCATGTTCATACACTGTGGTACATATAACGTACTTCAGGGCATGAGTGCACTCTCCGTTCATGCACTGTGATAGGATACATCAGTGCATGAGTACACTCTATGTTCAACCTACAAGGAATCAGAGTCCACCACATACCGTAATGTAGCGTATAAAAGGTGATGCTTACGTCCATATAAGACGGGGTTCAAAACCATGCTTCTACGTCAACAGTTTCCGTTTTCACTGTGCAAGTGCATGTAGTTGCATGTTGATTCCATGGCCAAGCTGTTGCAGTTCATCTCCCTAGCAGACAACCCGCAGCAACGCATTGACGCCACAATTACGGAACGGCCACAAGAACGTGTTCGCAAGAACAGACAAGTTCTCTTGTCTATTCTGTGCTGCCTGGAATCGGCTGGAAGACAATGCCTGGTCCTTCGCGGACACTGCGATGATCTGACTGGAGATGGTGATCCAGGAGGCAATTTCCATGCCTTGATCTGGTTTGCTGTGGCAAGCGGCAATACAGTGCAACATGACCATTTTACTATTTGTGATGCAAGCTATGGAAATACATGTACATTAAATGATTTAAAGACATTAAATTTTTGTTTTTCGTGGTGTGTGAGATTCATGGCGTCTTGACATCATTTTTCAAAATGGCCGACCTAGGACAGTAGCATGATGCCATCCCTCCCCCCCCCCCCCCCCCCCTCAGCCAAATCTTGGAAACGCCACTGCTTCAGTATAAAAAATAAATAAAAACAAACGTATCTTGAACTGACCAATAACCATCTTGAAGAAGTTGGCCATGTGATCCAACTCCCTGCCGATGTCTGTGTTTAGCAGAGTGTGATAGCCTTCACGACCTCCCCAGAACACTAGGTAAAGGGTACACAGCAGAAACAAATACGACATATCAGACAAATCATTCGCTGCCTCACTGTCTACGGTGTACACGTGCGTGTGCAGTTGTGCTGGTGCATGTGTGTCAGCCATGTTGGTTGGCATGGTGATTCCAACAGCAGTCTACTTGTGATCATGTGTTGTACATGTGACTAAAGACTAAAAAGAAATCATCCAGGCCCGGACTCCATTGCTGTGTATTCTTTACACTTGATAATACATCCATGCCACATTCCACCACAGGCTCTCTGCTGCACTGAATGAACAGGTCGCCAATACTTCACCCATCGGGAATCATCAGGACATTGATCGGTGCAACTGACACCCATTGGTGGAACGTAGGATGGCGGTGTATTTTCGAGTACACAATACTATATTTAACTACTTCTTTGAAGTACTTCTCTTGGCACAACACCATTAGGTAGGGAGTGAACATCAAAGGCTATCGTAATGACATAAGGCGATCGGCAACACAGCTCAGATCACAAAGGGATGTCAACATGCAGTGAAAGGCGACTACAGAAGACAAGGACGGCTAACCAAAGTTCACTCCGCCGAGCTTCTTCGTGACCTCCAAGCCCTTCTTGACCTGCGCCGCGGCATACGCCAGGACGTGGGCATCGGGATTGGTGCTGGCACCGTTCATGTAGCTGCATGGTAACACATCATAACATCATGCATACCATTGGCATACGCAAGTACACGCATACTATGCAAGTGCAGTAAGTTGAACACCACTACACACTGCACATCATAAAACCATGCATATCCTTGATACACTCAGTGTCACACGCATACTATGCAAGTGCAGTAAGTCGAACACCACTATGTGTGCTTTCAACATGGAGCTGTGTCATGGTTGTTCACAAACCAATACCCTAGCAACTAACAACAAAGATCCAGTGATTTTCAAAAGTCCTGATCACCTGATGAGAATAAGAAAATCAGTCTTGTATCTTATACCCACCATGGCCATCAGCAAACCAAAGGAGATTGTGCACTGACTTGCACAAAGGGTGTAAGGAACAAGCAAATCGTCATAATGGCGTTGTACAGCTAGTACATGTCCTTCAAAGTTCAATATGAGTATATAATAGAGTTGGGCTACTGACCGTGGATGGGCAAAGAGATTGCACGTTCCCCACAGCAGCTTGACGCCAGTCTCATTCTGCAGCTCCAGAGCCAAGTCAGTGATCTCATCCAGATTGCGGTTGGTCTCCTCCAGCGTGGCTCCCTCCGGGGAAATGTCGCTATTAATCAACAGACAACCACACAGGAGGACTACTACAATGCTGCTCTTGTCAAAGCCATTCATTATAGGAACGACAGGGAACTTGAAGCGGGGATAGCTCAAAGGTTAGTTTCAAAGGGAGACTCTTAGGCGGTAAAGAAAAAATTATTTAGTGTATCGAATCATACAAAGTGAGCTTATAACATTGAAAGACAAGACTAGTTGTACAACCACGCGCTCTCAAAATAGCAAAGGAAAACACCATGGATGTACCCGAGGAAACAGGCAAGCATTGCAAACAAATTTCTCTGTTATGTAAAATCCTGTTGATGTAACTGGGAAAACCAAAATATTCCAGCCACTGAGTTACAATTCTAGCCTTCTTGAATGACTTACCGGTCATGGAAAGTCCAGTATGGTACCTGTGGGTGCACAGCAACCGACAGCCGTCCACCAGAGGGTAAAATTTTCACAATAACAGAACACAAAGAGTAGTTGAAAGTTCACGTCAACTTGGTTGAAATAGACACTGGTACCACACAGAAACAAAGTTTGTACAGAGCTACAATAGGAAAAAGAGAAAGAAGGAAGTATAGTTGAAGGCTCAACTGGAAGGGTGGGAGGTAAGGCATACGGTGTGTGCAGATTTAGGACAGAAATAACAAATCAGAAAGCGGTATTACTACTTTACATACCCGCCAAAACGGAAAAATAGAAGCAACCCCCTATTTCTCCCTTACACCAAGCTTGTGGACGCAACCCCCTATTTCTCACTTACACCAAGCTTGTGGAAGCAAGCCCCTATTTCTCACTTACACCAAGCTTGTGGAAGCAAGCCCCTATTTCTCACTTACACCAAGCTTGTGGAAGAACTCGAAGGCCACTCGGAGGCGACGCTTGGCATTTGCCATTGAGTCACTTCCGTCTTCCCAGGGCCGGTTCAGAGTTGGGAATCCGAAAGGATCAGCGCCTAGAAAGTACCAGATGAAAGAAGGAAAAAGCAGGGGTTTGGCAATGATGGATTTCTGTGCAGAAAAAGTACATAAAAAGTAGTCGAATGACATCAAAAAACACTCGGATGGTGAGCCTATAGTAATAATTATGTAAAGAGAAAAGGACCAATAAGTTACGAGTTATGACTAACCGTGCACCAAGGCAACGAGATAATGTACAGTCAGATAGTGTGACAACAAGGTACAACACTGACTGGGATATTGAGACATTCGACGACCTGACACCTAGCTCCAAAACATCTACGAAGCGCACACCAACAACCTTCCAACTTGGAAGGCTCAGGTGCGGAACGTTCCAAAAAAGGGAAGGGATGCGCCACGAAGATGTGCACGAGCTATGTCCCTGGGCAACAAACCATGTCCTGTCAGTTTTGTGCCTTGTTGTTGCACTATCTGACTGTATATTATCTCGTTACCTTCGTGAAGGTTAGTCATAACTAGGGGTGAAAAAATTATACCGAATACTCGAGTACTCGCTCGGTTTTTTTCAAAAATAATCGTACTCGGAATAAATCAGAGTACTCGTTCATACATGGTACATGCATTTACCACAGAAATCTGCAGTTTCAGAGCAGCAGTCGGCAGATATTGACGTGCAGACTGTGTGGTGAACATTTGTTCACGAGTAGAGAGAGCCCAAATGACCCACCAACCACTATACCCGAGAAAAATGACTGCCACTCGGTTCAATCAGGGTTGTATCATGTGATTTTAAGGCCCTTGGTGTGCAATTTTTAGGAGATGAAGAATACTCGAATACTCGAATATTCGATCGGAGAAAATCAGAGTACTCGAACTCGGGATCTCAGTGCCAACTTTCACCCCTAGTCATAACTCTTATCTTATAGGTCCTTTTCTCTTTACAGAATGACACTAAACATGCATGTTATGCATGGCACGCTGTATCACTGGTTGATTCATGGCCAGCATTCGGAGGCTAAAAAAAGCCGCAGGGGCGATTTTGATTTTTTTGGCGTTTCAAAGTGCGGCTAACACCCCGGAAATACGGTACTCTAGGGATTACCATACATTAGTGGGCACACCTTTGCAAGCCGGTTACGCAGAATGCTCTGACAGGTTACTGCTTCCAAGGCCTAGACAATATCCTCTTCCCTTTTCCATATCTAGGGTACCGGTAGGTGTGTTTCAGAATTTGGCAAGACGGTTTGGCCGGTGATGAAGTCTTCCCTCTCTTCTTCTTTGTCCATCACTATTGCTAACATTTCGAGTGTTTACTGCTTTCCCTATTCAGACTTATTTTATCCTTAGACATCTGGCTGCTTTGGGCAATGTGTGCTGACAGCGTGGTTCGGGAAAGGGGGAAATTTAGTCAACAGTGTGGTGCCGAAACCCGGGAGCTACACTCGCTCGGAATTTGTTTGTGCAGGGTTCGTACAGAGTCTTGAAAGTCTGGAAAAAGTCTTGATTTTGACCTGAGTGACACTTTGTCTGGAAAAAGTCTGGGATTTTGAAATCATGCATGCAACAGTAATGTACTGGTCTGGTACTGGTACGTCGTAGATCTGCTAGCTCCGAGCCGCGTCAGTGGCTTGCACCCACGCGGCGCGGTTGTCACTGTGGTCCACACAGTACAGTACAGGCAGTCACACTACAAGTACAAGTCAGAGTGTAGATCTACTCTGCAACACGATCGGTAATGGACGGGTGCGCGCAGCACATGATCACTGCCGCATGCCTGCTACAACTGTAGTGTTTGCCCAAGCGGCTACTGCACACGGATCATAGGGTTCGCGCTTGTACTGTTGTAGAATCTACTGTCGTTTTGCTTGATGTTTTGACACAAGAAAAACACAACCTGCCATGACGTTGGCGAAGTAGCTTGGATTTGTCTTGTCCTTGTCAAGTTGACGTTTCCTGTACCAAAGAAAAAGTATGGGAAGCTGTGTTTTTTCGGACAAATGCTTGACCCACCCAGATTACTCTCTCTCTCTCTCTCTCTCTCTCTGGGTAGAGAGGAACCAGAAGGACAAGCACTCCGCCCCGCTGCAAGCTTTGCAACACGACGTTTGTCATCATGACAATGGGGGAGAAAGCGCTTGTCAGCCATGCCAAGGGAGCCAAGCATAAGGAAGCGGTAAGGAGTGCGTCTGTTAGTCCCTCAGTGGCTAGTGTGTTCTCAGCCAGGTCCCAATCTGCAGCGCCACATTCTTCATCGGCGGCAGCGGATAGTTTGTCCTCGTTTGTGTCAAGTACTCGGGAGTTGGAGGCAGAAGTTCTGTGGGCGCTGAATGTATCTGACAAACACCTATCATTCCGTAGCTGCGAGGGCCTTGGCGGTCAGTCCGGCCTCTTTGCAAAGATGTTACACTTGGATGGGTCTGGAAATGGGTCTTGAATTTTGTGATGGCTTTTCTGTACGCACCCTGTTGTGGTACTAGTAGTAGAGGAATTATTTGCCAGTAAGACTTAAAGGGGAAGTTAATGCAAAAATTAAAATTTCACCAGTTGTAGTCTTCGGGGTGCTGAGTCGAATGGTCTTGGTCCGAGAAAGCTGAGACGCTCCCTTCCTACTTGAATCCCAATCGAACTCGCGCACTTCCACCGAAACTGGGTGACTGCGCCCTACTAGATGGGGATTTGTATGCAAAATGTCACTAAAAGCGCCATTTCGTTCTTATATAAGCACGGATGACCGCGATTGGCCCATATGTTGTAGTCTTTTGGACGCTGAGTCGACTGGTTTTGGTCCGAAAAGGCTGCGATGCAGCGTTCGCCCCTAATTCCCAATCGAACATGGTTGAACAAGCGGTCACGTGCTCCTGCGTACACCAGTCAGCTGGTCACCGTGCCTGCAGGGTACAACTTACAGCCTGTTTTGACCTTTTTTGGGTGCAGTCCTGTCACTCGAGTTGAACCTTGGTGTGAAAGTTGTCGCCTGCTGGCGTGGTGACCAGGTGATTTTGGCACCCAGGAGCACGTGACCACTTCTTCAACCATGTTCGAATGGGAATTAGGGGCGAACGCTGCATCGCAGCCTTTTCGGACCAAAACCAGTCGACTCAGCGTCCAAAAGACTACAACATATGGGCCAATCGCGGTCATCCGTGCTTTTACAAGAACGAAATGGCGCTTTTAGTGACATTTTGCATACAAATCCCCATCTCGTAGGGCGCAGTCACCCGGTTTCGGTGGAAGTGCGCGAGTTCGATTGGGATTCAAGTAGGAAGGGAGCGTCTCAGCTTTCTCGGACCAAGACCATTCGACTCAGCACCCCGAAGACTACAACTGGTGAAATTTTGATTTTTGCCTTAACTTCCCCTTTAATGTAGAGCACAGGGTGGCAAGCATGAAAGTGGACAATTTTTTTAGGCAATTTCGTGGGAAGGCCATGGAGAGCTGGGACCAGTTCTGGACCAGGTACCTGGTCATGGCAGAGATCCAAGGATGGGACGACGAAACAAAGGGAACGAAAAACTTTCTTTTGTTTCTAGACGGTGATGCCTTCCTTGTTTACTAAGGGTTGGCGGCTGCTGATAAGAAGAAGCAGGACGAAGTGACCACACTGATGAAGACGTCCTTCAACATGACGGAAACAAAAGCGTACCAGGCATTTGTGGCGCACCGGGTGAAAAGTGACGAGTCAGTCGATGCATTTGTTGCGGACTTGAAGCGGTTGTCCGTACAATCAGAACACGAGGTTGTTGATGACAAGGACTGTAATAATCCAGCAGTTTCTGAACAGCCTGTCAGTGGATTTTAGTCAACACCTTCGTCTCAGTATGGCTGGAAAGGAGCTGACTATAAGTGGCTGTTGTGCAACAGTCCGTGCATTAAAGAGCTCATAGGGTGACCGCCAGAGAGCACCTGTGTCAGTAGCTGCAGTTGTGGATAGTGGTGCTGGTGAGAGCAAGAGATCACTGAGCCGCTTCAAGTGCGGAGAGGTGGGACATATCGGTAGGATGGTCCTGTCGTGCTGCACCCGATTGAAATGAGCGCATATGTGGTGAGGAGTTTGAGTGTGGTGGACTCTAACGTCCTCATAGGTAACAACGTCATCACGAGTAGTGGAGGCCTGCATATACAATATGCTGAGGATGGATGCTTGTAGAAAGTGGTGTCCGGGACCCTGGCCACCAAGAGCCCAGGCGGGTGTGCCGTCTCGGCCAACACCGGTAGTCACTCATACCCTCATGTGCGAGTGGAGCGTAATGGCCAAGGCAGACGACTGCGCTGTCTGGTGGGACAGCACTAGCCAAAGGTGGACCATGGGCTGGACATGGAAGGCCAGAACACATCCGACACGGCCAGTGGGATGCGGGGTCGGTGAATATTCCCGCCGTAGTCTAACAGAAGAACAGGAGCAGCTGTTTCGGACAGAGGTTGACGCATGGATTGACAGAGGTTGGACGATACTGTATGACCGCTCGATTCACAGTGAGCCAGCCTGTGTTCTGCCATGGTTAGCGCAAGTACAGGAGCAGAAGTCTTCAACACCTGCCAGGCCATGCTTGGATTACCGAGAGTTTAAACAAGTTTCTTCTGTCGCAGCCTGGATTTGATGTCCCTGTGTGCGAGGATACTCATCACCAAGAGTTGACCTTGTGTTCTTGTGTGGATCCAAGTTTGTGGGCAGCTCGCCATTTAGAGCAAGACGCTATGAGTTCACAGTTTGTAGTGGCATGAGTGTTATAGCAGCCGTATAGGAAGTAAGAGTCATTGGTGATGCCGGAGAGTTCAGTGTCCTAGATATCAAGAAGGCTTATCTTCAAATCTATGTTGCACCCGAGCTGCTGAATTATCAAGCTGTTGTCTGGAAGGGAGAGCGATATGCCATGACCTGGATGATGGAATTCAGCATGAATGTTGCGCCCAAAGTCATGCACATTGTGGTGCAGTGGATCCTGCACCGTACGCTCATACGATAGGATGACCTCTCTGGCTCATACCTGTGAAAGCGCCCGCAGATGGGTGCATCCATGAGCAAAATGCTCCTGGACACTTTTGATTCCCGCGGACAAATTTTGGTCTCCATAGTGATTTCCTTGTAAACATGGATTAGCCCATCGTGTGAATCGCCTATAAGCAGCATGCGCTCTCTGGCTGACCCTCATTCACACCAACAACATGACACCAAGTTGTTGTAGAAACTGGCAAATAAATTGTCTTTCATACAGCTGTTTCGATTATTTTAATTAAAACATGAAGATCCCCTAAGTGAAGGTTAAGAATACTGAATGATTAGAATTTTTTAACAGCACTATCGTATACAGACAAGACCTGTGAAAAGGAGAAGTGCGATCCCGCGCTTTGAGGCAACAGAAGTGCTAACACACGGAGAATAGGTGCAAGATGACACTGCTACGCGTAAGTGTACTGCAGACATAGATGCATGTGATAATCTACGCGCAGCAGATCCTAGCGCTCTGAAATAGCATGCTGAGCATTGGGGTGACAGTTCAGACTTTAGGCTCCAGCACATCTGAGTAGCCATGTGAGAGGCTCCTGAGGCGTTCACTCCGTGTACTCATTCACCGCCATACTGCGCTATTGTCACATAGCCGAGCGTCACACTGCTGTTGTTAGGCATCTCCGTGGAATTTACACTACAGTGTTGAAAACACACAATTGCTACAGGCATGCTTGCAGACATTTGAGAAGCATGAGGGGCATGCACTCCGGTCGCTGCATGCTTGCTGGATGTCCGCCTGACAGGGTTCTAGCCATTACCAGTCGCCGCCGATGCTCTTTACTATTCTCTGTGTGCTAGAACTTCTGTTACCTCAAAGCGCAGGATCGTGCTTCTTTGTTTTCAGTTATTCTCTGTACATAATAGTGCTGCTAAAAAAATTCTAGCCATTCAGAATTCTTAAATGATCGAAACAGCTGTATGGAGGAAAATATATTTGCCAGTTTCTACAACAACTTGGAGTCATGTTGCTGGTGTAAATGAGGGTCAGCCAGAGAGCGCATGTGCTGGAGCCGTTGGAACTAATACATGGGACCTATGGCAACAAAAAATACCTCGCGTTAAACAGGAAACGGAACTAACTTAGTATTCGAGGTAACTTCTTATACAGCACAAGAAGGCTTGAAAGTATACTTGTGAACATTTTAAAATGTTGTTGACGAACCTGAAGTAAGTCATCCTTGTACAGAAGATGCAAGATGTATGTACTATGGGCAAATAAGTGAACTCCTTACTAGGGAACATGTTAGATGAGTCACACTACACATTTTAGATGATAAGTGGCTAGAACAAAAAAGGAATACACAAGTTGGAATAATCCATTGTAGATGTTCAACTTACCAGTGCCTCTGAAAGTGTGCCAGTAACACACAGAGAAGCGCAACCACTCCCTCATTGTGCGTCCATTGATAACCTAGAAGACAACGCAAAAGATAACCATATTGCTACTAGCAGGGTGCGGGTGTGGCTGATTTGAGTGCATCTTTCCCGATGCAAGGGCATTGAACCCATTTTCACATTAAAATCACATCTCCTCAGAGTCCTCACTCCTGCATGCTACCTTGGGAATGAAAGTGAGAAGTGCCAACGATGCCAGCAGAGTATCTGAGAAGCAGCATTGTGTGCCAAAGTACACCCTCAAACATTCCAATCATGGTTTGAGAAAGACTATGGAAACACACCCAGCACACTAGTATAGATTCTGTTCTTTGCACCATTTTTGCTGGCTCCAGCCTTGCTGCTGCTGCTTTCCAAGCCTGTAGTAGCTATATTTTCTGCAACCATGAGTCGCTTCTTCATTCTTCCATATCGTCTACCAGGAGTAGGCAGCAATGAATTCTGGAGATGAATGTTTCTGTCGAAAGGAATCGGTGTTTGTTGGTTGTGGATTGGTTATGTTTCTATCAATTGCCATCTTGTCTCTGACTATAATTATATTATTCCTCGGGTCTCTAAATTTTAGGAGATTCTTGAAAGCTCTCCAAGCTTCAAAGGTGGTTGAAACTTGGAGATCCCCGCATTTTGAGGTCAGTGCATGCAAACTACTGCTTAGGGCCGGGTTCCACTGCGGCTCCGCTGCACTTGGCTGCATGCAGCGGAGCAGTGCGGTTCCACTGACACTCGCCATTTGCGGTACCGCGGTCGTGGTCAACGTTTTTGATGACGTTTTACCTGCCTGCGGGCGCGAAATCAAAAAAATTCCTTGCATTCTGGCCTGCGCAACGAATTAAATTTGAATTTTAAAATTCCCGCGTACAAAACAATGCAAAGTACGGGAAACAGGTCGACCCGCGACTGCGGCTCGCAGCTTTTGATCAAGAACCGTAGCGAAAGCTCGCGGTGAGCCGCGGCCTCACTGCTCCAGCTCGAGCCGCGGTCACTATGGTAATGATGACGTTTCAAGCCACAGATGACGAGCAGCGGAGCGGCAGTGGAACCCGGCCCTAACAGCCACGTGTTGATCATGAGCATCATTTTGGCTATGTGTTTATATGCACTAAATTCGTGTCACTCAAGATTGCGGCCCCGTTGGCGCTTCGCATGTCCAAGAGATCTCCGAATTCTTCGAGACAGTTCCAAAATTATTCCAGTTTCTTCGGCTTCCAGGAGAAATATCTCCGAGAAGCTAGAGAAAACAGAGAATACACCCTTCTAGTTATACACACACAGTAGGGCTGAAACCAATTACTCGGTAATCGATCGATGATTCCTTATCAATCAAGTAATTGTTACGTTATAGATTACTCGTTAGGGATTTTGAGTCCAAAAAGTACGGAAAACCCTCGTTTTTTTGAAGTTTGAATCAGTTTCCACTGTGAGTATGCAGTTTCCAGGGGCATGGTGCACATTCTGAGGTTAAATTGACTTTATAACTACCATGTTTCTGAGCTACCCTGTCACTAATGCAAATTTGTGGTATTTTGATGGCCTAGGTTTAGGAAACACAGTAATTTGTGCACAAAATTCTGACACTATCTGCTAACGATTATAATCGATAAATCGATCGTTAAGCTCAAGAGTAATCGATAGGTGAAAATCCACGATCGTTATAGCCCTATATATAAGTTATAACGTGCCCTTCTGATTTTTCACATGTTAGGCCACACGTTTTATTTCTATGTTTCTCGTCACCTGAAAATCTAAAAACGTATGCGAGAGGTGGAAAAAAATATAAATGACCGAAAAATAAAAAAAAGTTTATTAGACCTTTGTTCACACTAAAATCCACCAATACACCATGCAAAATAGCATCCATAGTTAGCAACTAGTATGTGGTAGGAGCTTCTGTCACAATCTGTGCATGTGCAGCTAGATTGCGCACAAAAAATGCCGTCCTTGCATCATGTATCGCGCAGGCCAGGCCACATTATGTACATGTGCATGAGTGTGCTGGTCCCTACATGCACAGTCAGTGCAGCACAGTTTTTCTTTTCTTTTTTTCTTCCAGACTCCTGAATCGTATGCGCGCGGGTGACGAGAAACATAGAAATAAAAACGTGTGGCCTTATCACTATAACCGGTATATGACTCCAGGCGATTTTCAACTATGCGCGTCGTACATGCACAGTATACACGTGTGGGTACTCGATCGCGCTACAGTAGAGTCGCGCGCCCAAGAACGTTGTTTCCAAGGGGTTAGCCTGGGATGTTCTTATTCTTTCAGCAATCTGGCTGCGTTCTTATAGCACGTTCTTAGAAACAATCCGTACTGGATCATATGTATTCCACAAACTGCCAGAAACGCAACACAGCCGTTCTTAGCTTTAGGCTGTGGCGTTCTTAGAATTTCAGGCTGCACGTTCTTCAGCGCGCGACTCTACTGTAGTGCAGCGTACTGATGCAAGTAGTGTACAATGTACAGTCCAGATAGTCTACTTAGTACACGATGTCTACGGGACTATGCGAGCTACGCTTGCTGCATGCACAGCATTGTGCAGTGCGAGGCATGACCAGCCTTTTTCCTTGTTGACTTTCGCCGTTTGAAGGTTGTTGTCGTGCTTGTCGAGGAGAGTTTCAGTCGCATTTCTTGTTCCTGAATTTCGTGATTTGCATGAAGGAGGCTAGTGCGAAGCGAAGTAGAGTTTGTTTGACTTTTGAGAAGAAGGTTTAAATTCTCAACTATGCAGAGAAAAGTCCTCGAGCGACTCAAGGCGGTATTGGACGGCACTTTGGACTAGGGCAGTCGTCCGTCTCTACCATCCTGAAGAGCAAGTTGGCGATCATGGACGTGGCATCGTCCAGTTTGAAAGGAGTCTGTACAAATCGATCTAGCAACTGCATCCTGTTAGAGAAAGGTCTGAAAAGTTATCATGAAGCGTGCCTTTCAAAGAAGCTCATGAAAATAACGTATGACATGCTGATTGTGAAGGGCCATCAGATAGCTGATGAACTTGTAGCGAAGAAGCTGGTTCAATGGAAAGATCAACCATTGACGGGCACAGTGTGGAGATCATTTTCGCAGCGCTTCCTAGCCAAGAGGAAAATAAAGTCACATAAGACCCATGGCGAAGCTGCTCATGCTGACGTCGCTGTCGCTGCAGCATTCATGGAGGACACCTTGTCAGAGGTGTTTGCCAGCGTCGATGGTGATCCGACGCGCGTTTGGAATATGGATGAGACTGGTCTTTTCTGGAGAGCTCTGCCGCAGAGAACGTTGGCTTGCGTCAATAAACGGCTAGCAGGCAGCAAGACGCAGAAAGACCGGATCACCTTTGCCACCACTGTGTCCATGTCCGGAGAAAGGCTGCCTCTTCTGGCGATTGGCAATTCGAAGCTTCCCTGTGCTGCTGCTGCTGCAGTAAAAGGCACTCTAGCTGCTGTCATTGCAGGACAGTGGTGCTCCAATCCGAAGGCCTGGATGAACGAGCAGATATTTTCGGAGTGGCTGCTGGACATCAACAGAACATTCTGCAGGAAGGGTAAAACAATTGTTCTGCTGGTGGACAACTGCCCTGGGCACAGGTTTGATGGCGAGGCTGATCGTCTGGGCTATGTCCGCATTGTATTCCTGCCACCAAACGACGTCCGTGATACAACCGTGTGACGCTGGAATCATCCAATCATTCAAGTGCACGTACCGCCGTCTCATGTTACGCAAGGTGGTTTAGTTTGTAGATGACCCTACGAAGGCGAAGCTGGACACTGCAATGCTCAAGAAGAATGTGAACATTCCTCCCTGCCTGCAGTATGCAAAGTCTTCATGGGACTCTGTCTCGAAAGGCGACCATCCAGAATTGCTGGGGAAGGCTGGATTTGTGATGGGTCCCACTGTACCTGTTGATGAAGATGACACTCTTCAGACCGACATCACAGAGCTGGAGAGACTGGATGCAACTGAGCCATGCCGGATTGCTCCAAGTGACGATGTCTGCGAAATTGTCGAGGCACTGCAGGATGAAACTGCAGACTCTGACAGAGATGACGAAGATGAAGTGGCCGAGGAGTTGCCTTCACCTCCGTCTTCTGCAGAGTTATTGCAGGCTGTGAGCACAGTTCCTCTTGCGCTGTACGCTAGCATTGCCGACTCCAGTATGCACACCAGCTTCTCCAGAGTGGTGAACTTCCTGTCCGCCAAGGCATCATCCATGAAGCAGCAGACCAGAATTGACGAGTTGTGGCGGCACTAGAAAAACACTGGTATGGCTCCAACTTGACACATCAATGTCTCTCACTCGTGTGTTGCTATCATTATAGCAAATACTTCGAAGTATTTTTTCTGTACAAAGAGGTGTTTGAATTGTGATTCTGTATCCTTATGGCCGATTTATCGCTATATCCGATATATTGGTTATAATGATAATCCGACTGGCTTTTTCTGGTTTTGCTTTTGATATGTTCATGTTGTATGAATATAAGTTTCACTATATCCGATGACTTTATAACCGATATCCACTGTACTGTAAAATATACGCAAATGTACGGACTTGAACTCGGATGGTGAGCCAATTTAATTATGGAAAAAAGGAGAAGGACAAAATGTTACGAGTTATGACTAAAGGCCGCTTCATACTTCATTTCACGTACGGGAAAGTCATCGCGCGACCATCGCGCGATGGCTTTCCCGTATGCAAAATAGTTGAGCTCAGATCACCTTTTTCGCGACGCGACGCGTTTCCCGTACACGAAATGAAGTATGAATCGGCCTTAACTGTCCACCAACGTAACCAGATCTTATCTTATACAGTCAGCGAGTGCAACAAAATGGCACAAAACTGACCAGGAGTACTGAGACACTAAACGACCTGACACCTAGCTCCAACACTTCTCTGAGGCGCAAACCAACAACCTTCCAACTTGGAAGGCTCAGGTTAGGAAAGGTCCAAGAGGGGAAGGAAAGCGCAACGAAGAAGGGCACGAGCTACGTCCCACGGCAACAAAGAATGCCGAAAGTTACTGGATGATGACGAAACTAGTAAGCCTATTGGACATACCGGTCTCACTACAACTCGACGATGCAAAGCAACAGACCACCCAACTTGGGAGGCTCAAGTTTATGAAATAAACATAGAAAGGGGAAGCTATTTAAGCGAAGACGAATTGTGACAAACCGAAACGCCAACATCCCACTGAACTCCACTATGATGTAAATATGATGGACTAGTTATGAACAATAACAAGACCTAGTAGTTCCACACGACGTACATTTCGCCGTTTAGGTCATGACGGCTCATATAAATTATGGAAAAAAGGAGAGTTCTGTGCCATTTTGTCGCACTCGCTGACTGTATAAGATCTGGTTACGTTGGTGGACAGTTAGGCCGCGGTCACACCAAGCGCGATTCAGCCATTCAGCGGAAAAAAGCGCTTTTTGACGTCTTCGTTGCTACAGAAACGGCTGAATTTTCGGCTTCAGCCGTTTTCAGCAGTCAGCCGTTTTCAAAGTGCTGAATGGAGCGCTGAATGGATTCAGCCACTTCCAGCCATTCTGGGACAGTAGCGGCGGGAAAAACAAACTCCTGCAAATCCAAAGCGCATTTGCCATCAATGCATCGTGTTCTGAAATATTCCGGCTTTCGTTGTTGGTCCAACTTCTCTCATTGCCTGCTGTCTGCTATTGTCTTCATCTTTCCTTGTGCGCTTTCTACGAGGTGCGATTTGGTTCAGCAGCGTCAGACAAGGGAGACTATTGACTATTGTGCGATAGAAGCATGTCATTGTGCACCATGATATCGGTGCAGAGCAAGATGCAGACAACGGCACGGAGTCTAGTTTCAGGATCCAGGGCTGCACTACAAGCTCAAACCTCCCTCAATCTTTCAACAAGCACCCTGATTCCAATGTGGAAGCTCCCAGTACAGAACCAAAACTCTGCTGATTGCCACGTACATGTTCAACAGATAATCAAATAATTTAAAATTCAAAAAAATCAAATTCAAAAATGAATGCGAAGAAAAAAAGCTCTACGCCTACGAGAGCACGCAAAAAAATTCAGCGGATCTCATGGATCGATGTGACCAACCGCTTCATTCAGCACAAGCCACTTTCAGCGCAAGCTGAAAACGGCTTGTTTGGTGTGACCAACTCGTAACACTTTGTCCTTCTCCTTTTTCTACAAATGTACGGAATCTCGATTTTCTTGGTCTCGCCTTTTTATTGAGTGCAATTGTGTCACGTGTTGCTTACCTCATCTGCATTATAGTGCTTGAAAACAAGTGTTTCCGTGGGACCAGCGTCAGGTTTGTAGGGAATGCTGCCAATTCCTGCAGCAACGGCCACAAGAAGACAGCCAAGAAAAAATTGTACAAGTACTTCACACGAGCTTCGTCATGATCAATGACAGTGGTATTTGTTTGCCACGTGCCACCTTATACCATACCGGTAGTACAACACACCTGGGAAGAATTCGTCTCCGGAATCGACATCAGTCCGGGAACGCTTAGCCGCGGGAGCAAACGACGACATACTTCTCTCTTTTTTCGGTAAACCTTGCTACAAGGGAGGTGACGAGACACTGGAGAAGGGCAAAGAGAGCTCCCAACCGAACGAGTTTATCCACGGATCGTACTGTACATTCACAAAATGCTGTAGTAGTATAGTGTCATTTACCACATGTGACATGTCAAAATCAAACTCAAAACTCGAAAAGATTGCTAGCATGCTTCGTCCGCGATCCTGCATGGCCGGCCTGGTCCTCGGCCTCCAAGGCGTCACCAAGTCACCATGGTTACTGCATATGCATGACGCCGGCGCGGCGCCAGGGTCATGACGTCAGGCCAGCTCTAGCCAGCCGGGAGCGCATGCATGGCGCGCAGGCGCTACAAAATAGGCAGCGCCACGTAGACCTACGGTGGGTACTGGGTGTACATGACTGCGTGGGCCGCGAAGAGTGTCCTCGGCCTCTCGCAGTGTTGTCGTATCAATTATCGTACGTATGTCGCCCTGATTAGGTACGGTACATGTACTACGTGGGTACACATGTACGAGATCCAGCTCGTCTAGACGTCATCGTCACTTAGCGCACTTTTTGCAGACCGTGTTTGTGTGTAGCGGTATCTACGCGCTTGATCGATCATGATCACAGATTCTGCATGAGCCTCTCGCAAATGCAAATGTTGACTCGACTGTTGTAGCCGATAGAAGGACGAAACGGCTTGCACAGAATCAGTGCAGTGTGGAATGCTTTGAAACTGAAGTGCAAAAGAAGTTGTTTTCACATGTGTTAGTTACTGTTGCCTTCTCTTGTCGTGTATACGTATTTGCTAGAATTCCAGGGAGTATAGTGTTATAGTTATTGCCTTGCTTTTCAATGGCCGGAAGAGGCCGAGGAGGGAGAGGGGCCCAGCTCCTTCAGGTAATCCAAGAGATGGAATGAAATTCATTCAGCATGTTTTGGTTGTTGTCCATGTCGACAAATCGAGTTTTCCCTGGGTGTTCCTTTAGGCTTTGGATACGCCAGTAAGAAGACCAGGCCAGACTAAGGAAAGCTTTCAGGCGCAATTGAGTAGTCGCGAGGTAAGGAACGCGAGAAACGAGTGAATTGAATGAGCCCAATATTCACATCTACGGGTACCGTACTGTTTAGTGTTGTATGTGCCTCGTGTTTCATCATACATATCTTGCACCTTCTTTGCCTGTGGGCCGCAGTGTTCATGGTAAGGGGTGCTACATTGTACTGAGAGTGCTCACATGAAATTGGGTCGGCAATGCCGGCCGATTTTATCATCGTCTTACCTCCAAAATAATATGAAATACCGATCCCGTGGCAACAACATAATCATTATACATTCGTTATGGTGTAGTATTTAGCAGGTTCTGCTACACGGACCTACGTACCAAACTCCGTGTCAACTGCAGTGAAGTTTGACACGGATTTTTCGTACGTTGCACCGGTTCTGCTGTACGTAGCATGCTCGTAGCATGCATGAACACCCTGCCACATGTACTCTGTACGCTCAGTTTTCACACGGAGTCCAGTCCGTGTGAAAAACGGTATGAAAAAATCCGTATGAAACTTGATCCTGTACCACGGCGAAGTTCCCATACGTACTTTGGCACGTTTTACCGTGTGGCAGAACCTCACTATTATTAAACCCAATCAGGTTGTCAACCAATAATAGTTGATCGAAGTATCCGTTCAGCCTCACATGCTCACCTTGGGCTTCTGTTCTTGCTGTTCCTACTTCAATGTCTATACAGGGTGCATGCAATATAGTCCTACTTCCATGTCTATAACAGGGTGCATCCCATATAGTCCTCGGCTACACCACGCACAACAATTGTTTCCAAGTTTTCACCCAGGAGGGCAACATCAGGTTTAAAATTTGGGAACAATCGTTGTACGTGGTATAGCCAAGGACTGTTCCTGTGGTATGGGTTAGAGGTTTAGTGAAAAGATGATAAGGCTACAATGGAGCTTCAGAGTTCTCAAAAAATACAATAATTATATAGTGTCCACTTCATGCGATAGAATACAGAGCATGCTTTCACTCTGGGATCAGTTTGTGTCATTCCTTTCGTACATCCTGGGCAAGGAGCACTGACTAGCATGCTGGGTTTTCCCACTGACTAGCATGCTGGGTTTTCCCACTGACTAGCATGCTGGGCAAGGAGCACTGACTAGCATGCTGGGTTTTCCGATTATAGTTGGAGTCATACTACTTTAAAATGATTAGGCTTGTCGCCAAATGCAAACATCATAACCCCCACATCTTCTGCACCAGCTTTTGTGTTTGTTTACAACGCTTGTGTGTGTGTATGTGTGGTGTGTTTGTGTGCGTGCGTGCGCGCGCGCGCGCGTGTGTGTGTGTGTGTGGTATGCGTGTGGTGCGTTTGTGGTGTGTGTGTTTGTTTGTTTGTGAATGTTGCCCGTGTAGTCTGCATCATCAGGCGTGAGCACTGCAGGAAGTTCTGTCAGTTTCCCAAGCACTCAATCATCTGCAACCCCATCATCTGCTTCAGCCTACTCAAGCCATGACTCGAGCAAGACACCGCCTGTAAGTGTCTTATGCCATCGTGTTGTGCAGTGACAGCCGAGGTGATTGCACTATTAGTGTGCCTTATACTATACCCCCACCCGCCATCGCCATGCGCTCTTAGCCGAACCAATGGACGAAGCATTAACATACCGGCACAGCAAGGACATGTCCGTTGACAGATAATTTGCAATGCCTCTAGGCAGCTGTTTCGCTCCTTCGACCTCATCAGTAGAGGATATTGAATGATCACGATGATCATGGAGTGTAAAGGAATGATCAATATTTATCAATATTTTATTGTGAAGTGTGCCTTATGGTTATAAATGTACCGTCGATCCGCCCCCATGCCGTGTCGCTTCCCAGCTGCCTTTTCGGCAGGGGGCGGGAATTAGATCAAGTCGTTCAAGTGCAGTACGATGTACAACGAAGCAGAAGATCAGACCTGGGATGCTGGACTGTGCGCATTTTCATCCTGCAATCGCACGTATTGTGTACAGCAGTACATGTGTCGGTTCAACGCTGTATTTCGTTGTATACGCCGGTGTCACTTAAGGCCATGTAATGTATATTGATTGTTTATCGTCAGATTTTCCCAAGAAATCGGGGCGGACGGGAGGTAATTTATTGTATTTTTTATTTTGCATGTATGGCTGTATGGTGTACCGGTAGGTGTTCGCAACCCCTCGACATGCCTCTTTCTTCACTTTCTTTTTTTGAAGCCATTTTGCACAGAGTGAGATAAATCTGTGTGATGCAGATGAATCGTCAGCCACGAATAAAATCTTGCAAGATAATTTTGAGGACGGGAAAAGTGAAACAACCAACGTAGGACGAAAAGAGAATCAGGCACCTGATAATCTCTTTCACTTTTCAAGCCTATACATGCAGCACCTACATGGGCATGTATGATTCAATCTGCGGATTTCGCCTTCCAAGATCTACAGCCATGCTGATTAGAGGCCGTATAGGCATAGATCACAGTACATACATACAGTACATTTACCGGAACTAAAAAAAATTTGGCCGGGAGGGCGAAAAATCGGGGCGGGCGCGGACGATAAACATTCAATTTTTTTACTTGGCCTAAAAGGCAGAATTTTGACAGGGGGCGGATCAACAGTGCTTTACGGTATGTGACCACCTTGTTTTGTAGCATACTGCTCAATATAGATAGTGTGTCAGGCATATTTGGGGGGCATTACCGGGTATGTTTGAGTCTGTTTGTACTACTTGTGATGTGGTTTACATTGTGTTTTTTAATTGTTGTTTGTAGCCACCCACTGCTGCAATGGCCGCCATGACCATGAAAAGAGAGAGCCCGCCTGGCTCTGCGGGCCCATCTCGTACCAGCCCTGAGATACGCGCTGCTGCAGCCCCTTCCCCATCGCAGAGTGGTGGCTCACCACCAAGCTCACATAGCAGTATCTCAGGCTCAAGTAGTTCTAGTGACAAGAGGAGCAGTGCGTCGAGCTCATCGGGCAAAGTGTCCCTTGATGCACCTACACCACAGCGAGGCACAACCGGAGAAGAGTGAGTTCTGGTCAACCTCAGGGAGAGAGAGAGAGAGAGAGAGAGAGAGAGAGAGAGAGAGAGAGAGAGAGAGACTTATGTACAGTCAACTTCGCGTATAACGACACTCGGCGGGGCATCAGAAAAGTGTCCTTATTCGCGAAGTGTCGTTATACCCGAAGTCTCATTATATATATTAGGCCACACGTTTTTATTTCTATGTTTCTCGTCACCTGAAAATGTAAAAACGTATGCGAGAGGTGGAAAAAAATAAAAAATGACTGAAAACCGCAATCAATAAAACTAGCTGAACGGACATTTGTGTACTTTATTCATGCAATGTAAAAACGGTGGAGACGATGTGCAATAAAACGATGAAAATATGAAGAAATGGTGTAGGGAAAAAATATGGATTCAAACAAGTTTTCGTACAACACTCATCAGGAATCGTCTGTATAAGCCTAATTTGTGTGTACAGAAAGATAGTATAATTGGGTTGAAATTGTTCAAGTAACGTGTCGTGTTTAGTGCGGCCAAGCTTGGCCGTTAATGTTCTAGGTGTAATGTACTGCTGTTATGTGTTATCACGTTGTCTTTCCTTCCTTTCTCCTTTGTTCATTTCTCGCTTTGATTGTTAAAATTCACGCTTGTAAATTTCACTGCTGTTGCTCTTAGTGTTATTTCTTAGATTTTCTATAATAGTTCAATTTTTGTTTCAGTGTCCTTTAGTACAACGACGATTCCTGATGAGTGTTGTACGAAAACTTGTTTGAATCCATATTTTTTCCCTACACCATTTCTTCATATTTTCATCGTTTTATTGCACATCGTCTCCACCGTTTTTACATTGCATGAATAAAGTACACAAATGTCGGTTCAGCTAGTTTTATTGATTGCGGTTATCAAATTATTGTCTCGTAGCCGTGTGTTTAAATGACTGAAAAATAAAAAAAAGTTTATTAGACTTTGTTCACACTAAAATCCACCAATCTACCATGCAAAATAGCATCCATATTAGTTAGCAACTACCGGTAGTAGTACAAGTATGTGGTAGGAGCTTCTGTCACAATCTGTGCATGTGCAGCTAGATTACGCACCAAAAATGGCGACCTCGCATCATGTGTCGCGCAGGCCAGGCCACATTATGTACATGTGCATGAGTGTGCTGGTCCCCGCATGCACAGTCAGTGCAGCACAGTTTTTTTTTCTTTTTTTCTTCCAGTCTCCTGAATCGTATGCGCGCGGGTGACGAGAAACATAGAAATAAAAACGTGTGGCCTTACAGTTGGATGGGACTTTGCTCTGGGCATGGAAATTCTGTCGTTATTCGCGAATTGTCGTTATATCCGCAGTCGTTATTAGCGAAGTTGACTGTATATCGTTTTGTCATTCTTACTGTTGTATGATGACACATAGTGTGTGTGCAGGACTTGGTGTTCTTGTCATTAAGAAAGGATTCCTGTCCCTGGCTGTGTGCATTGTAGGATTCCTCTCTGTGCAAATTACATTGCCGTCAAGTCAACAACACAAGGCGTGTTCCAGTATTGTGTCAAGTTTGAGTAAGTCTTGGTTTGATGTGTGCTTGTTTGATAAGGATGCATTCTTTTACACGACTTGAAACACATTCTGGTTTTCCTAATTTTTGCCTGTTTCGTTTTGAATAGGCTCTTTTTGGAGCTGTGTCTCTGTTCTGTTATTTTCAATCTCACGTGTATATTACGTGTCAGGAAGCAGTTGGAAAATAAGCAGAACTGTGGTGTTCCATCGTAGAGACAGTTGGAAAGTTCAGATGTTCTAGTGTGCACTGAAATCTGTACTGGTATGTATGGTTGACAGTATTGACATGGTATTATAAAGGGCAGACAATGGCAGCAGAGACAATTTGCCAAATGCCGAGGACCTTGCCGGAGTCCACAACTGACTGCAAGCTGATGATGCTTGTATCGGTACCTTATTGATTAGATTTTGGGACTGGTTGGGTGTTCATCATGGGGTTTTTTTCTTGGCGTGTATGTCTCACACAGTCCTGAAGTGGACAACCGCAACATGCGCTACGGCATGATGAACGAACACAAGGATGTTATTGGCGACACAAAGGCTTTCGATGGCTCCACGCTTTTTCTCCCCCATGAGCTGTCCGACAAGGTATGGCTTGCTACTTGTGTGATTTCTCCGCTGTGATGAAGTTTGAAATTGTTTCCGATGTTTACAGCTAAGTACCATACTTAACATTATGCTTGCACCGGTGCATGATGTAGAAGACCACCTACATTTGAAGAGGCTGGCTTTCTCTACACCATAGTGTGGTAAATAGCGCCACTTCAATCATGTACATATGTTTGTATTTGTCCGTGTTTGTCCATGTAGACCACTGTGGTGCAGTCTAAGCGCCAGACTGATAGCCAACCGGTCAACATTTCGATCACGCTAACCCGTATCGTACCGCATGATGAATGCCATCAGCTGTATAACATCGTCTTCCGCCGGTAACTGTCCTATGTTCATGTTGACTGTGCATGTATGTGTGTGCAATAATTGAAGAGTTGAGGTGCACAACACGACATCCATGTCATCACTTTTTGGATAATGACCAAAAAAGGATTCATTTAATGTGTGGCGTGTATCTTAGTCCATATTTGGCCACCATTTATGAAGTGGTTCTAGTCAGACTTTGAAGGTGGAATTTTGCCTGAAGGTACCTCTAGACCTTTTCATCACACTGAGCTCAACAAGAGTAGAAAACAGTGCAATTTGAGGTGTGGCTGTTAGCCCACAACTTAATCGGATGACCTCAAAATCTTTCTCAAATTTGGCACTTCTCGCGTTTTGCATCTAAACTTTGTGTGCGTTGTGTATGATTGCACTCATACTTATCAATTTAAATCTCTGTCAGCATGTATCAGTAGAGAGTCGGAGACCTTTTGCACTTTGAGACAATTGCTCATTTACTTGTGCTTGATGTTCATCTGAGCTATACAGAAGGCTTTGTTTATTCGACAACATGCCTATTTCTTGGCTGCTCCGAGTGGAGTTTCATGTCCTACATGTACATGCAACAGCATTCATCTCAGGATGAGAAAGTCTCTAGTTTTGGCCTGTGACAGTGTAAGTGACTTTGCTTGCCGTAATCCAAAATGCAGTCCTCTCCTGTTGGTGATGTGATTATGTACTTTTTTTCTTCTCTGTGCTCGTTTCACGTCTGCTAGCGTGATGCGCTGTCTGAATCTGAAGCAAGTAGGACGGTCGCACTTTAACCCCAACACACCGATCATGGTCCCGCAACATAAGTATGTGCTTGCGCTATGGAGTTGTGCCTGCTCTGCTTTATGTTCACTTCTACATTGACATCTTGCTTATAGTGTGCATGAGTGAGAGCCAGGCTTTATTGGCGTTCCACATTCTGGGGACTCTGTTTGAATCTATCTGAGCACAGTGCCTGTATTCCATGTTGCTACTTTGAAAGCAGTTGTGTCCATGTGTAAATGTATTGTTCCGCTTGTGCCGTCTGGTTTGATTTAGGCTGGAGATTTGGCCTGGCTATGTCACGTCAATCCAGAGTTACGACGGTAAGTGACAGCTTCTCTTTGTCGGGTGTTCTTGCTGTTGTCTCCTGTTTTTGCGCGCTTGATGCTTGGCCATGTTAACTTGTTCCGTTTCTGGTATATTGCTCTGACCGACTATATGTCACGTGTACCATGCTGTTTCAGGTGGCCTGATGTTGATGTGCGATGTTTCACATCGACTATTGCGTACCGACTCCGTCCTGTCATTCATGAGCGATATGTACAGTGCATCTTCCAGGAACTTCCAAGAGAACTTCATGAAGCAGATTGTTGGAACAGTGGTGCTGACACGGTACAATAACAAGACCCATCGTGTTGATGACATTGCCTGGGACATGAACCCACTCAGTACCTTCAAGGACTCCAGCGGCGAGGAGATCTGCTTTCTGGATTATTACCGGTATGGTCCGTTGCTCTTAGCCAGTGTGCGTTTTAGTTCTTGGTGCTTGGTGGGCCTAGTTAGCAGTTAACATCCTGGCAGTACTACTGTCTCTACTTGTATTCTCTGCTTTAGATCCGCGTCCATGTGCTTGGCAGGCTCCTAACATTTCCTCTCATTGTCTGTTGTGGTTCTATGCAGGAAACACTATGAAATCAAGATTGAGGACAAAGAACAACCTCTGCTTATCAGTCGTGTCAAACGTCTTCGGCCAAGGGTAAGGCCGATCTAGATCAGCTGGTGGTATTTGGTGGTGTTTGCCTATGTGTACCGTTAGTTTGAAAAGTTACCTCTGCTCACATTAGAGTCCGCACTTCGTGCCAATGTATAGTGCTTTCCCAACCCGTGCATCACTAGTGAAAGTAGTGGTCCAAGCTAACAGTGACGTTCCTACACAACCAGCCCGTCTTAAGCCCTGGGTAGTAGTGAACATTTGTTCTAATTGTTCTATTATAATTCTATGTGCATGTAGCGCCATGGTGATGCACCAGATACATCACTGGAGGAAGAGGTGAAAATCTGTCTTATTCCTGAGTTGTGCTCCATGACTGGACTCACGGATCAGGCCAGGGAGGATTTCCGAGTGATGAAGGTTAGTTCTTGCCTGCCCTTGTGCACGTACTTATGATTGTGGTTGATTCTGTTGTCTGACTCTATACTTCGAAGTAGCATGAGTGCATATTGTTTGGATCACATCATCTGGTTGACACTTCGAAACAATCGAACGCCTATTTTTTTTATCTCCTTGCACACGCACACCCACCCACACGAACACACAAAGTACGATTTGCCGTTTAGTTGACGTAAAAAGAGATCCAGCAGTCAGCGGGCATGCAGTTTGTCTGTGTGCAAGATCTACTGAGTTACATGTAACAATGCTGTAGAGATCATGTTTGATCCTTGATGAATATGTATGATGTATTGCCAACAGGATATTGCTCAGCACACTCGTATAACACCGAACCAGCGACAAGTTGCAATGAAGAAGTTTGTGGACAACATCAATGCGACACCCGAGGTAAATCGTGTAATTGTCATACTTGGTCCGCGTCAGCAATATTGTCGCTTATCTTTCGACAATTTGAACTTAGACTTTGGACATGAACGCGTGCACCTGAAGTGATAAAACTTGGTACGATGGACGGTAAGGTATAGAACGACAACTAGCTGCGAGGAATTTATTGTCCAAGGAAGGGTTCCTACTTTTTTCGGTCCTCCTCGTCGCTGCTTTCGGCGCTGGCGACAAATATTTTTGCTCGGGATCGACTCTCTTGCTTTTGCAAGCTCATCTCTCTTCCTCTCCGCTGCCTGGCTATTTTCTAAAGAGAAGTCGATCGTGATGGTCGCCTTCTCTATAGGACTTCGCCTGGGCAGCACGACAGCCTGTGTGGTTCAAATCAGACGCCGTTCTTTGCAAGATTTTATTTTGAACGACGACGACGCGTACAGTACATGTACTTGCAAATCTCCACGACGCGCTGGATACTCCGAGCGAGGAGCTAGCTGGAGGTAAAGGAGCTGCGATCTCAGCTTGATGAGCGATCCCTGAGGTGAGCAATCTCGGCCGTTCAGCAAAATCGAGCTGATTCCGAGTAGCCGATTACTTTCTTGTGGCTTGCGCTGCTCTTGCCTGCACAGCGTAACAAGATAATCTATTTTGATGCGGCGCTCTATCAATTCGAATCACCCACCTGTCGCTCTCAAAATCCACTCGAACTCTAGCTAGACCTTTCAGGTACTAGCAAACTAACTAGCTAACCAAAATTGGGATAATATAGGCTGCCAAGTAAGCATTGGCGACATATAAACAAAGCTGAAAGATAAGCGACAATATCGCTGACGCGGACCAAGTAGTAATAATTTGTCAGGTTGTTGAATGTCTCTATACTCCCTGTCAGTGTTGTGCCATGTTGTCTCTCTCTCTGACTCTGATCTGGTTACTTTGGTGGACAAGTTGAGTCATAACCCGTAACATATTGTCCTTACTCTTCTCAGTAATCTGTCACTGATTAGTTGTGACATAATGCTATTGGTCATGAAGCACGTGTTTATCTCTCTTGTTCTGCTTGGGACTAGTGTTTGTGTGATTACTTGATGTATGACTTGACATGGTGACACTGCTATTGCTATTCTGCTCTCTGCTGCTATCTGCTACATATTGAATCCAGGCCCGGCATGAGCTGACACGTTGGGGACTTGCCCTTGACCCGACCATGACCCAGCTTTCTGGGCGTGTGCTGCCGAGAGAGAAGATCCTCACACATCACAAAACGCTCATGGTCAATGCCGAGGCTGATTTCAGTAGAGACGTAACTCGGGAGAAGTGCATTACAGCCGTAAGTGCTAACTCTGTACCATGCTCCTTGCTATTGTCAACGCAGACTTGTTTCCGAATGCAACCCTATGCATTCTTATAGTTATCAAACAACGCTCCTGTAGGACGGATGACATGATCTGAGTGATCAATAAGCTATTGTTGTAACTTGTGCTTGTGATGTTTGTCCTTTTATGAATATAAATCCGGTGTATTGCTAGTGGCATGCTGCTTGTGCTCTGGATAAAGGTAATGCCATGAACTATTCCCAGGCGACAGCCTTGGGCCATTTAAATCATATGCCATTTCTTCTTTGCGAAAGATAGTATCCTACTGTTTGTGTTCATGGGTTTCATTCCAACTGGCGGCCAAATTCCGGTACGTTGCCTCCCAGGATGGTAGCATCATTGATTGGAGACATTTGCTGTGGCCGTTGTTGTTGTTGTTCTGCTGCAGGTTAACTTGGACTGCTGGGTAGTGGTGTGCACACAGCGAGATCGTGCAAAGGCAACAGACTTCATCATGATGATGAAGCAGGTTGGACCTAGCTTTGGAATGGCAATCAACGACCCGGTCACTATTCATCTGGAAAATGACCGCACTGACACTTACCTGCGCTCCATTCGACAGGCTGTGCAATCTGAGGTATGTGCTTTCCTGGTGATCCTGTATGTATTGTTCTGTTCCTATCAGTCGAATGAAGCCGCAGTGGCAGAATTGTCTACACTAGACAATGTACAATGCTATTTTTTCAGCAGCTTTGTTGTTTAACTTTGCTATGATTTCTTTTGTGTGGATGTTCATTTCCTGTTCTAGCTTCAAATGGTGGTGTCCATCTTCCCAACAAAGCGTGATGATCGCTACAACGCTGTCAAGAAATTGTGTTGCGTGGAGTCCCCTGTTCCATCACAGGTACTGGACATTGCTCATGCACACACCATGATACATGTATATCTATCCAAAAGCAATGCTGTTCTCCATTCATTGCAACTCTGTGCAGCCTGCACACGTTAATTATTATGTCACCTTAATGTCTCTCAACGATGAAGACTGAGTAGTGCCATAAATGAGTATATTCTCCTTGCAAGACAAAAGAAAATGGCACATAAAAGTGTTCTGATGCCTCTGACATGTTTTATGTATCCGTTCACGCTGTTGATTGTCAGCAGTAACTCGCGCTCTGCCTGAGTATGAACTGCGGGGATTTCCTGTTGTGCTGTGCACCAACTGGAAATTTTCTGTCTGTCTTGTCTCATGCTGCCAATGTTGACTTCTTTGCACTCTTCTTCCACTGTTTTCTGCTTGTGATAATTATGTTATTCTCTTTTGTGTTGTCTCCTCGCCACCAGTGTATCAACACGAGAACGATCGGTGATGCGCGCAAGCTACGTTCTGTCACCCAGAAGATTGCACTTCAGGTACATATAATTATCATGGCTATTTGAGTCTGCTTTGTCTACTCAACCTACTCGGGCTTGCCCGCTGTGTGCAGCATTAGAGAGGAGGCATCCGGCTGCGTGCATTACTAAGCCTTTTGCATCATGTTTTAGAATTGGTTACGAGTATGGTGACAAGCATGACTGTAGCTTGGTATTGGTGGTGCTGTGCAGTGTAGCTCTCCCTCTCCATGTCGCCATTGTGCCTGAATGACTGGCTACGGTTGTATTGTTTTGTGTAGATGAACTGTAAGATGGGTGGAGAGCTGTGGGCTGTTGAGATGCCGGTGAAGAACCTCATGGTCGTGGGCATTGACACCTACCATGACAAGCAGAGCCGCTCGGTTGGCGGGTTTGTAGCCTCCACAAACCAGTCCATCACTCGCTGGTATAGTCGAGTGTGCTTTCAAGAGCGAGGCCAGGAGTTAGTCGATGGCCTGCGTGGTTGTCTGATGGATGCCATTCGCAACTATCACGAGGTAGGGTTTCTTTGGGCTTCTCTGAACATACAGGCTTTCAGTGTATTTGGATTCTTCTTGTGGGTCTTCAACTAGTACAATAATACGATGGTGTCAGCTGCTTTTTTTCTCAGAAGTAATCGCTGCACGCTTTTTTAAAGGGGAAGTCCGGTGAAAATTTTAAATTCCAGTGTCCGTAGACTTTGGGGCGCTGAGTCGAATGGTCTTTGTCCGAGGAGACTGCGATCTATGGTTCGTCAGATATGCCCAATCGAACATGTGCGAAATTGAGCGCTCATCGCCCAGATCCAAGTGATGACGTCACGGTGTGCAGCCAGGTAGCCACATCATCTATTTGTGTACAAAATGGCCATTATTCGGAACGCGTTCGATTGAGGAACCGTTTGTCGCAGCTTTTTCGGACCAAGACCATTCAACTCAGTGTTACAAACACTACGTACCCTGTGATTTTCAGCTCGGCAAATGTTGAGTTTATCCCGTCTTTTAGTTGTTTCCAAGTTGGACTTTTTCCGTCCGCGATGGCCTCTGCGTGCATGCTAGCTGTAGTCAACATGACAACAAACTCATCATACACGGACCATGACTACTACCGTGCTACGTCGTTACGTGGTAGATCTACAAGACTCGAGTCACAAGAGACTTGTCAATACTTCGAAGTACACTCGTATATCAGTCGTATGTACAGTCATTTAGTCAGGGAACGTGCGTTTCTCCTTGCTTGGTTGTGCTTTGAGAAAGAATTTTTTAGTTTTCTGCATGGAATAGTCCAGCCTTATTCATGGTACAATGATGAGCACAACCGTGACAAGTGACAAAACAACAAACAGCTCCCGGACCTAAAACGTTCAGATCCCGTAGTGTTGTGGGCCTTGAATCGAAGAGTCGTGCCCGTGGTTCAAAATGCTTTTTATTTTTATTTTTTGTTGTGAGACCAGTACGGTACTTAGGGATACAGTAGAGATTGGATATAACGACCTTGGGTATACACAGTTCTGTTGCCCAAGTCGTTTAGCAAGTCCTTTCTGTACATTATAGATCGGGTGTAACGACCTCGAAAATAATGACAGATCGAATTTACTGACACTTTTTTGGTGCCCGAAGACCTGAAAAACAGTGAAAATACATCGGATATAACGACTTTCCTCTTGTATCAGGCAGACTGGCATGTCTGGAACACGGTATATGGCTGTGCCACGTGCCCGGACCTCCGGGTCACTCAATTATGTGTGCTTTACATTGCACGTTGGAGCCGCAGTGCAGCGGTGCAGGATGACTTTACCTTGAACAATGCATGCAAGACACATGTACACATCTGTTATCCACGTCGTGCACATGTATTTCTACAATACACTTCTGTCATTTTGATATACATATTGCATACTAAATGTGAAGATCGGGTTACAGCCTAGTTCACATTCGACGGGGCGCGACGGGACGCGATGTAAGGATCGACGGGACGGTCTGACGGCGTCCAATGTGAACACCAGGAACGGGAACGCAACCGTACTACCGTACAGATCGGGAAGCGACGGGAAGAGTTGGATCGATCCAACTTTTCTTACCGTAGGCGGGCGTAGACGGGGACGCAAGCGTACAAAACGGCTGCAATTCGAGTGTGAACAGGAGGCGGCGTCGTGCGCCGACTGCTCCCGATTAATACTTGGAAATTTTTAGCATTTCGAACATTGCGCTTCCCATGATAACTCACCGAATGGCTAGCACGACTTGAGTTGAATTTTAGCAATATAAGATCTCATGTCACTTATTGTATTTAGGGATAGTTCAGAAGCGTGACAGACGAACTATTCTATCATTTCCTGGGGCTATTATTTGAATGCCACAACGTTCAGGGCAAATTTTTTGGTCTTCACGAAAAACTGGTATTGTGAACTTGATTCCGCTTCTTTCAAGGAGACCTAATTGAAAAGAAGTCCCGAAAAACGAGAAATTAGGTCCAAAAGTCACCCCGTCACGGACCGTGCCTTATGACTCGCGCCGTTCGACGGTGAACGTCGCAACGACTGCTGCATGTCGTGTCGTACGAATCGTAGTCCCGTACCCTCGGCGTTGCGTCGAATGTGAACTAGGCTTTAGTGACAGATAGAATATAGCAACATTTTGCTTCTCCCGAAGGAGTGTCGTTATATCCAATCTCCTCTGTAGTAATGGAATGCTCCATTTAGTTTGTTATTTGATGAATTTTCTGTTCTTCCTTCTAGATCAACCATACTTTACCTGACCGGATTGTTGTGTTCCGTGATGGTGTCGGCGATGGGCAAATGTCAACAGTGCGCGACTATGAAGTGCGTCAGCTTGTCGAGTGCTTCAAGCACTTTGGTGATAACTACAAACCTCGCATGGCCATGGTGATTGTGCAAAAGCGCATCTCCACACGCGTCTTCTTCCGCGGCCACCAGTTGGAGAACCCACCGCCAGGAACAGTCGTTGATCACACCGTCACTCGCAAGGATGTGTAAGCTTTCCTGCCTCGTGTGTGTGTGTGTGTGTGTGTGTGTGTGTGTGTGTGTGTGTGTGTGTGTGCATGATGGTGTCGAGATATGTCAAACAGAATCCTCGAAACCAGTGGTGTATCCTCTCCCAGGTTTATAGAACTCCCTGCTGTGGGCTGAGCTGGCTGCTTGTTTGCACGCTTATGCTTATATACAATCTTCTTTGTATTTGGTCACATGCACATGAAGTATATGTAATGATGTTTAACTTACTACATAACTCTAACACTCAACATACATGCGGTGCTCTGGAGAATCAAAAGTATCTTTTCAACACAATTCAGTGTCCGCATGACTCCTACATTTACGTGAAGTTGCTGTAATTCTCGTTTGTGTATTCGATTGTAGGTATGATTTCTTCTTGGTGAGTCAGCATGTTCGCCAGGGCACTGTGACTCCTACCCACTACACGGTTGTACATGACACAACCGGCTTCCAGGCCAATCACATGCAGCGTCTGGCTTACAAGATGACGCACATGTACTACAACTGGCCTGGCACCATCCGTGCACCTGCACCTTGTCAGGTGAGTTTGCCGGTGCACTGCACAAACTGCCACATGTAGCTTTCTGATAGTACAATAAAGTACTCCCCTGATTCGGCACTCCCATCTACCAGTCACCTTTCTTACCCATCAGCAGTCACAAAACCGGGCTTTTCGATGGAAAATGACCCCAAATATTATTGAGTGGCGCAATAAAAGTGTTTTCTTGCGTACACTAAGTATACAGTCAGACCTCGCTTATCCGGTCCTCTTTTATCCGGATCCCTCGCCATCCGCAAGAAAATCGTTGGTTACCGATTTACAGCATTTATGTATGGTCCATCCGTAAATATCAAACTTTTTTCACCAAACGAATTGTTTTAGTTTAGACCCAACCCCTCCCTCCCTCCCCTTCAGAACGTAAAAAAATGTTGACACGTCCGTTCATATTACACAACAAAAGTCGCAAGTGTGTCACTGCTCCAACGGGCATGTACATTGTATCAATGTTTTCTGAAACGAAATTCGTCCACCCCCTCCCACCCCATAACAAAATTATTTCGTTTTGTGAAAAACGTTCGATATTTATGGACGACCCCATTATTATGCCATGCATACATACAGTATGTGTGTTCGATTATCCGGTTCCCTCGCCTATCCGGATATTTTAAGCGAGGTCTGACTGTGTTATGTTCCGAGTTAGGGCAATTCCTAATTACGGGCAGTGCCTAGTCCCAACCTGCCCGGATAAGGGGAGTTCTTCTGTATTGTATGTAGTGTAGTAGTGGATTGTGTACTACTGCATCTGACTGTACTGAACCAGTGATATGTCTGACGATAGGCTTTTGTATGTTCTGATATGCAAGCCTTGTATAGATGACAGCAATTGAGTTTAATATTGCTCTTGTGAGTTTGGCAGTTAATTTATTATTGCATCTTCTTGCATACGTGTTTTTACACGCATTGTGTGTGTGTGTGTGTGTGTGTGCGTGTGCGTGTGTGTGTGTGTGTGTGCGTGTGTGTGCGTGTGTGTATATGTTTGTGCTTTGTGTGCTCACTCAACAGTATGCCCACAAGCTGGCATTCCTCGTTGGACAAAGCTTGCAACGGGATCCTGACCGTAAACTATCCGACCGTCTGTTCTTCCTCTGAACTGCATGTGTTGTGCATACCAACCTTCTCCTTCAGCCGTGCATTGCTTTGGCTTGGATGCACCTTTTGCTACTTCCTGTGGCTTCCACATGTGTGCGTGTGTGCATGAGTGAGTAAGTGAGTAAGTGTGGGTGGGTGTGGGTGTGCGCGCGTGCATGTGTGTGTGTGTGCGTGTGTGTGTGTGTGCGTGCGTGTGCGTGCGTGCGTGAGTATGCATGTGTGTGCGCGAGTGTGTGTATGGCTGTCCATGTTTACTTAGTATATTTCTTTACACGTAGTTGTTATACTGGTGTTTCTGATGCTAATAAGTAGCACATCACACATTGTATCCTTTTCTGGGTGACTAAGTATAGTAATGAGGCTAGTACTCTGGCATTCATGATACACACAGATAGCAGCTGTTGCATACATACCAGTAGGTTGATTCAGACTAGTACCATCATCTGGCTCCCCGCCCCGTCTAGGCTTTTTCCGGTTGATATCGTTCTGTTTTCTTTCCTCGCTGTGTCTGATTCGGTGGGCTTATGCTGTGCCCAGCCATCTTCCAACCACCAGTCTGGTGATCGGTGTATTTTATGACCAGTGGTGTACCATGATTATCTTACTAACGTAGGTGGCCTGTTGAGCATGTTCCCGAGGCCGAGGCTAGTTTTTATCCATGTATTTTTTAAAGAGTGTTGTGTTGAGTTAGCTGTTGCTGGATTGCCTCACCAACAATGTTACCGTTTTGCTCTTCTCGACTAATGAGTGATGAATGTCCTGCATGACCATGATGACTGCCTGCAGCCTGTGTATCTCTTTTTAACACGCCCCAAATGAATCTTCGAATCTGGCCGTTTACAGTCCCTTTTTTTGTGTAGCGTGTTTAGTGTCTAACAGCCTCCACATGCCCTATCTGGGGTTTTCTTCTTGCGTGGCGCTTGTTTTTTTGCCTGTGCTGGCTCAGTATGTGTCAGTGTATGTGTGTTGCAAACAAGTCGATCTTGCTTCTAAACTTTATTTTGTGGTGTACTAGTACTAATTTTACAGCATACTGTACTGCTTCAGCTCTTCTGCATGCTCCTTTCATTAAGCGAGACCAAGAGTGCATAAACACTCTTGGCGAGACAAAAATAAAATCGAGATTCTTGGGCAGGACCCATGTGAAATTGGTGCGGGCTGGCGAATTTTTATTTTTTATCCATGTATGTACATGTATGCATTCCATGCCTAACTTTTTGTTTTTTTACAGTATTTACCGGTCATTTTTATTTTTTATGCGATTGTTTTACAGACAACAGGTACGCGGTTTACCCGTTCAATTTTTCTGTATTTCGGCCAACGATGGCCCTGATCTGTACATCAGGGAGTACAAGCCCGGCTTTGTGTGATCTACTCACACGATCAGTACTGTACATGATTTTGTATATGAACTGTTCAAAAAATTGGCTTTGGCTCGATTTTGATGCGGGATGGCCTGGGAATCTCAATTTTTTGGTCTCGCCTTATGTTCATTCTTGTATCTGTGTCCGGAGTACTGTAAAAGCAGAATTCTCTAGAAGTAACTTCTGTGCCGACAATTTCACCAAAAATAAAACGCACCCAAAAATGTCGGTGCTAGTACTAGTACCAAGAGTCCATAAATGTTTATGCACTCTTGCTAGTACCAAGAGTCCATAAACTGTTTATGGACGCTTGCATGCTAGTACCAAGAGTACAAAAAATAAAGGTTTATGTACTCTTGCTAGTACACTTACATGTGCCTGAAAAACGGGTTTACCGAAAATTTCCCTCCACCAGATTGCCGATTTTGGAGAACACTGAAAATATTGCACCACCGAAACAGTCTGCTTTTTAAAATACAGTATGTCCTGTGAAGTAATTTATTGTGATTTACATGTCTTTTAGACTGTTACGAACTGGACGAGGGGGAGCAACAACTCCCCAAGTTCGCTGTATCCTTGATGAGAAGGGAGCGAAAATGTTTGATTCCCTATCTGAAGTGCCCTGGACTGGATACGTGAACTTACCTATAATAATTATAAGTATAATATACCGGTATATGCATGCATGTTGTTTTTCTTTATTTTGGCTATTTATACTCGCCTCCACCCGCAGTTAAAATTACATGTAGCAGTAGTTTACCACTTTCCTGGACGCCGCGAGCGCACATGCGTTTGCGTTCTCTCATTTTTTAACACTAGCTCCACTCGTGACGGTGTGCAATGTAGAAGGAAGCCATCGCTTCTGCCTCAGCAGTATTCAAATGTTTGCACACACACAAACGCACAGTGGAGATTGAGAACCTGACACACCATGTTTCACGATTCATGGTAATAGTTAATATTATTATGTACAGCTCAATATGTCACTAATGCACATCAAATGGTAAATTCTATGTTCCAGCCACACGATATTAGCAGCTGTGTAAAAACCCAAGAAAAATACATTATCAACAGGTTATAATTCTAACGGAGAGAAAAACTAATGATAAAAAGAATACGAATAGACACAAAAAAAACTAGGAAGAAAAGGCTTTAGAGGTGACAGGTACGTGTTGACAAATTCCAGCACTGGCTATTTTAAGAGAAAATAGGCTAGTCGGCAGTGTCCCACCTTCAATTTCTGGACAAGACTAGTACCATCATCAAAGTACCACCAGTCAGTGCCACACAGAGATGCAGCAAAAATACAAAACCTAAAGCAAAAAATAGTTTTAAAAAGCCCAGGTCAGTCAGTGACTTCTAACAGCAGATGGTGAAACACATACTAGTGGAGGACTGAAACCTAGGGATGGTTTCCATCACATCAGCAAGACTTGCATCAAGCACAAAACAACAACAGAATTAGAAAACATCAACACTAGTATTCGACTTGCATTCACACTTGCTAAGTTAAACAGAGAACAAAAAGGGAGCCAACACTTCAAACCTGAACACTGTCGCTCGCTTGTGTTGGTCACTGTTTGGGAGTGAGGGGTGCGTGTCGACGTGATGCACTTCCAACTGAATGGGTTGAGGAGGTCGAGCGCACATCATCATCATCACTCAGATCATCCTCACTAGCACCGACTGATGAACCAATACTAGAGATGTCGCTAACTTCACTGCCCGCCGATTCCAAGCAATCCACCAACGTTACGCACTGGTCTAACGTGACCCGTGCCAAGTCCACGCGTGTGAGCAGCGCTGCTTCTTGCGAGGCTGACGGAACGAGTATTCCATTGCTCTGGCACGCAGCATCGTATTCTTCCAAGCGACTTTTGAACACGCTCAACGTTTTGGAATACTGACGGTGCTTTCGCGATAACTCGCGGTATCTTGCTTCAACCTTCTGTAGCCTCTTGATGTAGTTAACAGCCGTTTTCAAGATATTACCTTTATTCTGCCGAGTGTCAGGCTCGGTTCCTGGTAGAAGACTTCCGAGCTCTTTGATGCGATCATTGATGTTATAGCGGCGCCGACGCTCAATGAAGTTATGCATCTCACGTTTCTGCCGTTCTTCCTCTTCATACTGTGCGTATGCTCCCCCTGCCGGTAGAGGAGAGCGTGTGCTCATATTGGGAGACGTACCCCCGGCAACAGCACTGGCCGCTGCGGGTGGAACAGCACCCAGAACAGTGCTAGTTGGCAGGCCACATGTAGCCAGGTCAGCAGCACCCAGAGAGGGGTTAGACGGTCCAGTCAAGGCCACAGACACAGTACCAAATCCTGGCGGAACATTGCCATGTACACCGCCAACCAGTGATGTTTGCAGAGGACTAGTCCCTAGGACTGCTGCAGTAGCTGCCATGTTGGCTGAAGCAATGGGTTGATTGTAACCCACGTGAGACATTAAATGAGCTAAATGGGGCTCAGCTTTGGCCTGAGTCGGATTGCTAGTTGCCATCGAGGTCATTGCCATTGTACTACTAAGATACTCATTTCCCGTCATCACTGGCACAGCCGCCGCCGACATAAACGGGTTTGCGGGACCAACTCCTGCGGCACCACCATCCACACCCAAACTCATTAATTTATCCAACATAATGGTAGCATCCATTCCTTGACTGTCCAGAGCACTCAAGCCCAAGGCCCTATCAAGTTCTTCCGTCGACATACCACTAGGACTGGAAACATCTTGTTTGAAATCCATTTTAATTTCGTCAGTCGATCCAATCCAAGTGCTACAGTAGACTAGAGAGTTCAGGCACAAACGTTAGCTTTGCTCCACGATCGAGGCTAGGGTAGGTGAACTAGGGGTAGTGAAGGGATAGGGAAGTCTCCGACAAACTCAGGGTTCAGCACATCGTGTCTGCCATGCACGGACGTAGATCTACATGCGGCAGTAAGCAAAAGAAACTCATAAAAAGAGAGTTGGTGGACAGGGTAGATCTACCGCGGTAACTAGCTACGCGGGTTGTGAAGTACAGCATTTTTTTTTTTTTTTTTTTTTTTTTTTTTTCCGGATGGGTAAAAACATGTTCTTTTTTTTTTTTTTTACGAGTACAGCATGCAAGCTTGAAGAAATTACTTTTGAAAATCAACAGACAAAACACAGAGCTCGAGCAGAGAGGGATCCAGGTGCAGTGGTACATGTACTGTCTGTACAAATGACGCGCATACTCTGTCAGTACGGTAGTAGAAGTGGCTGGAGAGAGAGAGAGAGAGAGAGAGCTGATATATGAGCTGATGAGAGAGAGAGCTACAGTGGTAGAGAGCTGGGTGGATAGGAGTTCCGACCGTTGGCGTTGGCGTTGTAGTGTGTGGCACATGCGGACACATAATGCACGCAGGCTGACAGGCTGTAGTCGGAGAGCTAGAGACCAGACTTCCAAGTACAGTAGAGCACTGCTCAGCTCTGGCTCGGAGCAGCTCGGGGTAGATCACGACACAGTCATAACAGTCAGCACTGCAGTGATGAGTGACTCTATCATGTCTATGTCTATGACCGTGTACAGCTCCGAGGCAGCTTCCGTACTGACTGCTTGGACGCATGACATTTTGTCAGCGTGAGGATAGATCATTGCTCTGGACTGCGGCGGTTGTGATCTTGTTGACAGCAACAAAATCAAACAAACTCGACCTCCCTCTACTCGGCCTCCCCAGATCTACAGAGTCCAGCATTCAGTTCATGAACTGTACGAGTACCGGTATGCGCCATGGTTCCATTCAAAAATCATAATCATGTACGATTAGAATCAAGAGTTCATGGTAGAATCTACACCGCGCCATTAGCACTGAGTTTTCGGCCAGCTTGCTGTGCAATAGTTGGGTGCAGGTGTAAGATCTTATCTTATCACATGTTCGAGCAACTAGTCCGCCATGCTAGCTAAATACTAACAAGTAATAGCCTAGCAAGAAGATAGCCAGCCCAGGTTGTTTATTTTCGAGCACAGAGTGACAGAGCTCCATCATCCAGTTGATCACCATCATGGATGTACAGTAAAAATCAAGGTGTGATTCTTGTTTGAGAACATTTTGAATTGCATGTATTCTCGTTTTGATGAGGAGAAACTGCCTCGAAAAACCAGTCATGGCGATGAAGGGGTCTGATTCAACCAATCCTTTACCTACATCTGAGCGTAGCTCTCTAGAAGGCAGTATGATGGCATCGATTCTGGCTGCTGTTTTCTATGGGAGCGTCTCCTTCCTGATCACTGCAGTCAACAAGAGTGTATTGACTATCTACAGGTACATGTACTGCGTGTTTCATTATTCATTCACACAAATTTCGATCGAAATTCAAGAATCTAAGTACATGATTGTGTTTCTGGTTACAAAGTGAATCATTTTCTTGAGTACTGGAATTGCAGTGATAATCACAATAGTCATGTGGTAAGACACGGCCACCACTCTATAAAGTATTGTGACCAGTACCGTACTTCCGCACATATAAGCACATGTGCTTATGTCCGGACATAGGCGCATGTGCTTATGTCCGGACATAAGCGCATGCGCTTATAATGCCAACACTATTGGTGAAACCCCCGGGAGCTGAATATGCTGCTAAGCATTGTGATAACACCGTTGTTTAGGACACAGACAAACCTTTATTGCACAGATAAGCGCATGGGCTTCTGCCCGAACATGTTTACACAGCAAAAAATCTTTTTTTTTGTAGCAAATTTTCACTTTTAAGCCCATGCGCTGATATACCGTATTCACTTGATTAGAAGCCCCTCTCGAATAAAAGCCCCTCTTGAATAATAGCCCCCCTACAAGGACTGTTTGAAAAAATACAAGCCCCTCTCGAATAGAAGCCCGGACTACTATTCGCAAAGCATGGGTTGACCAGGTAGTGCCATGTATGAAGGTCAAGTCTGCAAAAAACATCTCGTGCATGTTCCTATTGGTACAAGTCCTGGTCGATGTAGTGTTTGCAAACTAACTCAGGGCCGAGTTGCTGTGAATATGAAAGTTTTACAGATTCGATTGGAATACTGGTATGGAATGAAACAATAAAAGCCCCTCTCGAATAGAAGCCCCTCTTGAATAGAAGCCTCCTCGAAATTGGTACAGTTGAACATCGATTATCCGACCACCTCTGGGCAGACAACTGTCAGGCGGTGTTCAGATAAGGCAAATGTTCTGGATAAGAAAAAACTGTCACTCGCACACTTTCAGTGGTTATTACTAGCCGCACGACCTTTTTACTTTTTACTTTTCAAAATTTTCGTATTTTTTGAATGGCTCACTACATGCACAGTGCGTACTCTACGGCACGTGCGCCCAAAAAAACTGTTACGGATAATCGAATGGTCGGATAGTCGATGTGCGGATAATCGATGTTCAACTGTACTGAAAAAATAGAAGCCCCCGGCTTCTAATCGAGTGAGTGAGTACGGTATGTGGGGAAGTACGGTATGTCCTGGGTTTAGCAAAGTAGCGTAGACTAAAGCAGGGCGCAGTACAGTGGTGTCGGGCGCCGAAGAACGACCAGGCTAGAATTTCATCAAGCACAGCATACCAATGTACACACAGTGACTCAACTGCCCATAGACTGTAATACATGAAAATAAGAATGGTCTAGGCTGGGAGGCTGACCCCCAGTTCTTTGGTCTAGGCTAGGAGGCTGACCCCACCCAGTTCTGCGGCGACCGACAGTACTGTACCCTCCTACTCTGGTGGTGTGCTGGTACTCCTGGCAAAAAGGGGCACCCTGCAGCTGCTGGAAACAGAGCCAGACTCCTACGTGGCGTGTAGAAATGCCAGTGTAACACACGACCAGGGCCACAACAAGCTGTGCTCTTTGGCCACAGTGCTTGCACAGTATCCCAGTTGGATAGCATATGTAGGGTACCACATCCGCCTGCAGATTTCCCCAACTACAACTGTGTCGCACCACAGACCTTTCTCGCAGCCATACACTGTACATTGCTCAGTATGCTCAGTGTGGGTGCAAAGTGGCACAGTCTGCAAACTACATTCACTGTTGACTAGCTTAGAGATTATGTATGAGGCTACAGTCCATTCATAAAATATGATATCCTAGCTTTTGGCCATACATGGGTCAAATTTTGAGTTTTTCACAATTTTTTCTGTAATCTGCCATGGAATGCTCTTCCAATTATGTTTCTGAATCTATTTCTCCAAAAGCAAGCCATAGCAAGGATAGTATTTCGGTCAGGTTTTGCCCCAAAGCACTGAAATGGAAAAAAACCATGGAAATCCAAGGTATTCTCCACTTGCATAACAGTACATTGTGCGGTTCGAACCCCAGTTGAGGTACCTTTTTTGGACCCTTGTTCAAGTTTCAAATCTCGCGGCACTGCACCGTGTACGACAAAATCACGAAAAATCACCAAATACGGGAGCTCGTCAGAGCCAGCGCTCATCTTTTTCTGAATGGACTGTAGGTTATGGGTGTCTGATAGCTACTTTTTGATATGAAGCTCAGGGACGTAGCTCGCACATCTGTGGTGTGGTGACCATGTTCTGTAAGACCAGTAATGTTAATGCGATAATACTCATAAAAAGGACACACTTCAGGCTCATTACAAACGTCTTGAAAGTTGTTGTCTTCACAAGTATACTTTCAAGCCTTCTCGTCAGGTGAAATACAGGCAAGGGAAAAGGAACAGGAACAGTGGATTAAATACAGTAAGAAGGTGGTAAAACAGCGCAAAAAAGAAGATAGCTAAACATTTAATTCTAACGATTTAACGAATTTATTCAATTCGTTAACATTTGAAGTCGTTTTGTGCAAAACGATATGTACGTACATGTACAGTCATGTGCCGGTTTTGAGACAGAATTTGTTAGAATTTCGCCTCGCTAACCAACAAAAGCCGGAGATCGTTAACTTTAATTGACGTTAAAATATCTGGTCTTACAGTGCTGGAGCACATCTGTGGTGTGGTGACCATGCACCACTAGCAATCTCATACAGTCAACTTCGCTCATAACGACACTCGGCGGGGCATCAAAAAAGGGTCCTTATTCGCGAAGTGTCGTTATACCCGAAGTCTCATTACATGTATACATGTATGTATTACAGTTGGATGGGACTTTGCTCTGGGCATTGAAATTCTGTCGTTATTCGCAAATTGTCATTATATCCGCTGTCGTTATTAGCGAAGTTGACTGTAGTTGCCATTTTTACCCCCAGAGTGTGCAACTCCCACATACCCTGCTGTCCCGACAGAATTTCAAGTTGACGTCATTATTTATGACGCAATGCTCCTTGCACCAGTGATTTACAACATGTGTACGGGTGTCAACGCATCACACGTTTTTCTTTGCAATAATTTGTACAGGATCGATCGGCTTCGGTCAACCACAGGTTCCGGATTCGTGTGATAATCCGTGTACAGTGCGCATTGCATCATCAAAATGACGTCAACTTGAAATTCTGTCGGGACAGTACCCATAGTGGAGTTGCACACTCTGGGGGGTTATGTACTCTTGGTACTACATGTACCTATGGCAGCCATTTGCAGGTGTGATGACCTGACTACGCTGACTATACACGAGCTACGCACCTGAAGCTAGAGTCACAACAAATGGCGTGCTCGTGTGTGTGTATGATTTCCAATATGATTGCTTGCATTGCCCACAATTGTGTTTCTTTTCTCTTCAATTTGCTGCACTCAGATTTCCGTCTTTTCAACTTGTTGGAATTGGTCAGGTGAGTCAGTATGGTCGTTTATTCACACCAGTATCAAACATCTGGGTCCTCCATTGGTATACCATTGGCAGCTACAGTACAGTACTGCATGTATGTGTATCCTCTCTGACCTTTGATATGACCCTGTTCATTTGTGTGCGTGGCTGGCTCAACGCCCTTGTTTCAGGGGATTCTGTCCCTGCATTAGCTATGCTTGTCACATGCTATGAGATTGTGTCTAATAATAATAATAACGAGAGAGCTTGGAAGCTCAGGGCCCTACGCTATGCTTTTTTGCCTTGATGACCTAGACAAAAAAAAAGCATAGGGATGTTATAAATTCTTTAAAAAAATCCTTTTTTTTAAAGACATAACCTGGGATTCGAACCCGCACTATCGCGCACCCTGCATGCATCCCCCGATACACTTCGCATACATACCGTATTTCCACAAATAGTAGGCCGGTCTACTATTTTTTCAACCTCGTCCTAACCCGGCCTTATAATCGAGGACGGTCTTTTATTCTTTCAACCCAGTGTGACCCCGGTCTTCTATTTCTCGCCACACAGTTTTACCCCCGTTCTTCCATTTTCTTCTACACAGTTTGAGCACGGTCTTCTATTTGTTCCCACAGTTTGAGCACGGTCTTCTATTTTTAACACAAGAACAAAGACTCGTTTAGTAGGCCCGGTCTTCTAATCGGAGACGGTCTTTTATTTTTTCAATCGAACCCTGCCCCGGCCTTATATACGAGGAAGGCGTTGTAAACGAGGACGGCCTTTTATTTGCGGAAATACGGTACTAATTCTTCCAAGTTGTTTCACATTGTGATCTTGCATTTGAAAGCCCTATTTGAATATGCATTGTGGCCAGCCGTCTTTGATGGCACGGTACGGTAGGGGATAGGTACGGGACAGGTACGATCGAGGGTAATACGACACCGTCTCCCGTACCGTACCGTACCATCCAACACAGCTGGCCACATACAGCTGCCCGCAATATTCAAATAGGGCTTTCAAACGCAAGATCATAACGTGAAGCAACTTGGAAGAATGGGTATGAATGCGAAGTGTATGGGGGAATGCATGTAGGGCGATAGTGCGGGTTCGAATCCCAGGATATGCCTGAAAAAAAATAGGAGAATTGAAAAATTTATAACATCCTATGCTTTTTTGCCGTCAGATACGGATAGCGCCAGGCGTGACACAAACAAACAAACAAACACACAAACAAACAAATACCAAACGAGAGAGCTTGGAAGCTCAGGGCCCTAGGCTATGCTTTTATGCTTTTTGCCTAGCTCATCGTACATGTTTTAAGAACTGATGGAAATGTCTTTTTCCGTTGATTGGCCACATCACTGTATTGCAAAAACGTTTCCACATTTCACTTCAAATTTGAAATCGATCGGTATTTTTGCTCTCACATGCATCCATTGCTCAATCATGCATCATTTGCCCATAATTATGACAAACTTTGGCCTGCGATTTACTTTGGCCGGTTGGTACCAAGCGGCGAAATCAGCGAAATTAAATCGCCAGCGAAAATGAGTTGATTTTAATACCGTTCTGCTTTCGTTTCGCGTGGATATTTGTAAAATTGTTTTATACACTTCAAAAAAAAAAAGTTAAAGGGAAACTGAACGCCAAAAATAAGTATGGCTTATCCGAAGGAGAATTGGGCACTGATTCCGATGAGCTATGTCTCGAGCCGATCAGAGAAGAGGAACCGTGTCAAATTTCATAAATAACACCTTCCATATTTGGAAAATGGGCTTGATGACGTGCGTACTGCTTAGCTGTCACCATGCTGTGCATGCTCGGCAGTGTAATTGAATGGAAGAAAACAATTACTTTGGTGTTTTGCAGCTCTATTTCGTTCCCTGACGGTACCCAAATCTAGATGTAGGAGTCTGTTGAGCAGGAGAGTGACACATGTCTTCCCGAAGGCTGTCCAGCCTGCAGTGGTGATGAAGAAGACACGAATATCACCCCAAGATCGATTGTAGCGAATTGGAAAACTCATGGTGAATTTGCTTCCACTCCAAGGCAATGTCGAGGTATGAAGGGTGCTTGTACTGCCTTCCAAAGTGAAGCGGAGATGAACATGGCTTTGCATAGCTGTTGCTCTACGCCAACTTACCTACTCTTGCTGGTTCCGTAGTGGTATATTGCAAATTTCGTGGACGAACAATTCGAGTCACTAGTGGCTAGTGAGCACCACTAACAGGTGAGATTTTTCAATTTGATAAAAATTGTTTTTGTTTGAGAACTGACGGTGGCAGTCATTTGACTCAGTAGGTGTCTCTGCTGCTTCTTTCCCTTCATTGGTAGGGTTGTGCTTGATAGTACAAGTGCTTGAAGTAAAATAAAATAAATAGAACATGTGGAACATAAATCTAATCAAGCATCAGTACATGTATTGCGAATTTCAACTTCAAAGCACATAAGATCACAATGATCACAAAGTTTATGGAATCAGGAGGACTCCCTGTGTTCAACGAACACAATACACACATTCTATATTGCGCGCACACATGTACACATGTGCGTGCACCCCCACCCCATCCCACAGACACACGCATGCAAGGCGCACATCCATACACATGTGTGTGAAACCCCCCCCCCCCCCCCCCCCCCCACACACACACACTCCTACCCATACACATATGCGTCTACCCCCAGCCCCCCCCCCCCCCCCCACCCACACACACACGTGTGCACAGACGGATACACAAACACACACACACACACACACACACACACAAGATACTTGTAAGTGTACATGGTCTTCCTGGTGCAGATGCTGGGCCAGCACAATGGAAAATACCTCCATCAAGATGCTTGATCAAGTGTTGTGATAATGGCACTGTTTGTTTGTTTTTACAAAGATGTGTGGGAAGGACTACAATGCGTTATAATTCATAATTGTTCTTTGCCTTGTACTGTGCAGACCAGAATGCTTCGCCATCAACTCCTGGCTTTCCATCGGCATGGTGTTCAGCTGCAGCGGCATCTGGTCCGGGGAGTACGTTGCTGGATGGCTGCACTGACACAGGATGGGTTTGCGTTGGCAATGCAATACGGCAGTCATCCCACATTATGAGCTACACGTTTGTGTAATTTATATTGTCGCTCGTCCAGCAACGTCAAGGCTCTGCATGTAAACACAGGAGAACACCATAATAATTATACTACTCAGGGGATAATAATTATAATTTTGGATTATCAATTTCTTGACATTTATGAGTTCCTGTCTAAACCACGTCGTGATATTGATTGCTATCTGCTCACAAAGTACCTCGTATTGTAACAATACTCTGCTTAATCACTACCCTCTGCCAATTATTAGATTCGCACAATATTCACAACATATGCAACACAATGCTGTCTATTGACACTACTTCGAACTGAAATGCTCACTACTCGTCTCCCGTTTTCAACTCCCTCTACCTTATGAATACTCTACTTTACTGGTTTCGTTTCTACCCTTTCCATTGCTGCCAGCCCCCAGTCTTTTTCAGTGGACAGCACCATATTGAAATTTTTGTGATTTGATGTACACATACTTTGAAATTGAAATTCGAATTACATGATCAGATTTTTGTTCCACATGTTCTATTTATTTCGACTTCAAGCACAACCCTATCGATGAAGGGAAAGAAGCCGCAGAGAGACACCTACTGAGTCTAATGACTGCCACCGTCTGTTCTCAAACAAGAACAATTTTTGTCAAAATGAAAAATCTCACCTGTTAGTGTTGCTCACTAGCCACTAGTGACTCAAATTGTTCGTCCACGAAATTTGCAATATACCACTACGGTACCAGCAAGAGTAGGTAAGTTGGCGTACAACAACAGCTATGCAAAGCCATGTTCATCTCCGCTTCACTTTGGAAGGCAGTACAAGCACCCTTCATACCTCGACATTGCCTTGGAGTGGAAGCAAATTCACCATGAGTTTTTCAATTCGCTACAATCGATCTTGGGGTGTTATTCGTGTCTTCTTCATCACCACTGCAGGCTGGACAGCCTTCGGGAAGACATGTGTCACTCTCCTGCTCAACAGATTCCTACATCTAGATTTGGGTACCGTCAGGGAACGAAATAGAGCTGCAAAACACCAAAGTAATTGTTTTCTTCCATTCAATTACACTGCTGAGCATGCACAGCATGGTGACAGCTAAGCAGTACGCACGTCATCAAGCCCATTTTCCAAATATGGAAGGTGTTATTTATGAAATTTGACACGGTTCCTCTTCTCTGATCGGCTCGAGACATAGCTCATCGGAATCAGTGCCCAATTCTCCTTCGGATAAGCCATACTTATTTTTGGCGTTCAGTTTCCCTTTAAGGTCCTACTTCGTTGTCGCGTAAACGCAAATCGTTTTCAATTGTTGTCGTGTAAAAAAAAAAAAAAAAATTTTAATACAGTAATCGGATTTTCTGGCCTTTTTGTAGTAACACATGTACATTAACCTTTTGAGCCAATGACGACGCCGAATGCATGGTTGCCTGTGGAGCATATTACATAACTTTACAGTCTCCTAAAATACGTATCCTGTCCGACGGCAAAAGAGGCTGCAGATTTAGTTTTTCTGCGCGTCGACGGGATGATTGCGACGCGAAAGTTCAGCTCGCGTTATTTGGCTCGCACGTCGAAAAATCAACGCGAGTGACCTGCTGCTCACGTCGAAAGTTGGACATTACATAACTTTACAGTCTCCTTAAATACGTATCCTGTCCGACGCCAAAGGAGGCTGCAGATTTAGTTTTTCTGCGCGTCGACGGGATGTCTGTCCTGACGTTTACTGGGACCGGCGCTGACTCTGCCGATCACGGGCGTTCTGGACTCGACAGGATGTCTGTCCTGACGTTTCCTGGGACCGGCTTAGACTCTGCCGATCACGGGCGTTCTGGACTCAACGAGATGTCTGTCCTGATGTTGCCTGGGACCGGCGGACTCTGCCGATCACGGGCGTTCTGGAGTCGACGGGATCTCTCTTCCGACGTTTCCTGTGACCGGCGCTGAATCGCTCGTTCACGCTTATTTTGGAGACGACGGGATCTCTCTTCCAAAGTATGTTTATGCTGACGCATCCTATCACCTATTCGGCGTCTATTCTAATTCAATTTCCTCCTCGTCTCCCTATTTCTTTCCAAATCTCCCTCTACATCAGGGAGTCGTATACATAATACGACGAATATTGGTACGGTACGGGACAGATACAGGAGCCCGCAAATATTGTGGACAGCTGTAGAGCCTTTGTAGTCACAGATACGGGATAGATACGGGACAGATACGGGATAGCTCCAGCCGTGACACAAACAAACAAACAAACAAACAAACAAACAAACACCAAATTAAAGCTGTGTGGACCCTGGCTAGCGCCAGACTTTACTGAAGTAACGTCTTCTGCATAGCTACGGGAATTAAAGCTGTGTGGACCCTGGCTAGCGCCAGACGTTACTGAAGTAACGTCTTCTGCATAGCTACGGGAATTAAAGCTGTGTGGACCCTGGCTAGCGCCAGACGTTACTGAAGTAACGTCTTCTGCATAGCTACGGGAACAAGAGAGCTTGGAAGCTCAGGGCCCTGCGCTATGCTTTGTTGCCCAGCTCATCGTACATGTTGTTAGAACTGATGGAAATGCTTTTTCCTTTGATTAGCTACATCATTGTATTGCAAAATCGTTTCCATGAGATACTGAAGTAACGTCTTCTGCATAGCTATGGGACCGGCGCTGACTCTGCCGATCACGGGCGTTCTGGTGTCGACGGGTTGTCTGTCCTGACTTTTCCTGGGACCGGCGCTGACTCTGCCGATCACGGGCGTTCTTCTTCTTCTTCTTCTTATTATTATTATTATTATACTGACGGCAACTAACATCCATTCTGATTGCATTTACTCGTCTCCCTACTTCGTATTTCTTTCCAGAAAATCTCCCCATACAGCAGGGAGTCGTTTACATAATATGACTCACTGCTATACATCTACATGACTGTATCTACGTTATAATTATTATGCTATCGGCCTACATGCGATTCCCGGGCTGGTCGACAGGCGGCCCAGCCAGCCTGCTAGTGGGATCTCGGCCTCGCACACAAATCCACACAAAATGTTACTGCACTGAATGCATTCCCCCGATACACTTTGCATATATACTCATTCTCTTGATGGTACCGTACTCTTGATGGTACGGGACAGGTACGGGATAGCGCCAGGCATGTCGATGGCACAAACAAACAAAAATATTGTGGCCAGCTGTCTTTGCTGGTACAGTACAGTACGGGACAGATACGGGATAGCGCCAGGCGTGACACAAACAAACAAACAAACAAACAAACAAACACTAAATTAAAGCTGTGTGGACCCTGGCTAGCGCCAGACGTTACTGAAGTAACGTCTTCTGCATAGCTACGGGAATTAAAGCTGCGTGGACCCTGGCTAGCGCCAGACGTTACTGAAGTAACGTCTTCTGCATAGCTACGGGAATAATAATAATTTCAATACAATGCCATGTGCATGTTGTGCTTGTTTCAAGGCACGACACATGCAGTGGAGAGATTGCTTCATGCACATACATGTACACGTAGACAAAGACATGTACCGTGGACCTTGCCTTTGTACGGTACTGTGTGTGTGTGTGTGTGTATGTGTGTGTGTGTGTGTGTGTGCTGTGTGTGTGTGTATGTGTGTGTGTGTGTGTGTGTGTGTACGTGTGTGTGTGTGTGTGTGTGTGTGTGTGCTGTGTATGCATTCCATAATAATTATTATTATCAACATCATCTGTGACATCCGATCGGATTGACTCGTTTACATTTCGTTGAGTTCGCGTGCTTTCGGTCTTCGCGTTCGCCAATCCCTCCAGTTGTTTTTGGCTGTTCACTCCACCTACACAGGTTCTGTCTTGTGAATATAATGGCGTTCCAGCCTCTGTCAGTCTGAGTGTGAGATTTGTAGGAGTAGCAGCTCAACATCTTGTAAACAGAATGAGTGAAACATGTTTGTACAGTAAAACCTGGTGTAAGCGATCTCTGGTTTTAGCGACCGCCTGCTTTAAACGTCCGTTTTTCCCTGCACGGACAGTTCTACACAGAAACTGCACTGGATACAGCGACCACCTGCCTTGCGCGACCAGCGACCGACTTTTAGTGTGCCAAGTGCCATATTGATTATTGGACCTGTACACAGCGCCCAACACCAGCCAAGAGTGCCAAAGATGGCACTCTTGGCTGGCAGAGTTGACTGCAACAAGGTTGAAGTGCGCTCGGAAGCAAGTGCAGGCAGTCAACAGAAGTGACAGTGCAGGATGCGCTGCATGCACTTGAGTGAGGTGTGCTTTGCCTGCACGAAAGCAAGAGTACATGAAAACCAGAGTGTGCAGCTCGGATGGGTTGCTGTCACGGCGAAATTCCGTGATTACATCATTTTAGTGATGTAGTGCGTACAAGCAGGATTCAAGCAGGTCTCTTTCTGCACAACTGCAGCTCAGTTGCACGCACTACGCCATTTCCCGCCTCAGATCTGCACCAAAATGATGTAATCACGGAATTCCGCCGTGACAGACACCCATAGCAGAGAAGGCCCCAAGCTGCACACTCTGGTTTTCATGTACTCTTGACGAAAGTATTTCTATGCTCCACGCCTGTCAAAACAAGTACATATACATGGAGGTACAATCATGCACATGTATGTACACGACCCGATATGCCACGAAAGTATGGGACGTGGTTCTAAAGACCACCTGGCTTTAACGGCCGCTTTTGCTCGCACCGTAGAGTGGTCGCTTAAACCAGGTTTTACTGTAGTTGCTGTGAGGCTACCGGCTCTTTTCATGTTTTCCTCCGAGGGAAATTGTTCTGAACTCGCTCAGAGTGAATAGCAGCGCGAGTTGGAGTTGTAGCGGTTTGCCCAAATCACACTGATTCGAACTTTCTTTCAGAGGAAAACAGAAATGTATACTTTTTTGGGTCTACACAATGTTTCTGCTTGCCTTTAGATGGTTGCGACACTGTTAGTTCTACGCACTGGTAAAGCCTTGAAAGTTATCTCTTTTCCGGACTTTGACCGCACTACAATCTCTAAGGTACTGTGTTGCTGCTGTCTGCTGTCTGCTGCTGCTGCATTTGTCATCATCGTCAGAAATCTATTCTTTTCGAAATTTCCAAAAATGATGTCCGACTGGAGTAAAAACTACTAAAAGGACTAGGAGAGAGAGAGAGAGAGAGAGAGAGAGAGAGAGAGAGAGAGAGAGAGAGAGAGAGAGAGAGAGAGAGAGAGAGAGAGAGAGAGAGAGAGAGAGAGAGAGAGAGAGAGAGAGAGAGAGAGAGAGAGAGAGAGAGAGAGAGTATGTGTGTGAATTATTTTGGGACTGGATTAATGAAGTGGCTGCAGTTTAGCCCGTGCATCCCAAGGGACTTTTCCACGTGAGATTTCACTACAGTTGTGCTTGATGAAATCTGACCCAAAGGGCATATTTGGCCGCCGGACCTGCACAGCCCATGATGCCCTGGAAGTGGTACAAATGCTGCTGGACGCCCTGAAATGAATATCATTCATTTCATATTCTGAGGATCCCTCCCTCCCCTGCATCCACTTCCAACTCTTCTTATTTCTCGATATCCAACACTATGGGGTTCTGTGTTCTTTTTCATTTTCTCTTCACACCGTGTCCTACTGGGGCAGCAGCTCCTCAGACTCGAGTGTTGCTTCATGATTTCAGCTTTCAAGTGCTTTTGAAGAAATGGAACAGAAACCAACCCAGGCTCAAAAGCGCACGAAGCCATACGCTGGCACAGAGTGTACGCTCGTATGCGCACAGAGATCTCTGACGGTAGTGGAGTTGAGATTGGGCTGTTCAGTATTCACTATTCAGTCATCTACTCCGTTATGTGTATGGTGAAGCTTCAGTCTAAAGTATAAAGTGCCCTGGATATACCGTAAAGTACCGCCAGAGCGCCCCACCATCTCGTCCTTTCGTGGCCGTATTGTGGAGGTGGTGTCCTGTCTGTAGGTCATACAACACGAACCGTGTACACACATTATACATTATGCTGTCAATCCATACTCAATTTACCTTCGACCGGACACGAGATCCACACAAACGCCTGCTAAGTGTGACCTTAGTGCACTAGGTTCTCACACCGTACAAACTTCGTTGCACTCTGCCATACGATTTCCCTTTCCCTGGCTGTAAAATCAGGGTGGGGCGCTCTGGCGAGACGGGGCGCTCTGGCGGTACTTTACGGTACACGTAACATTTGCATCGGATATAAACTATAAAATATTTTTTGAGCACCCTGTGTCTCCTTTTCCAATCATTCAACCTTGGATATACGGTACCTTGGCTGGAAACTTAGAAAGTACTTGTCCCCAGGAAGTATGTTACACTAAAGTTTCACAGTGCTATTTTTCTGATCTTTCTTTCCACAATGGCCAGCATCTAGTGAGAGTTGATGTTAACATCATAACAATGTGACATGCCAGTTCTGTTTCACCTGTGCCTGTGTATGCCTGTGCAGATTTGGCCTTTGCCCATGATATATTTAGTCAACCTTCTGTCTGGCTTGGGAGGAACAAAGCGATTGAGGTACACGTGCCTTATCTCCTGAGCTGCTGCACAGCATTATGTGTCCTCAGCTGTTTGTCTGTCCAAACCTGCTATGCAACTCTTCTTGTATACACAGAAGGCTTTCCTGCACCCTGTGCCTACTTGATTAGGGTCATAGAAGTACATGAATTGTCATGATAATATTATCATTGTGATGATGAATAAGCGACGCAGAGACAACAATTTCAAAATAGCAACAAATAGCAACAATTGTTGCCTCCACGTCGTTTATTCATCATCACAATGATAATATTATCTTTTGCACTCTGCTCTCTTATCACATTGTCTCTGTCCCTTTGCCTTCTATCTTTAGCACTGTATTTTGTCTCGACACACACTATAGAATGTATACATAATCGTTGTTTTGCATGTATTACCTTCAGTCACGATATTCCACTGATGATTGTGACGTGAAAATCGATTTTGGAAAACCTTGAAGTGGATGACTTTGTTGATGGGGTGGTGATGCCGGCAGAATTTACACTATTTATTGCTATTTTGAGATTGTGATGATGCCTCAGGATATTTTTGATCTTGGTATCAGTGAAGTTTCTTTGAGACCAGCCTTCACCGACTTTTGCATGTGTGTTGTGTACATGAATTCTTGTCTTTTCCAGCTTGCCAATGTTTACCGTTCTGCGGCGTTTCTCTATCGTCTTCACCATGTTTCTTGAAGGCTATCTGCTACAGTAAGTGCAATAATAGGACGACAACTTTCCACTCTGTAGTCACACTGTGTATGCTACTGCCGCAGTGCTCCTTAGCGTTATGTTCATACTTGCACAATCATGTACTCTGAAGTTCTAGGATGCCTTTCATGGGCAGAAATCAGGTGACTGCCTAGGAAGAATCGCTCATTTTGTGCTTATGGATATTTGGTTTGCGAACCAGTGTGTCTGCTACTTGAATCACATTGATTCAATCTGGCACATTGATGGACATTTGGTTGGTGAGCAACACAACAGCATGCACACTTTCTGCACATGCACTGAGTGCGTTCGATTACACACTTGAATCGATTCATGAATCCATTCGCATGCATTCAAGTCGTTCGATTTCATGTCATGAGCCCTGGAATCGATTCGGAATCCATTCACTCTATTCACATGGGGTGATGTGAATAGCGCGAATGAATCGATTCGTGAATCGATTCGCGTGCATAATCGAACGCACTCACTGTGCATTGTACTGTGTATGTGGTGTATTGCTGTTTTTCCTGTGCTTCCTTGCTCATTTGCGCTGTCTTGTGTTGACACTGCCGTTGTTTTTGCTTGCAGGAAGCACTCGCCATCGCGGGTGAAGATTGTTGTGTTTATCATGGTGTTCGGTGCCATGGTGGCGGCATTGTGAGTACATGTGCAGGGTACGCTGTGTCTTCTTGGCCAATGTCAGTTCTTCTCCGAGTGTTGAGCAAGTAGGCCAGTGCTTGTTGGAATACGTTAGTGATGGGTTGTGACATGGTGTATGGCGTGAACTAGTCCTCGCCGTATGCCCGTCAATACCCTGTGTAGTGCCATCAAGTGTACATATCCTCCTCCGGGGTGTGTAACTGCCTCCGTTGGGCAGCGTTCCTTCACAAATTCCTGATCTGCATTGCACATTGTACGTCGTCCGCCTGTGCTGACCTATCTGAGCTTTCGTGGCATTACATGTACTACTAGTATGTAGTATCTCTGATTCTCAGCCACAAGAATAGTACTCATGGCTGGTGGGAAAGGTACTCCTGTATAATCTGTGGTCACTTTGTGCGTACCGACGGGAAAGCAAAGTTGTAGATCGGATCAGGAATTTCCACCGCCATGTTGTTAACGGTCCAGATCTGCATAATTGTCATTCTACCTGCCATTATGCCTTTGTTATGAGGAAGGTCCACACGTTACTGCACCATAATTATCATATGTCCAGGGGCGGATCCAAGGGGGGGGGGGGGGCGCGAAAGGTGCTCGTGCACCCCTCAAGTTAAAAAAAGCCTGAGTATTATCAAGAGCAGATAAACAAGAGTGTCCAACTCCGGATCTCTCCTGCACATCTGCAGATACCCCGGCCCACGGCGGAATTTTTTGTTGACGTCACCTTTTTTCTTCTTCAGAAAAATGCGCATTTTGCCGCAGAGCAATGTGAGAGCACGTGCTGGGCACCGACCTTGTGATGTAAAGTCCGGCCAAGTGCACGAAGCAAAACTTTCCAAAAGACTCGCAGCGCGTGCGTCGTAGAAAAGATTACGTCAACAAAAATTCCGCCGTGGGCGAACGAACCCATGCGCGAGTTGCGACACCGGATCCAAGCCATCACGGTTGCGTACATTTCGTCAGATGTCTCCGCTGTCATGGAGGCAATACGCTTCAGGAGTGCAGACACTGCCTTGCCAGCTCCACCCGTGGCGGAGAAGACCAAAGGAACGAAGCTGCTGTGCTAAATCTCCTTCACCCTCTGCTCATAGCGTCTTCGCTTTTCCTGCTCGTGACGTTGGTAGCAAGCGGCGAGAGAGTAGGACATAACTGATCATTGTCATGACTGGACTGGACTGTAGAGAAAATGGTGGTAGATGTAGAAGCACACGCCTGGTGAATATGCCCGCCCGCACACTGCACTCTCTAAGCTGCAAAGTTCTGGCTGCGAAGCGTACTGTATTGGCTCAGTTAGCTGCAGGCAAATTTAATGCGTTTTGTATTGCTTCCTTTCTTTTTGTCCTCTTCCTCTGTTGAAACACCAGGGACGATCTAGCGTTTGACCCTGAAGGATACTTCTTCTTACTGCTGAATGATCTTGGAACTGCTGCTAATGGCGTCTACATCAAGAAGAAGTTGGATGGCAAGGTGAGGCAGTGAGCTTATAGTCCATTCAGAAAAAGATGAGCGCTGGCTCTGGCGAGCTCCCGTATTTGGTGATTTTTGTGATTTTGTCGTACCGGTGCAGTGCAGCGAGTTTTGAAACTTGAAAAAGGGTCCAAAAAAGGTACCTAAACTGGGGTTCGAACCGCTAAATGTACTGTTATGCAAATGGAGTGAACGGCCTGGATTTTCATGGTTTTTCCCCAATTCAGTGCTTTGGGGACAAAACCTGGCTGAAATCCTATTATGGCTTGCCTTTTGGAGAAATAGACTTGAGAACAAAATTGGAAGAGCATTCCATGAGAGATGGCTAAAAAAATTGTGGAAAAGCTCAAAATTTGACCCATGTATGGCCAAAAGCTAGGATATCATCTTTTTATGAATGGACTGTAGGCATACACTACGACCACTACACCTGCATGCATGCTGCTCATCCTTGCAGTTTGGTCAAAGTCAACATGGACTTATTTCTAGTGTAAAATTGTTGTTGTCCGGCCCCATGGGATTTTTGTATCTATAGGCATCTCTACATGAATGAATTCACATGAATTCACAGCCCTGTTTCACAGTCCTGGCCAGACAGCCATGCTTCACAGCCATGCTTTACAGCCATGCTTCACAGCCATGCTTCACAGCCCACTCATGGCCCTGCTTCACAGCCATGCTTCCTCATGGCCCTGCTTCAACGCCCTGCAAGCGACTTGACATCATTGTCATATGTACAAAGAAGTTGATTACCAGCCAGCTGTTGGTTTGAGAGCAGTGTTTCCATTCACATTCTGTTCCCATCACAGAGCGTATATTGCAGGCAATAGATATCCTTAGCTAAAAAAACGCTAACGTAAACGCAAACCTTTCCGTACTTCGGATCGTTCAAGCTGACTTTTCCCTTAGCACAAAGTACGTTATAGTTGAGACGAAGTAGTCGTGACAACCATGGCGATATGAATTTTCGTGGAAACAGATGCGGGAAATTCAAAATTTTGAACCAGGGATTAGTTTGCTGTCGTTCCGAAAGAATACCTTGGCGAGGTCTAGCAAAAGCACGGCGAAAATGAGTTTTCGCTGTTCCCAGGTCCTTGGAAACCCTTTCCTAAACGCAGCACCGAAGACTGTAAGGGTTCTCCAGCTCCAGCACGTCTGGGAGAGGCCGATGAATTTCTTCCTCAGGAGTGCCGTGGAACTGGTCCTTTGTTTCCCAGATGGGATAGAGGGAGAAAGGCACGAAGCAGAGGACGCAGAAATTGTCAACTGAAAGGCAAAACTCGCCAAAAAAGCTAAATGTCACAAGAGGAAGCAATCTCGACTCTCGATCTCATCTCGATCTGCACGACGTGCTTTTTATCTCCCGCCAGTTACAAAACAATGCGAGTTTTTGCATTTTTTGCAGAATTTCCATAACGAACGTCGGCCCGTTATTTTGAGCTCTGTAACGTTTTTCCGTTATCCGATAACGTCTTTTGTCACGGCTGGGAGTGAGTACCGTAAAAGTTAGCGTTATCGTACTTTTGCTAAGGGTGTCTAATGTCTGTACTAGTACATACAGTCAACTTCGCTAATAACGACTTCGGATATAACGACAATTCGCGAATAACGACCGAATTTCCATGCCCAGAGCAAAGTCCCATCTAACTGTATACATTTAACTTCGGATATAACGACTATCTGAATAACGACAATTCGCGTATAGCGACATGCTTTTAGTGCCCCGAGGTCATATTCACTGCTTGAATAACGACTTTCTGGGCTTTTGACAGCTATTTCAAGTACCTGTCAGTCAAGTACATGTACCTGTCATGCAGAAGTACCAGAACCTATGGTGATGGGTATTATTATTATAAAGGCACACATGCAAGAAAATGCAGCCAAGGGGGGCTTTTTCTTCCTTTTTTATGTTGGCTTCAAAATTGTTGGATTTACCAGCACACCTATATGTATACAATGTACATGTAGTTGTACATGATTGTACAGAAATCATCATACATGTACATGTCTCTGGCCCTGTAGATGGCTCAAAAAGGCATATTTTTCAATTGATTTCCCTTGCATATTGAATTTTTAGTTCCTTTCAACTGCAATATGAAAATAAAGTACACATTGACATAGAGCAAGAAAAGAGCTTGATTTTGATATGCATGTCATACTATACAAAATATGGGTTCACATACATTCAAATGGGACTTCGGTTATAAGGACACTTCGTGAATAAGGACACTTTTCTGTTGCCCCGCCGAATGTCGTTATTGGCGAAGTTGACTGTACACCAGTTGGTGAGTTTCTATTGGTTTGTCATCCTTGCGTTGTGTTGCGTTGTGTTGGCTGTAGGAGCTTGGCAAGTATGCACTTATGTACTACAACGCTTTGTTTATGCTGCCCATGGCGACTGGAATTTCCATATTTACTGGGGACATGAGAAAGGTATGTTCTGTGGTGTAATGCATGCTTGTGTGTGTGTGTGTGTGTGTGTGTGTGTGTGTGTGTGTGTGCGTGCGTGCGTGCTTGCGTGCGTGCGCATGCGTGTGTGGCATGCATGTGTACGTGTGTGCGTACGCGTGTGTACATAGTTGATGTTTGGTATATGTAAGCCTTGCTTGATGGGTTAACATAGGTTTGGGCAATGACAGCATGTTGTAAGGCAGAGGACGCACTGTGTTGAGAAAAGTGCTCCTGACTGCACCCGTAAACCGGTTGGCAGAGTTCCGGTCTTGTGACCATCTGAACCGTATGGGGTCAAGCCCCGGTTTGGACCCTCTGTATTCTAGGGGGTGGGGGTGCCCGAAAATCATTTGCACCAGAGGTCTGGACTCTGGTATGTAGTTTGTTGCAGTCAGGAGCAATGTTCTCAACACATTGTGT